GTCCACCAACAGGCCTATATCTCCTCTCTGGTCACGTAGAGGGTCGCCCTCGCCCTAAAACGTTACTGACTTCCGTGCCGAGGATTCCCCATTAGCAAGAACGCAGAAGTGAGCTTGTTCTCTCCTCTTTCCTTTTCCAGTCGTCCTCTCCATCTCTCCTTCCACGCCCCTAGACCCACTTAGGGCCCTCCCCCTCTCTCCTGGACTCTTTGATTTATCTCTCTCCAGCAAAGTCTTCTCCTCTTTACACACGCCCTCGCTCAAGATCATCAGACCAGCGGCACCCTCGGGCGTCTCGACTCATCACCGGCTTTTTCTTCTACCCCCTTAGGCGTTTTGCTTTCACCGTTGCAGTGGAGCAATCTACCCCAGCAAGCTGCACCAATCGCCTTGATGGGGCATCGTAGTTAACACGAGACCATGAAGGCAATGCCAATGTTACCGTGGCTTCATAGGCCTAGTGGTACTGTAGGTCAGACGAGAAGAAAGATCATGAAGATACCACATGTCCAAAGTGACACCAGGGCGGACCGATGTGCATCCCCAGCTTTTCGAGCACGACCTTTAGAGCGCTGTGGGTCGTCGGTGGCCGACGAGGCTAGGCACGGGATTAGGGATAACCTCCACTCCACATTCCCACCTCGTGTCTGGGCAGCGCCTCTTGGGTCGTTGACAAAGCCGGGATCGGACTGGGGGCCTTTGCCATCCACTCAAGTGGTGCCCCGATATCATTTCCTTTGAAAACAGGGAGTTTCGTATTCACGGTTGATATCAAATCTAAGCCATCACTTCCCAGCTTTGTTTGGATAGGAGTGTCGGCCGACGGTATGGGGTGAAGTCGGAAGAGGCACTTGTATTTGGAGAAAGTGGTTGGTCTGATAAAGGCCAACTCTGGTTCTGCGGCCCGCAAGGAACAATTTCTTCTTTCGACATGCTGAACCTTCATCAATTTTTTTGCTAATCTTCGGTTGGCGATCCTTGTTTTCCAAACGAACAGTTGTTCCGGGTTGGCGGCAACCAAATCTTTTACTCTCAGTAAACCCTAGTAGGACTCTGACGGAGGCCTAGAGCCACATAACGCTTTAGCACCATTTCCTACTCTCATATATCCGTTAAAGCAATTCATTAACATGTTTGCGGCGGCCAAGCGGCACATATCCGAGTCTCTAATTCCCATTTCGAGCAAGCCGACGATTCGTATCGAACGGATGTATCAAGTGAGAGTATTAGAGTTTCCCGCGCGGGAGCCATTATTCTGACCAGTCCTTCTGGTTTTACTCGTGATGGCAGGTTTCTACAGAATCGGTCATCTAACAGAGGTTCGTTTCGCCGATGCTGTCCCGAATGTGTTGTGTCCTATATGCGATAGTTAGCGTACTGAAATAAAGTGAAAGCGGGACGACGCTTTGCTAACAGGTCGAGTTCCATGACCCGAGTCAAGTCAACCTAGCAGATATGGCGGTATGAAATGACGGGCCGAAGAACCAAACCTCGTGTCATCATCCTATCAAATCGGGAGGAGGAATCCTAGTAACCCGTCAAGTGATTGGGCATTAGCCCAAGATCACAGACCCCAGCCCGTTGGCAGCATATGCACAACCTCATGATATCCGTATTGAAGGATATTGCTTCAAGTTGGGCATGCGGTTGGCCCACCTCCGCCCTCTCGGCATTGCAAGAAGCTTGGTTCGAAGATGGCCCAGAAAGGGCTGCCTTATATTGAGATCCACCGAACGAACCTTAATCATCACTTGACAGGCTATCGTCCCGTCTGGTTCTTGGTCTAGGCAGTACAGCCTATGCATTAAGGCGACTAGAGTATGGCGAGATCGCCTCTATTACGGGGATTCGGTAGCCGTGGTGCTCAATTCTAGACTGGTCGTTGCGTGAGACACAAGCCCGCCGATTCCCTGCATATTAGCCAGGCTGTCAGCAGTGCGCTTCGTTACAAGACAGAATCCGATTTCCCGTGTAGTTAGCTGAAGGTCCAAGTTTAAAGCGGTGAATACGCTTGGCACCAAGAGAGAGTCATTGCTATGGCCCTCTTAGATCTAGAGATCCAAGGTTCATACGGTTTAATGGACCTCACTTAGGTGTGTATGAGTTCGATTCCGAGAGAGCAGGCAAACCCAGGTTCGGTAGTGCATGAAACATGATGTATACGCCCGTTGGACTGGATGCGAGACTTGGACGATGTCAAGGCAATGGGGGCGAGAGACAATCTAACTAAGTGGTGCTCGCTTCATTTGTTGGCGGGCAAGTCCCCGCTCTCTGGCTTCGCTTACGGGGAGAAGCGAACAAATCCCGTCTAAAGGAGGGACCGGATTAGGAAATCGAGGGTTTCTTGATTCCGAGATACACATATCGGGCGGGCTGTTCCAGGAGAGGGAGAGAAACAAGTAGCGGGAAAGTCTAGGCGGGGAAGAAAGTTTGAAAGTTCAAGCCGCTGAGCATTTCCAACGGATACCGGGTCCCGAACGAGATCGTGCAGCTTATTTTAGGGATTCCATCTTGTTCCGCTCTTTGATGGTTTGCCCCGATTTGGCCCTCGATAGATGAATAGGTGTCATGCCGTGTTTGGAATTAGGTGCTCCCTAAGAACATTGGAAGGTCGAAGCCGGCCTCGGAGACAGAGCACAGCCTTGGCTGGTGTCATTTGATGCCGTTGACGCCGAAGCCATGATTCATGAGGTGCTTGATTCCCCTCGTGTTCTTCTCTTCCCATGGCTCTTTTTGTTTCTCCCCAGTGCCGATTAGATTGTTTCTTTTCATTTCTTTTTTTTGCTAGACGCCAGCCTGCTCGAGAGCTGTGCCGCTCTTTGTCCTTCCTCCCCGCCACCCTTCCGCTGTCACCTGTCCCATCTTCACGAGATATTAATTTTGGGCGGCTCGAAGCCTGATTGCGATTGAGCTGCGACGGATGACTATCCTTGGCCTGAGCCGTGGCAGGGCAGGAGGGTGGCTGGCCGGCGCTGCACTTGGGCGCCGAGCCTGAACCCGAAAGGGTGGGCGGAGTACCCCGCAAAGCCCCGACGGCGGTGTGACCTTCGTTTCTCTGCCCTCCCTCCACTAGCACAACGCCGGCACCAAAACATCGTAGATGCCGTGTTCGTTCACGGCGCAGGCCACTGCTGCTGTCGTGTACGAACTAGTTTTCAGCATGGCGAAGAGGGGGCAACAAAAAGAATTGATGGATTCGCGAAAAGAAAAAAGGCATCAATATCAGATGCTAGTGTCGAGCTGATTTGGCAATACATATACTCTACATGTAGGATAAGCGGCGATCTTGATCTTGTCTTTTCCTTGAGCGGCAGCGCATCCTTCCTGCTTCCATCGCTTTGATTTTCCTCTTTGCGTAATATTTTTCTTCAGGCAGCCTTTTCGCCCATTTTGCGACTCGTTTGGGGTGATCCTCGTGGCGCATATCGAATGGGCGTCCAACCGAGTAAGTGGCAATGGATTGGCGCTGAGCCAAAGGCAAGGAAACCAACATTCGAGCCTGCTCTGAGTGGTGGGTTATGAGGTGCGGTGACAGCACAACAGATCCATCGAAATGCCGTCAGCCCACACCCGTCCTCGCTCCCCTCCCAGACCAGGGCCTGAAGTTGAGAAAGGGCTGACAGGTCAAGCTTTTTTATTCTTCTTCTTTTTTTTTTTTTTTTTTTGATTCCCCACACACCACGAACTTTGAGAGCCGAGTCTCCCGATCAAATGGATATCGTGGCTGGGTGCGGGTAGACGGATTCCATTGGCTCTGTGATGTCCGCTTTGCAGAGTGTGCAGCATGCATCTCTGCTCAGCCGCAGGAGGGATGAAGACGTCTGATCCTCCGAGTGGTGGTGGTCTGTCGCTCTCTCTGTCTGGCCGGCCGGGGCCAAGCAGGCTCGACAGCCAGCCCCAGCTCCCTTCCCTCTTTGCCCTTCTCCTTCTTTATTCTTCTCGCACATATCACCCAACTGCTGGCGCCACCAAATTCCCAGGAGCGAATAGTCCAGGGTCGGCGGCGTCAGGACCCCAACGGCCGACATATCCTGAAGCGCGTGAGGAGACGGGCGTACGTAGTCTGCCACACATCACGTAGTTCTCCCTCATGCAAGTTACATGCAGCTGCAGCAGCACCAGGCTCTGTGGAGGGGCAAAGGGAAACAAGAGTCCTTTTTTATCGCCTCTTTGTTCTTTTCTTTCTTTTTCTCTCTAGCCTGGCCTGGCTTCTCCGCCTGGTCCCTTGTCCGTCCACGTTTCCCGAGTATCTGGGAACAGGCTGTCGAGCACCACCCCCTGCTCTCCAGCCAGTCTTATTTCTTCGCCTTTTTCCTCTCATCTTGACATTGTAAAACTGGGCGGTTTTTCTTTTCTTTTCCCCTCTAAGAGCGCCAGGTGGTCGGGTCTCATTTCTGGGGTCCTTTTCTCACCTTGCGAGGGATTATGCGTCTTCCTCCCTTGGCACTTCTCCTCGCGATGCTTCAATCCCCGATTGCTGCCTGCTTATTAGTGCCTACAACCTCGAGCACGGGAACGAGAGCGAGGGCGTGAGGTGTCAGCAACGAACGAGTGAATGGGCCTATTTGAGCCAGTGAAACCCAACAACGCAACAACGAGCCGAATCGAGCGGAGGGATCGTAAGCTCATTGCGCCTTTTCCCCCCCCCCAAACGGATTCGCCCATCAGCTTTTATCTCCATTTGTACTATACCAGAGGGAGGGAGCCTTCGTGGTCTCTTTTTACTTTACTTTTATTTTTCTTCTCCTCTTAGCACCGCAAGTTAAGCTCACCCCGAGGACACGGCGGAATAAGGATATTGCAAGAGAGAAAAAAAAAGAGGGAACCGAACGAGAGGCTGTTATTGGGAATAACTCTCTAGGCTCTTTCGCCCCGACTTTTCTTAAGGTGTATCCGAAGCGATTTTCCCCGCCCTGCAACAACTCCCGCACTTTTCACATCGAGGCGGGGAAACGAGGGGCGAAATATCGAAGATAGTAGAGGAACAGCTACCAGCCGCCATGACACAACCGCTAACCCTATCGGCGCGATGCGCCGCGACGCTCTTCATCGTCGGATTTCTCATGGCCACCATCACCGACGCCGCCGAGATCCGGCTTCGAGATGGAGTGCACCGTGTATCAAGGCGCCGCCCCAGGTGACCCCGGGGCCCGTTCTGCATCGGAGAGAGGCGGTCACCGTTTGCGCTGCCGGATACAACCTATGTCCTATCAACTTAGGGGAGGGTGTTGCCAGGACGGATACTCGTGCGCGACCGAGTCCTGTTTTGCGACAACGGCGGGGCCGGTGAGCTGTAATGGCCGAAGCGGGTATTTTGCTTGTGGAGTAGATGTAGGAGGTAAGAGAAGACCACAGCAATTAACTTTTCTTTCCCTTTTATTTTATTTTTATTTTTTCGGTTCTTCGATTTTTCTTTCGCTGACTTTGTCCTTTTTTGTTTCCTTCGTAGGTGGATGCTGTCCTCTAGGATCAGTTTGCGAAAGGGGCGGGCAGTGCGTTCCCGTCCCAGGGGTCTCCTATTCCCACGAATGCTCAGCCAACTCCTACCTCTGCCCCGCCGATCTTGGCTATGGATGCTGTCAGAACGGCCTGGCCTGCGGAAAGAGCCAATGCTACGCGACCGAACCGCAGACCTACGTCTTCACAAAGACGGCGACGACGACCGAGGACGGGGGCGCGGCGAAAACGCTCACCAGCACCATTACGACGACAGTGACCCCGACCGGGGACTCGGAGCCCACGGGCGCATTTCCGCCAGAGACGCAATTCGCCAAGTACTACCCTAGCGCCATAGATAAGGAGCAGCCCATCGTGACGAATACAGAGGACAAGGACGACGGCGGCGGCGGCGGTCTCACGGGAGCGCAGATCGGAGGCGCCGTCGGAGGCGCCGTGGCCTTGTTGGCGATTATCTTAGTGGCGGCCTTTCTCGTGATCCGGCGACTCAACCACGTCGCCAAGGTCGTCCAGGAGGGAGGCGCGAGCGTGAGCGGAGGATCTGGGTCGACGGCGGACACGAGCGACTACTTCAAAAGGGTGCCGGGGAAACAGAGGTGGAAAGCCTAAACACGGACATGCTCAGCGTATCCTCGCCCCGTACGCGGCACCGAAGCGCCTCGTCTACCACGTCGGAGCCGGGCTCGCTGTTCGGGCTGCGCTCGGCCGGAGGGGCAGCAGCGGGTTCTCGTCGCGTCGACAGAGTCACAGGTCGAACTCGGAGTCGACGGCGGCGGGCTCGAGCACGCCGGGGACGTGGACGCGGAGCAACAGCACGTCGGTGAGTCGGAGCGGGAGCAGTGGACGGCGGACCTCGGGGTTCGGCGACGCGACGGGTGTGTCGAGCGACAACGAAGGGGAGGAGATTGCGGAGCTCGAGGCCGGCGAGCGCGCGGTCGAGTTGCCGGCGGAACCGGTCGCGGCCTCCCGGGGGATCGGCGGGAGTCAGCGGCGGCGGCGCTGGCGGCGGCAGTGGTGGGCGCGGGGACGGGCTCGCGCCGCCGCCGCAGCCGGGACATCGGAGGAGTAGTAGCGCCGCGGTGCGCGGGCGCCGCAGCTCGACATGGTGTCCGAGGCGGGCGAGTTTCACGGATACTACGGCCCGGCGGACAAGTTGATGGGGCAGACTGCGGCCCGGCAGGTGGCGGCGGCCGACAAGGCCGCTCGTCCGGTGTCGAGCCCGCCTGCCATGGCCGGTGCCTCGGATCCTGCGCCTGGCGCTGATGGCCGGGAAGAGAGCTGAAGCGGAGCCCGGCACTCCACTCAGGGGGCCCTGGATTCATGCGAGGGCGAAACAAACAGCACGTGGAATAGAGAAAGTGGGTTGGTTCCCTTGGCAGTAAGGGTTTCTTTGCAACTTGTTTCTGGGCGTGTGCGTGTGGGTGAATTACCATGATGATGAGGGGCTGAGAGTGAGTTTCCTCGGCCTCTTTACACGTTCTTTTCTTCTATTTTTATTTCTTTCATGACAAGTCATATAGCGGGATCGCAAGGCGTTGGGCGCTGTCCCCACTCTTTTTTATTTTTTATTCTTTTATTGCGGTCCATCCCCAAGGAAAGAAGGGAAGGACCCTATGTTCAAACGGGTGAATATTTTGGGTTTTGAGCACAGGCTGGCTTACGTTATGAGGCGCATGGCTTTCTCTTTTCCCATGCGGTCATGATGTGACTAGCACGCGCGGCGCCAGGTACAAGGGGCGGATGTCGCATTCCAGTCATTACAGTTGGTTGGTTTGTTAGCAAATGGGTTATAGGGTATAGACATCAGATCTAGGACACTTCTACAGGGACGGACAAGAATCAAGGAGGAAACCGACAACCAGGTTGCGCGAACCATCGGGAACATTCGACGAGATACAAGAATGGAGCCGACGCCATATCATGAGATTATCGCCTCGATCGTTATCTTTCCATTTCTTTCAAGAATGTTTTCCTCTGGTACAGAATTTCTGTGGATACCTATGGTCACGGCTTGTGTGTTATACTTGTGAGGTCAGGCCACGAAGTGATAACGTGTCCAGGACAAGGGGTTCACTTAGGTGCTCAGTTAGGTCACGCACATGGAAAATAGATGGTTATGAGTTATGTGAAGATATTAACTAAGTTTATGATGCTGTGGATCTCATATACAAGTAGTCTTTGTGATTTTCTTTTCGCCGCCAAGCAATGCCGCTGTTCTTGTTTCCTAGCAAAAACAAAAATGCGCTGCTTCGCTGATGTAGCAGCTGTAAATGTGATGTGCCAAGACCCAAGACGCCCAAAATATGATGCTGTATGTACGAGGGGTATCTTCTTTTCTCTCGAAACAAATGGAAAAAGGCAAAACGAAAAAAGGGGCAAAGGGGAGTAGTGGTGGATATTAAGAAGTGGGCGGGAAGGCAACAGTGAATGTAAAGTTGCAAGTTAACGTTGTAAGAGTGGAAAGTTTTCAAGCAGAAAAAGTGGTGTGAAGTGGAGATGATGATGTGTAAATATGCCCTCGTTTCAAGTTTTGTTTTTGGGGCTGAAGAGGTTCTCTCTCTCATCATAGAATTAGAGATCTCCTCTTGCTTCGTTTCCCGTGCTCGTCATCGGTTGTTTAGTTGTCGCCGGGGAAGTTATTCCTCCACTTCTTGGGGTTCATGCCGCTGAAGTTGTTGACGTCGACCTTGCCAGCAGGGGTCGCGCCGGTAAAGTTGTTCTTGACGCCGCTCTTGGGGTTCATGCCGGCAAAGTTGTTGACGTCGACTTTTCCCGCGGGGTCGCGCCGGTGAAGTTGTTGGTCGAAGCCACGGCGGGGTTCATGCCGGGGAAGTTGTTGTGGGATTCGAACATGGGCGAGCCTTCTTCCGACGAGGGGAGAGGAGGGGAGCAGACGGAAGAGCGGCGGGAGGCGGGGCGAGAGCAGGCAGGGGTGCCGGCGCGAGAGGGTGAGGAGTCTGGGCAGGAGACCCGTGCCTGGAGATGCTGTCGAAGAACTTGGAGAACATGTTGGCTGATGTGGTTTTTGTTTTGGTAGTTTGGTTGGTAAAAGAGATAATAGTTGATTCCGGCAGAGGGCGTTGGCTTTATATATGTCAAGTATCCCAAGGTTGGCGCAGATGCGTAGGTTGGGTGTATATAAGTGTGTAGAATGTATTAAAGTAGTTGTGGTGTAAGCCTTGGAAAGGAAGGCAGGGAGAAAGAGAAAGAGGCTTTTGTTTGACTTCGGGAAGGGAGCCAGGAGATGGTTGGAGAGGTTGTAATGTGATGTGATGATATCGTACAATCAAGAAAATGGGTCATGGAGTGGGCCAGGGAGGGCACTTATATATTGATCAAGATTTATGATTCCATTTGATCAGAGCGTTGATTTGTATAGAGTGCCTTTTTCGATGAAATCCTTCTTTCCACCCATCCGAGACGCACTTGTATCTCGTTCCGCGGCAAACAACACACCAGAAGCGAAAAAGAGGGTCCCAACAGGCCCTGCGGAGACCGAGAACCAGAAAGAAAAAAAAAAAAAAACTGTATTCCTAAAAAAGACGTTGCCTAGCTCGGGCATCGCGTAGCTGGGGTGGATGGCGAATTCCCTAGGATCCACCGAGCTTGTCCCGAATAGAGCAGCTGTGGAGCTTTTCAGGTGCTTTTCGATGCAAGCTCTTTTGCCCTTCTATGGCGACTTCTCAGGCCGACTTTGGCACTGTCAAGGTCCAATCGCCTAGCGCCCGACATTCGACGAATTGCTGGGAGGTGCGTATCTGCGAAATCGAACCGGCCAAGCAAAAAGACAAGGCAGGAGAAGATAGGAAGCAGAGACAGATAAGCAACAGAGCGCAAAGATCCGCATTCTTCCGATATCGACATCGATGTCGACGAAGAAAGATATGGGCAAGACTGACAGAAGCCTTACAGGGAGTAAATCTGCGTTACCTGGTATACCTTTTAGGGAGCTATTCTTACTCTTGGGGCAGGGGAATTGCCTCCCCTTTCAAGACGGGGAGCTCTAAGCTAACCTGGCCACTGAAGCACCCCTGAGTTTTAGAGGGGCCTATCCCATTGCAAGTCTTTTTTTCTCTGCTTCTATTCCTGTTCCACCAGTGGCGGATGTCTCACGTCGGCTCCGAGAGGAGGAAGAGAGCTCCCCAGCTGTCAAAAGCGCGTGCGCGTAGTAGAAGTTGGGAAGGAAATGGTGTGAGTCAAGATTTCTTTGTTTGCGAGCAAAGCCGAATCGGAGACTTGGCGAAAATTCGGCGTTCGGAAGTGGAGCCGGCCAATGGCGAACCAACACCAAACGAGTGCTCGAGTCTGTGGGTGGGGCGGGAACGAACCTTGCACCAAGCACCGAAATGTGGGGCCGGACGGGAGCGGTCTGCCCAGAACAGGGAATCGCGGCCGTGGACGGAACCCAGGCAGCCAGGCTACGAAGAGAAGTCGGAAGCCAAACCGAAGGAAAAAAATTTATTGTCAAAATCAAATGTTTCTTGATTACTTGCGTGCGTGCGTGCGTGCGTAAAGACAAGAAGAGAAGAAGCAATTCTTGTTCTCGAGTTGGACTGGTTTCTTGCCTAATTTCACAGATTAATTGAAGTCACTTGATGGATCGATGGGCAAAGTGAAACGAGATGCTAAATCGAGAGCTTGATGGAGACCAGAGGGGGTGTGGGAGCATGATGTGGCTTCCGACTCTCGCAGACGAGAAAAATGGTGGAGCCCCTGTGTATCAAGACCGACAAGTTGATGTCTATGGATGTCTATGGAACCACCACACCCTTGGGCGTAAGCTTGAGATTGCGCAATGGATGATGCAAGTTATCACTATGAGCGGCGCAGCGCATGATACGACTCGATAGATATGGAGCAGCTCACCGTCTCAGGATCTTGCCCAAGGCTTTTGGGTTTCTGTTTCGTTGTATGAAAGAAGGAACAAAAAGTATGGGCTCACATGGAGCCACCAAGATCCATCCATGGATGATTTGTTGATTTGGCACGAACACCCCATTTTCAGGAGAAGATATCCAGTCCCCACTTCAGGCTTCAACGGGGCCCACTCTGCCTGCTCTTCTGTGTCTTCAGCTCGCCTGAACTTGTTCATGGAATGCTTGCTTCTCTGCAACAATTCCCGTGGCTTTTACGTTTGCATCGCAATCTGTCGTACGTGTTGAGGCCGCAAAGCGGTGCATGGCATGTGAAAGAGACTAGGAGTTGGATCCTGTTTCTTTTGCTTGAAGGGCGCTTTCTACACCAGGAAAAATACATCATCGCTATTCACGATATTCCCAAACAAGAAAATTGGGCCATTGGGCCATTGTGTCATCATCACTAACCTTGAGGGTCTCCCCTACCTCGCCTTGAGCTGGGACCAACATTATGAATCTTGACTCCGTGACCGGCTTTTGACGTGACTGTTCTGATATTATGGGGCTTCCATCTCAAACACCCATTCATGGGCTTTATCATCACTCGCGAGGGGATCCATAGATCCTGGATGGATGCAATGGATGTGGCTTGACCTCCCTCCGACAGAGAAGTCAAGTCAGCAAAAGTTTTCTTTCGTGTGGCGCCACCAGCTCTGTTCTCGCTTACGAAACCAAGCCTTCGTCCAGGGAAGAATAAAATCCACCTGCAGAACGAAGCGGAAAGCTGCGTGGCCTAGACCTCTTTGGTGATAGGCTTGTGCTTCTTTTTCCATCTTGCCAAGGGCAAAGGCTCGGGAAGCTGGGATCGCCTGCCTTGAACGGCCTTATCGGCGTTCGGGGAGTCAGTCCCGGGCGGGTGGGGTCCAAAAAAAAAAGGGTCAGTCAAGGTGTGTGGAATCTCTCCCCTTTTGCCTTCGGCTTGCAAAGTCATCAAGCCCATTACCCGAGGTTACCGGGCAAGGCGAGAGTAATAAAATCTGGGGCAGCCCTCCGCAGGACCGAGAATTGCGATTTTCCATAATCTCGGCTCTGGCGAACTCTACGCCGGCCACGCGCCTGCTTTGACTCACGCCCGTACGGTCTTTTGCCATCATGCTCCCGCGGTAGGGTAGGGGTCTTATTGTCCGGCTCGAAAAATAGCGTGGCCGTTGGCCCCTCACGAGGAACGAGTATGAGCTTGGGCACGTCTGGCAAGGAACCTTTGCGTCGACACCGAAAACATCTCGCGAGCTTTCGTCAGCCACGCGATGCGGATAGCCGGCATCATGCGCCTACTTCGATCGAGAGGGTTACTACTCCCCTTCCCTTGCGAATGGCACCGAATGCCCCCTGCGACCCGAACCCCGGTACGAAGTGAGACAAAAGAACGACGACGAGAGCCTTGAGAAATTACACCATCTTGCCACTGTCCAATATCAATCGCTATCAGGGCCCTGGATACTCAAAGTGGGCTAACCGGTGGTCTGACGTGTGTTTTCTTTTTTTGGCCAACGGGGCCGTCATCGGACCTGACCTCCCCAAACGATCAGGGCACTTCCCAACGACCCTTATCCCGGACACGGCCCGCTTAGATTCCTTGGCACGGCACCCTTTCCCCTACCTTGGTGAGCGGCCCTTCTCACGGTCGTGACTCTTGCTTTCGTATTTGTGATGATTTTCTCGGTGAAATCTGGGATCTGCTTCCTGGAAGCAAAACAAGTATTAAATTGTATTGTATGCCCTTACATGTATGTTGTGAGGCCACTTGGAGCCAATCCCGCCAGCATAGTTCTCTGGCTATCTGGAACTGAAGGGGGACAGTATTCAAGATTTGGACCTACGATTCATACTCGAGAGCCCCGATATCGCAGTGCTATGGCCCTCATGTCTGCGATGCCATCGTGAAGTATACATCCGTTGTTAGGTGGTGGCGTCCCTTAGGTTCGTTTCTTGTTCGCCAACACAGAGTACTTCGCTAGATACAATGCCATTGCTTGTCGCCGAACATGTCCGACACGCCTCCCATAAGATCACATCCGATATACTGGCTTCGCATAGCTATGAACCCTCAACACTTTACCTTCTATCCGCACCACCCGATTAGTTCATAGATTCCTTCACCTTCCTTGCCTTCCCCTCACAGTTCTTTTTCTGCGAGACATGTCAGCTAAGAACACAGATGATCATGCTGATATTTACGTCCAAGTATGGCTGAGCAACATGGAAAACGCTCAAGGCTCGTCGATTGCTGCGGCCAGTCGTAAGGGACGGACCCATCAGGCCTAGTTTACAGCCAGTCAGCCAGAAATTGAGGCCGGTGAACGTCTTGGTTTAGGCGGAGCCGGAACGCATTGCAACTGCCAACCTTCCTCATCTGCTGTGGGGGCTCTTGTTGTTCTCCTGGGCCACCCGGTTAGGCCACCCAGTCCACGGCCGTTAGGTGGTTTGCTTGGACCTTTGAAACCTTGAACATGTTGATGTAAAGTAATGCGACATAGTAGTATCTCTATCAATTCAAAGCCCTAGGATATACTTCACCTTTAGAGTCATTCAGGATGGCTAGAAGGAGGACCAACATGCAGTTCTAGGATTAGCATAACTGTTCATCTGGTGACTTTTCACCAAACTTGACTACTTCGGACAATATAACCTAGCTCATCCCTTTGACCGCCACTTCAAAAAGCCTCCTGACAAAGGATTTTCAACTTCTAACAAAACCCATTCCCTGCTCTCTAAATAGTCAATAATATCTACACACTGAAAGCACTCTTCACTCACATGCTCATTCTCATGGCGTGACTAAGAACAACAGCTGATGGCAGCTGCAAAGGGAACGAGGGAAGTGGGGGCGGGGCGTCAATCAAGATTGTGGGGCTAGGGTCCGATAAGATAAGCGATAAGATAAGACACCGCCCAAAATTTTCCCCAAAGCAGAAAAAAAAGTCCCCTCAGACGCCGGGTTTAGCGAGAAGATATACGCCTTCACCACACCGAGAACTTCCGCAAACAGGAAGAATATCCACACAAGATGGTGAAACGAAAGGTCGCCGCGCTCGAGAAAATCGACGCTGATTTGTGAGGACTCATTCTAGAAAGAAAAATCTTTTGCGCCTTCTAGTACTGACCATTGCCCCCGCTTCAATAGTGCGAGCTTGCAAAATAAGATCCGTCGCGATCCGAGGTACGATCCCCTCCCACCCGCTACCCTCTTTCTGTCCTCTGAAAGGAGCCTCTCTCTAACTCTTCCTTTTCCTTGCTCTCTCCCACTAGATCATACAAGGATGACTTCCAGAAACAATGGCAGCAGTACGAATCGCAAAAGGAGATTTTCCTCGTCTCCCCTCCACCGCCACCTCGGAATCGGTCGAATCCTTCCACAACATCATTGACCTGATTGCCCACGTCGCCGACTGCTACATCGAAGAGACCAAGACGTTTCCCGAAGACCTCAAGACCATCTTAGCCCAGCACCACGCGATACTGCACCCGGACCTGCGCGAGAAGATTGTGGGCAGCCTCGTCCTCCTGCGGCGCAAGGACGTCATTGACTCCGCGAGCCTGCTGACCAACCTGTTCCCCATCCTCGTCTCCTCCAACAGCAAGTCCCTGCGCGCCCTGCTGTTCCAAAAGATCACCATGGACCTCCGCAACTCCAACAGCAAAACCATCAACCACCCCCTCAACCGCACCGTCCAGACCGTCCTCTACAACCTCGTCAGCGGCGACCGGCAATCGTCCCAGGCCCTCTGGGCCGTCAAGCTCACCCGCGAGCTCTGGAAGCGCCAGCTATGGACCGATGCCAAGCCCGTCGACGTGATGAAGGAGGCGTGCCTGTCCGACAACGAAAAGGTGGTCACGGGCGCGGTTCGCTTCTTCCTCGGTGGCGACAAGGAGCGCGAGGATCTCGAGGACGACAGCTCCGACGAGGAGACGATTGATCTGAAAAGGGTCCAGCATCAGCTCGGCATTAACAAGAAGACGAGGAAGAAGGCCAAGGCCCTGGACCGCGCCAAGGACAAGATCCACCGCCAGGAGAAGAAGAAGCACGCCGCCCACCCCTCAACTTTTCCGCCCTTCACCTCCTCCACGACCCCCAGGCGTTTAGCGAGGCTCTCTTTCCAAGCACCTACAAAATACCAAGGCCAAGCTCAGCCTCGACACGAGGCTGCTCGTCCTGCAGCTCGTCACCCGCCTCGTCGGTCTGCACAAGCTCACCCTCATCTCCCTCTACTCCTGGTTCCACAAGTACCTCACCCCCAAGCAGCAGTCCGTTACCTCTATCCTTGCCTCCCTCGCCCAGGGAACCCACAACCTCGTGCCCCCGAGTCCGTTGAACCCCTCCTCCAAAAGATTGCCAACGAGTTCGTCTCCGAAGGTTCCGCCGGCGAGGTCGCCGCTGCTGGCCTCAACGCCATCCGAGAAGTGTGCGTCCGCCAGCCGCTCGCCATGAGCGAAACCCTCCTTCAGGATCTCGTGCAGTACCGCAAGAGCAAGGACAAGGGCGTCATGATGGCCGCCAAGGGTCTGCTCTCGCTGTACCGCGAGGTAGGCGCTGAGCTTCTCCGGAAGAAGGACCGCGGCAAGGATGCCACAATCGGCCTCAAGACGGGCGATCTCAGGCACAGGAAATTCGGAGAGGAGGAGGCCAGCGGCATCGAGGGCCTCGAGCTGCTCGTGAAGTGGAAGGAGGAGCAGAAGAAGAAGAAGGAGGAGGAACGGGCTCTCAAGGGAGAAGGAGCCAAGAAGGAGGGCGAGGACGAGGATGGATACAACTCGAGCGATTGGGAGGTGGAGTCTGTCGACAGCGATGACTCGGGCGGCTGGATCGACGTGGAGCACTCGGACGACGAGCAAGCCCCGGCGCCGAAGAAGCGCAAGACGGGCGACGACGCCGACGCGGAGGAGGACAAGGAGAACGACGAGGCCTTGGACCTGGCCGCCATTTCCAAGCTGGCCACCACGACCATCCTGACGCCCGCCGACCTGGCCAAGCTGCAGGAGCTGCGGATAGAAGCCAGCCTGAAGAAGGAGGTGCAGGGTGTGCGGACGCAGCGGCAGAGGGAGCGGGAGGCGCGGCACATTGACGAGGGCTTGACGGCCGAGCAAATCGAGCTGCCGGCGAAGCTGCGCAAGACGACCAAGGAGGAGAGGATAGCGATGGCCAAGGAGGGCAAGCCCGGGCGCGAGGAGCACAAGTCGACGCAGGCGATCCGCCGAGAGAAGAAGAATAGCGAGGGCAAGTCGACGACCAACAAGGAAAAGTCCAAGAAGAAGAACTTTATGATGACGTTGGGCAAGGCCAAGTTTAAGCAAAAGAGGAGCTTGGTGGATACGCAGAGGGTGTTGCGGAAACATATCGACAGGAGCAAGAGGGGAGGAAGAGGAAGCAACCAAAACTAAGCGGGGAGCAGAAGAAGTTTTTATTATTATTTTATCACGTTTGTTGTGCTGTCTTTTGCATCGGTTGCATCTTGTTGGTATGATTCTAGATACTCTAGCTTCGGGCTTTCGAAAGGACCTTTACCGTTGAAGCTTTGCTCCACTTGATTTCTCCGGGATGTGCTATATAATCACGGATCTTGTTTCCCTGCAACCCCCTTGATCACCTGCCTAACGACCTGGATTTTCTCACGAGTCTCTCTGCTGTAGGCGAGCGCCGGCTTCGCCCAGAGTTCAAAATCAGTTGAACAGTCATGCCCATACCCCCTAAAGTCCTCATTGACGTCGCCCTCGGGAGCATCCTCGGTCTGATCTTCAGTATCCTGCTCGGCCTCTACGTCGCTAATCGCTCTAACAGCTGGGGTGTCCATGATGGACCGCCTATCGTTCTCGGCCGCGTGCTCTCGGCCCTGCGTACGGCCACCGACGAAGGGGAGCCAGGCGGCGGGCGAAACTCGACCTGATAGATACATGGCGATGACCTAACGAAGGATACTGGAATTAGTCGCTCAGGAATCTTCACAAGAAGAGAAGAGTACTTTAGGGGACCAGGACTCATACCTGAAAAACAGCCAAGGTTACCACAATGCCAAGATCGGCCGCGGCGACCTCGCAGGGCGTTCTCCCACAGCAATCCGCACGCCGTATCCCGACCGTAGGTGTCGACGCAAGCGCGACCCTTGGGCGAGTTAAAGGGCCAGGCCATGTCCCGCGGGGTACGGAGACCGCAGCAGGAGAGCTGGTCCTGGATGCGGCGGATGCTCTCGGCATCGTGGGCGGAGTACAGCGACTGCCAGCGCGTGAGGGAAGGGCAGGATATCGCGCCCGCGGGGCAGCCCCGGGCTGGGAGAGGAGAGTGGCGAGCACGGTGAGGAGGAGGAGGTGGGCGTGGGGGAATAGGCGGAGCAGGAGTTGAAGGATGTGGGGGTAGCGCGGGCGAAGAAGCGGGTGGAGGATGGGGATTTGAAGGTGCGGTTGGATAATAGGACGAGGGGGAATAGGATGGGGAGGATGATTGGGAGAAAGGTGGTTAGTGGGGAGAGGGGCAGGGAGAGGTTTTGAGCTTTGATGAAGGTTACTCTGGATTGTTGGAGACGAGAGTTGGGCTTGAGTTAGCCTTGCTTCTGGGTGTGAAGGGGGAAGGGAAGAAGGAATTGAAGAGGGCCATACATTGCGAGAGCGGCAAGACAAGAGCAGACCAAGACCTAAAAGAGCCCAGACACCAGAGTGGGCGGTCGGTTAGATGTGTTTCTCTATAATGAGCCTTGAGGCGATCTCTCTTACTAGGCCGCCGAAGATGATGAGGCGCGACATGGCGAGGAGATGGAGCACAGCAGGACGGATGGCGACGGGCGGCTACGGAGGAACAGAGAGAGAGAGAGAGGTTTGAATGGGGATCCCGCTAGAATTGAGTTTTGGTTTTATATTCGTCTACTCCAGCGAAAGAGAAGATTCGGGCGGTTGAATCAACTTGGGGGACCCCGTTCTCAGCCTTCTCCCCGTTTGGGCTTTTATGCTCCTCATGCAGAAGGCCAACGGCGAGGCGGGGAACTGGCGAATGAAGGCTTGTCGGCAAGACTGCGCTGCACCGTGTTTGTGTTTGGTCCAATGCAGAGCCGTGAATCTTGGTCGAGGGCAAGTAACAAGACATTGGACGCGTCATGAGTATGAGAACATCATAAATTCAAAAAGAAAAAAAAAAAAAAAGAAAAAAAAACAAGAAAGTAACAAATGCAATCGGGATATCGAGATAAATACACCACGGGCTCTTTATCCATCCATGTCTATCCGGGACGCCCTCTACCCACCAAAGCTCCTCTAACGCATCACCCACATTCTTCGTTACACGGGGAAGGGGCAAGAAAATGGTCACCTTTTCTCCGCCGCCTCCACCACCTGCTTCAGCCACCAAGCGTGAATCCGCTCGTCGGGAGTGAGTTCCGGATGGAAGCTCATGCCGAGGATGTTGCCCTGCCTCACGGCGATGATGTCGCCGGCATGGCCGCCATGATCCTCGCCGGGGCCGCCGTCTTACTCGCCCTCCCGGGGAGCACGGCGAGCACCTCGACCGAGGCTGGGGCGGCGTCGCCCTCGACGACGGCCGGTTGCAGAACCTCCTCCACGATGGGGGCGCGGATGAAGACGCCCGAGTACTTGGCGGGGCCTGGGGCGCGGCGGCAGGGCCGTCCGCGGCGAGGAAGGGCAGGTCGAGGTCGGAGATGAAGCTCTCGATCTGGCGGCCAAAGTGGTTGCGGCGGACGCGGACGGCGAGGCCGCCGATGAGTTCTTGGCCGCCCTTTTGGTGGCGTTGGCCTCGTCGGCGAGGAGGATCATGCCGGCGCATGTTCCCCAGACGGGTTTGCGCGCGACTCTGTAGGGGGAGACTTTTGTTTAGCTCACTTGTTTCTTTTCTTCTTGTTGCGTTTGTGTATTTACAAAGACAAAAAGGGTGAAGAGGTGAAACCTACTTTACAAAGTCCTTGAGAGGCGCCATGAGTCCCGTTTGAGTGGCGATGAGGGAGATGGTGGTGCTCTCGCCGCCGGGGATGACGAGGGCATCGCACCGGGAAAGCTGGTCGGCAGTGCGGACCTCGATGACTTCAACGGCGGGGAACGTGCCGGACCCCGCCGTGGACAGCTGGGCGGAGGCCTTCCGGAGGAGGTGGACGTGTTCCTGGAATCCGCCCTGTAGGGCGAGGACGCCGACGATAAGAGAAGTGGCGGGCGCCATTTAGAGAAAGAAAAGATTGACGGGCTACTAATGAGTCTGGGTATCACAAAAGGGAAATAACTAGGAAAAGAAAAGACAACGAGACACAGTCAAGGAAGCCGACGAGGGGAGTCGAAATAAACAAACAGGGCCCGAACAACGCCGATATGAAAAAAAAAGGATTCACCTCATGCGCCGTAGCAGTGGAAGGGGCAGAAAAATTCTTAGTGGACTTGATGAGGCAATTGCGGGCCGGAGCACGCTCCGAGCAAGTCTACAGCGCGGCACGTTGCAAAGTCACTGTCCACATGCACCCACACTCTCGATCCGGAGCTCGCAAACGTAATGGGAAATGGTTGAAGACCGTGGACAATGTCTATCTAGTTCATTATAGTCTCTGCGTGACTCTTTTTTTGTCGCAACGTCCCGGCTCTTCCCTTGCACCGCTTCATCTCCTGTCTTAGTGAAAAGAGTCATCAATCGTTGACTGTGGGCATCCTTTCATGTCGGGAAGCAAAGCAGGGTGAGATAGATCCAATGGATCCATCCATAGAGGGCACCCAACGGTACATGGAAATCCATGACGCCACGGGTGGCGGGTCCCAAACAGGCGTGGAAGGATATTCAGGAACACATCTACGCACCCACTTCTACGATATAGTTTTACGGCATGGATCGGAAAGGCGAGGGTATCTTCAGAGTTGGAAGCGGATCGAATTTTCTTGCCTCTGAGCCGGATATCTTGGGTCGTCCACTGCTGCGCGAAAACTGCGGCAATTGAGGCGGGGTATAAACGTACATCTAGGAACTTGTGAACCCCACCACGCTCTGATAAGGATCGATGTAGGACATCATCATCTCAAAAGCAGCAGTGAATGTTCGGTGAAGCTAACATGGACGCAACTGCGAAGGTGCGCCCTTTGAATGACTATCGGATCGAGGCCCTCTTCTAGCCGCTACTACGCGTGAGAGAATTCCCGAGGGAATTTGTAATCTTAATAGGGGTTCAGATACACCTGATGGATCTTTTGCCCTTTGGTGGTGTGTCATCTCCGCGGGGAGTGCAGTGTTGTGTTGACATGTAGAGAGTATCAGACGCAGACGCTGTAATACACTCCACAATGCCCTATCCTGGTACAATGGATCCATTGATTTGATATTGAATGCATTGTATCTAGTCAATGGCCAAGAGAGAACATTGGAAAAATAGATCCATCCAGTACTAAGCCTCCCATGGCCGGTTCTCTGCCCTGGGTTCCTTGAAAACGGCCTTCAGTCTTGCGCCCTGGCGGCTGGCCGGTTTCTTACCGAGGCGCAAAGAGAAAAAAAGAAAAAGAAAAAAAGACTAGAACATGAGGGACCAGAGACGCAAAGGCTGTTTGCACTTGTTGCATTGTCGCACTTGTGAGAAATCGGACGCCAAGGCACCCGCCACGAGCACCCAGTTAAACTTTCCATGTTCCCCAGGCCTCCACGGATCCAACCGGGCAAGGTCCAATCCCTCCAAGGCACTTGCACTGGAAGGACCCTGATGTTCCGTCCGTACCCTTCGTACATGAGTCACAAGCACTAGCTGGAGGCCGGCTCCTGCCCAGGTTCCTCGGTAGGAGAAACCGCGCTGCTGTGGTACATTGAACACCTTCTCTTGCAGGACGTAGTACGTACACCAACACCAACAGTGCTGTTTGTACTTGAAGTGTCAAGTTGAATCAATCAAATGGATGGATCATTGATGAATCAAAGAAACTATAGGCACGCGCGATCCTTCCTCGTTCTTCTTTCCCCATTCACCGGCGCCTACTTTTGCGATATGGCGCCCTTGCTCCCCTTGCTCCCCTCCCCGCGTCTTCCGTCTCTACTTCCAAGCCCACCGCTGTTGTGACTCGATTGGATCAATTTCTGCCATCTGCAGGTGCACTTTTGCCCTCAAAGTGCGCACCCTGCAACCCGTCACCAAAGGCGCGCTCTTTTTCCTCCGCCGGCGTGCCGCCGTGTGTCAGTGTGTTTTTTTTTTTTTCTTGTAGCATCCGTCATGTCATCCCAAGTTCCTCGGTGACTACACACCGTAGACATGAACCTGTTCCCTCGTCTTGGTAGTATAAATCTAGCCGATGGTCCCGGATGAAAAGCCAAACTATTGAAACTATTGATCAAACATCTCGTTACCCTGTTCACTTAAAGGCTTACTTGCTGAACTCTTGAGTCTTTCACTTGCTCAAGTGCTGTGTCCATTTTTGCCCCTTTAGCTCCGGGAGAAGACAAGAAAAACCGCTCTCCGGCACCTGTCCCTACACTTCGCCTCCCGTCGCATCGGTAATACACGCCATTTCTTTCTTGTCCCGCTAGATTCCGCTCAAGCGCAACAGGTCCAGTCCAACATAGTCCGTCGCCCCGCCAGAAAAGAAAAAAATCTACCCCGCCCCCACCTTGCGCCTTCTGAGAGAATAAAAAAAAAAAGAAAGAAAGCGAGCACGCGTGTCGCAAAGCTACTTCCCCATATCGGCGGACTAATATCTCACAAAGACCAAACCCTTTTCTTCCTTTCTCTTCCCCACTGCCCCCCTTCCCCTTCTGCTCCTCCCTTCCCCATCCCTTCTCTATATACACCAATTCTCGACCCAATTCTCCTCGCCAATTCCTCCTCCTCTCCCAATCACCGCAGCCATGTCCACCGAATCGCAGCCTCTCCCCCTCAACGTCGCCGAGACCAACGGCACCTCGACCTCTGATGCCGTGCCCCCTTCACCGTCAAGGCCGGTCTCGCCCAGATGCTCAAGGGCGGCGTCATCATGGACGTGACCAACGCCGAGCAGGCCCGCATCGCCGAAGAGGCCGGTGCCTGCGCCGTCATGGCCCTCGAGCGCGTGCCCGCCGATATCCGAAGGGACGGCGGCGTCGCCCGCATGTCCGACCCCGCCATGATCCAGGAGATCCAGGCCGCCGTCACCATCCCCGTCATGGCCAAGGCCCGCATCGGCCACTTTGTCGAGTGCCAGATCCTCGAGTCCCTCGGCGTCGACTACATTGACGAGTCCGAGGTCCTCACCCCCGCCGACAAGGAGCACCACGTCGACAAGAGCCCCTTCAAGGTCCCCTTTGTCTGCGGCTGCCGTAACCTCGGCGAGGCCCTCCGCCGCATCGCCGAGGGCGCCGCCATGATCCGCACCAAGGGCGAGGCCGGCACCGGCGACGTCGTCGAGGCCGTGACCCACGTCAAGACCCTGACCCGCGACATTGCCCGCGCCAAGGGCGTCCTCGCCACCGAGGGTGCCAATGGTATCCGCGCCCTCGCCAGGAGATTGGCGTCGACGCTACCCTGCTCCAGCAGACTGCCGAGCTCGGCCGTCTCCCCGTTGTCAACTTCGCCGCCGGCGGCGTTGCTACCCCCGCCGATGCGGCTCTCATGATGCAGCTCGGCTGCGACGGCGTCTTTGTCGGCAGCGGCATCTTCAAGTCTGGCAACCCTGCCCAGCGCGCCAAGGCTATCGTCGAGGCCACCACCCACTTTAGGGATGCCGCCGTTCTCGCTAGGGTCAGCGCTGGTCTCGGTGAGGCCATGGTTGGCATCAACTGCGACAGCATGAAGCCCGAGGAGAAGATGGCTGGCAGGGGCTGGTAAATCGGCTCCCGCTTTTGTGAGCTTGGCCTTTCCGGACCTAGGACGGGAAGATGATACCTAATTTCGAATATCTTTTATAGCGAGGACTTATTACCGGTGTATTGCTTTTTTACAGTGTTGGTTTGGGACCAATGGGAAAAACAAAAATAAGAAGAGGCATGCAACAAAAAAGAAGACAAAAAAGAAGAAGAAAGAACCGTGGACAGGATGGGTGGGACAAGGCACAGTTCAGGCTCGAGGGAACAGGTTCGCCCGCCGTCCCCCATCTGAGGGAACAGCATGGAGTGTGCTTCCTAGACTGGGGGATGCTTCTCGTTCCACCTTCATGGTCACACTTCTGGTGCGTGTCATATTCGCACCACACTTCAAGGGGAGGAAAAGGAAAGAAGACCCTCTTTATATCTTCTCTATACGTTCAACAGTCAACAGTCTCGATAGCATGTAAATGCAATTCATAGCATGGATAGGCGAAAATTTCAACATGTATTTCACAACCTTTGCTGCACCTTGTGACTTGACGGGACATGGCCGTTGCCGTCCGGCTCCCTTTCCTTTGAGGACTGAATACCGTCCGACCCCTTGAGGCGTCTATTCTTTTTCAATTTGGTAAGCCCTGCTAGCTAGTGTAAAAACGAAGGGGAACAATACATCATGCTGTTCCTATCCCCTCTTGAACATTTTATTAGTGTTGTCCGTTTTTACTGATGCTCTCCTTGGTTTCTCAAGCTATGCTTCTAAGTTTTATCGACAGCCGATGGCAGCTGCGGCGGAAGTGGCAGATGTGCCGATTGTAGGCGATCACCTTTGACCTTGCCTGAACCGAGCCGAGATCATGGACTCCTTCTCCGCACAAGCTGCTCATCGTATCCATCCCCAATTTGTCCAACACGCAGCACAAAGAAAGAAAGTCCAATCGCACGGAAAGACCTAACCAAGGAACACGATTCTCTTCTACGTCTCCGAGTACATCAACAAGCGATTCAACATGGCAATTGGCCTCGCGCGAACCTTTGTCTGCCGCGCCTGCCGCACGTCGCAGGTGCAGAGGAGCTTCGCGACAGCGGCAGCTGGTGCGTCGGCCCAGCAGGCGCAGTCCTTTGACACCCGGGTCAAGGTGGTCGAGGTGGGCCCTCGCGACGGGCTGCAGAACGAAAAGGTGTCGATACCGCTGGCGACCAAGATTGAGTTGATTGAGAGGTTGGCGAGGACCGGACTCTCTACTATTGAGGCTGGGTCCTTTGTTTCCCCAAGTGGGTTCCACAGGTAGGATCGTTTTTCCTCTTTCCGGTGCCGAGAATGAGTCTTTAGGAGTGAATACGAGGCTCAGGAAAGCAAAGCTACGGCTAACTAATTTCGGGGTTGACCTCCCATAGATGAGCAACTCGAGCGAGATACTACAACACATCCTCACGCAAAAGATTTCCTCTCCTCGACCGATATCCTTCTCCTTCCTCGCCCCCAACAGCAAGGGGTTCTCGTCGGCCTCGGAAATCCTGCAGCAGAACCCGCACGCCTTCCTCACCGAGATCGACCCCCTCGCGGCGCCCTCGGCCGACGCCACCGCTCCGATCCCGGCCGTCGAGCTCGCCGTGTTCGCGGCCGCCACCGAGTCCTTTACGCAAAAGAATCTCAACTGCGACATCGCCACCTCGCTCGATAAATTCAAAGACGTGATTCGCGACGCTAAACTCATGAACCTGCGCGTGCGCGCCTACATCTCCGTCGTGCTGGGCTGCCCGTTTGAGGGCCACGACGTGGACCCGCACAAGGTGGCGGCCATGGCGACGGATCTGCTGGAGGCGGGCGCGGACGAGATCTCGCTCGGGGACACGACGGGCATGGGTACGGCGCCGCGGACCAAGGCGCTGCTGAGCTGCATGACGGCGGCGGGGATCCGCAACGAGGATATCGCCATGCATTTTCACGATACGTATGGGCAGGCGCTGGTGAATACGGCGGTGTCGCTGGAGCACGGGATTCGCATCTTTGATTCGTCGGTGGGCGGGCTGGGCGGGTGTCCCTATAGTCCTGGCGCGACGGGCAATGTGGCGACGGAGAACATGGTGTATTTCCTCGAGACGCTGGGCATGGATACGGGTGTGGACTTGGACGCGGTGACGGATATTGGGCAGTGGATTACGGGGCAGCTGGGCAAGGGGAACGAGAGCTCTGTGGGCAAGGCTGTGCTCGGTGCGAGGAAGCGGTCGGCGTCTGTGTAAACGTGTGGTTCGTTTCACGTCGGCCCCTACCTAGCGGAGATTGTCGACGCCTTCACGATGCCAGGGAGAGGGGAGAGCAAGGCTTTTCTCTGCTTGGTTCTTGAAGGGAATCACGGAAGACAATTAGAATGTCACGGACGGAGAGGGCTGCTCTTTGACCCGTTTAGTTCGTCCGTTTAGTTTAAAGAAATTCGTAATCTTTGAAACACTCATACATAGAGTTAGTTATCAAGGGTAAAAACATAGACATGTGCAGTGCGTGGGCTATTGTTTGACATGATCACGGTATCTGATGTTGAGCTAGGCTACAGAATAAACGGAGCGGGACCGATATCCTAGGCCCAATAGCTCGCCCTCTTGAGCGCATGTGGCACGAATGCTAAGAGATAGCTGAGGCCGTGCGAGGTGCCTCGATCAATTGAGTGAACCCGAGCATCGAGCATGAGGGTTCGCGCCTCGCTATCTCGAGGATGCAAAACGCTTGCAGGATCCAGTCACCGTGCAAGGGATTCAGTAGCCTTGTATATATTCTCTTGTTTTTATTTGTTAGGTCAAGAATCTTGACCTATGAAGAAACGTTCAAGTCGAGGCTGACCTCTAGCAATTGTAAGAGCTTCTGCTATCAGTAGCTCGAGATCCAAGGCCTCACAGGTCGAGGGAGCGGGGCAGTCATGTGATGTCACTGCTATCTTCCATGTCGCCGCTGATGCCGCGCAAAAGGTTGCAAGGGAGCCCACACAATTCGTTCGCCCACTGTGCTTCCCCCTGTCCGAGCTCGAGACTTGTGCCGTGCTCTCCTCCCCCTCCTCGAGTCCCCCGTCCCTTGAATAGCCCACACTACGCAGCACTCGAGCACCTTTTTTGAGGGAGAAGCTTGAACCAAGGTAACTGGACTAGACTGGGCACTGCTGGAGCCTTTTACATTTTCCGCCGAGCGAGCCTCAAATCTTGGACCAACTTTTTACTCCACCCGCCATAATCTACGCAATCCCAGAATCCGCCTCTCCCCCAAAAACCCTCTCTCGTGCTCCCCTTCCTGGCCGATCACCTGCCTCGTTCCCTTTTGTGCTCTTTGTTCAAATTATACTGTAGCCGGGCCTGTTCATTTTCTCTTTCTCTACTTTTTTTCTCCTTCTTCTTCTTCTTCCTCTTCCCCTCCTCTCCCACTCTCCTGGGGCCGATAGCATTTTACGCCACATCCCTCCGATAGCTTAGTCCTCCACCGAGCTAGGCACCCGGATTTCGTTGGTGCGGCAGTATTCGTCATCGTAGCTTCTCCCACTTACCACTCAACTACTCACCACCACTCCCACAACCCAAACACACACCCACGCACACCCCCATACCGAACTACCATATTTCACCATGGGAGACTCACGAGCGCCGCCCAGGACGAGCTACTCCGTCGTCCCTAGGGTCAACTACAACACCGTCAACAGTGTCGTCGGCCCCCTGGTTATCCTCGACAAGGTGCGAAATTCCCCGCCGTTCGGTCCCTCTCCCCTTCCGCCATCCAAGCTCCCGCCCTCCTTCGAGCACCTCGAACACTGACAACCCCTCTCCCCAAATAGATCAAGTTCCCTCAGTACAATGAAATTGTTACCCTCACCCTTCCCGATGGCTCGGAGAAGCACGGCCAGGTTTTGGAAACTCGAGGTTGGTGCAAGCTCCTTCTCCCCTGCGTATAGGATTTCGCTTCTTGCCCCTCTTGCACCGATGGCTAACCGGGTTTAACTTGCGCAGGTGACCGTGCTGTCGTCCAGGTACGGCCGATGATCCTTCCGACTATCCTCTACTATCGAACGACAGCGCATGCTAAGCTATTTTCCCGCAGGTTTTCGAGGGCACTACCGGTATCGACGTGAAGAAGGTTCGTTTGATAGCCACGCAAACCCGGACAGCTGCGGTCCTGCAGCATAATTCTCTCTCTAACGCATTGGATAGACAAGGGTCGAGTTCGCCGGCCACAGCTTGAAGCTTGGTGTCTCCGAGGACATGTTGGGCCGTGTCTTTGACGGTTCCGGCCGCCCGATTGACAAGGGCCCCAAGGTGCTTGCCGAGGAATACCTTGACATCAACGGATCCGCCATCAACCCATATGCACGAGTTCGTCACACCCCGATTCCCCTCTGCAAGATAATCGTCATGAAGCCGAGACTTATACCCCTTGTCTACTATATAGGAATATCCCGAGGAGATGATTGCGACTGGTATCTCCACCATCGATACCATGAACTCGATTGCTCGAGGCCAAAAGATTCCCATCTTCTCCGCCTCCGGTCTTCCCCACAACGAGATTGCTGCTCAGATTTGTCGCCAGGCCAGTTTGGTTAAGAAGCAGGGTATCACCAACAAGGGCGTGCACGACGGCCACGAGGAGAACTTCTCCATTGTCTTCGGCGCCATGGGTGTCACCCTCGACACTGCCCGCTTCTTTACCAGGGACTTTGAGGAGAACGGCAGCATGGACCGTGTCACCCTGTTCATGAACTTGGCTAACGATCCTACGTATGGCCTTCCCCTTACCACTGCCCTTTGCCGTCGTCGTTTGCGCTCTTTTATGTTTTGGGTGGTCGGTTACTGGAAAACGAGGAGCTGATTTTGCCCGTAGTATCGAACGTATCATCACCCCTCGTCTCGCGCTTACCACTGCCGAATACTACGCCTACCAACTCGAGAAGCACGTCCTCGTCATTCTTACCGACATTTCCTCCTACTGCGATGCTCTCCGAGAGGTATCGACCGCCCGCGAGGAAGTCCCCGGTCGTCGCGGTTATCCCGGTTACATGTACACGGATTTGTCCACGATTTACGAGCGAGCTGGCCGTGTGACTGGCAGACAGGGCTCCATCACCCAGATTCCTATTCTCACCATGCCCAACGATGACATTACCCACCCCATTCCCGATTTGACGGGCTACATTACCGAGGGCCAAATCTTTGTCGACCGATCTCTTCATAACCGCGGCATCTACCCTCCCATCAACGTGCTTCCTTCACTCTCCCGTCTCATGAAGTCTGCCATCGGTGATAAGATGACGCGAAAGGACCACAGCGACGTCTCTAACCAGCTCTATGCCAAGTACGCTATCGCCCAGGATGTTTCGGACATGAAGCGTGTCGTTGGTGAGGAAGCCATGACCGAAGAGGATCACCGCTGCCTTGAGTTCCTCTCCAAGTTCGAGGGCGAGTTTATTGGCCAGGAGCCTACGAGGCACGAACTGTCTTTGAGTCCCTTGACAAGGGCTGGGAGATGCTCGGACTTTCAACCAGGATGAGCTGAACCGTATTCCCGCCAAGATCCTCAACGAGTTCTTCACTAGGAAACCGGCCGAGAGCCAGAGCGAGTCCCGGCGGAGGGAGCCTCAGCAGACGGAGAACTTGATCGATGCGTAGGAAACTACACGGTTTGAAGTCTTTCTGCATTTCGAAGAGTACGTGAGAGCAGGCTAGTTTTTCCTTCAAAAGAGCGCCGCTGCTGGGAGATTGCAACAACCTGGGAGGAATGGACGAGGCGTAGTCTCGGGTCAGAAGCGAACAAATGCTTTTCCCACACCCCCTTTTGATTTGAAAAAGGGAAAGGGGTTTTCTTATCTATTTTCGTTGTCTTGTTTACTTTTTTCGGTTCTGGTTTTATGTCCTATGGAGGGCCAACCGTAGGACAAGGTAGATGCATACGAGTGGAAGGAGAAGCGTGCCGCTGAAAGGGTATTTCTTTTTGTTCATCGGACCAGCTTCTTCCCGAAACCTTTTTTGTTTAATCTGGATCTTGCTATTCCGTGGGCTAGTAGAGTGTTATCTATAATGGGGTGAGCACACCAGTTTCCCTTTAGCCTCGACGTGCCCATGCCCCTCGCCATCCGACGTGCTTTCTTTCTCTATATCTTGAATCCTCGTAGCCCCCCGTCTTGGCGGTCATGGATTATTGAAACGAACGGACTCTTGGGGAAATCGAGAGTCCGTTCGTCCCCATATGTGTCTGACCGGCCATCCACGAGAAGCGTCATTTCGTCGTCTGGATCGGCATCGTCATTTGACATTCTGTATCAAGATTCGTCAATCCCTTGATACCCTCTTGCCCCATTCCCGAGAAGCTTTTTGCCTTGGAAAGCACGCAAGATAGTATCCCACCGTGCCTACCACGGAAGCGGAGTCCAAGGCAAGGGGAAAAGGAAACAAGGCACGCACCTCCAGCGCTCGCTATTCCTTCCCTTGTGATCCAAAGCATGAACGACGTAGTGTGGACAAGGCAGACGGGGAGGAAGCGCTTGCATAGAGATGGTATCAAGTAGCTAGAGGCACAACAAAGGTCAACGACAGCACAGCATGGCGGCTTCATACCGTGTTCTACCTACGTATGTGTACTCATACCGTGACTGCACCGAGGGTTAGCACCTCAACTCAATTCTTTACAGGAAAGCAATGTTTCACGACACATGCATAGATTACAAGGTTGGAAAGATTCTAATAGATAAGAGTTTATTTGTTCCACTGCTACTATTTCTTCGCCAAACATGTCGTGCTAGCCTCCTATTCTGAGGCTGCGTTGAGAATCTCATTCATAAATCATACATATAGATTTGAGCCATGCAATATAGTAAATTCTTTCTTTTTTTTTTTCATATTTTGTGTTCTTTCTTTGTAACGACCATAAACATCAAGACATGGATCCTGGATGAGGAACAGGTCTCTGGTCAAAGAGTATGTGGGGATGTTTGGGTTTCTAAATAAGAAAAGAGAGCCCAGAGGCGCCTTTTATTGTCCAGGGTGGAGCGGGGGACGGAGAAGCAAATATCTCCAGGTCCTCCAGTGTCGAACGAGATCGAAAAGGATAGAAAACGACGAGAAATAAACAAAATTGCTTGCGCCGCCCTTTCCGAGTGATTCCCGTGTAATAGACCCGAAAGACTCGATTGGTGAGTGGAAAAAAGAAAAGAAAAGTTGAAAGCAGAGTGTGTACCCGGGGTCTCTTTTGTCCGTTGAACGCCTTGAACCCATGCCGTTTGTCGCGCAAGTTAAAAGTCGGATAATAAGCAAGTATGCACATGAGAAAGTGAGAAAGCCGCCCTAGCTAAGGGCTCAAAGAAACATTGCCTTGAAATCTTAGATACCCTCGGTAAGGTTGCTTATCCTCTCCCAGGTAGATTCGAGCCTCTCGGATATCCTCTGGACGCGGGCCATGGCAACAATCGCGTTCTGCTCCTCCTGCGAAGCATCAAGCAGCTCGTAACGGGCAAGCACCTTCTCGGGCTCAAGTCCGCCAAAGATGTTGACACGCCACGAGTCCTCAGCTTCGGTCTCGACCGAGACTTCGGTGGCGGGAGCTGCGTGGTAAAGAGCGAAGTCGGGGTTGGACTCAAACTCGGGGTCGACGGGAGGCATCTCAGGAGCGGCCGGTTCCATCGACTTCTCTAGGACCGGGCGGTCGATGACCGGGGCCTGGACCTTGTCCTCGGAATCAAACTGCTCGCCAACAAAGTTGGACTTCTTCCCGGAGAGGATGCCGGCATCAAAGGAAGCGGGCATCTCGGGAGTTTCGAGAAGAGCAAAGACCCTGGGTTGGTAGTTGAAGCTGCCGTCATTCTCGAGCCTAAGCATGGACATGTCCATGGACTGCTCGGGAATCATCGTCAAGCCGATGCGCTGCTGCTGGTGGAGCTGGGCGAAAGGGTTGGGATCCTTGGGGGCCTGACGACGCTCCTGCTGCTGCTGCTGGTGTTGCTGCTGCTGCTGCTGGACGGGCTGCGCCTGCATTTGAGTAGCGGCCTGGGCAAGGTTCGCGGGGTTGGTGCTGAGTTGATCGAGGAAATCCGAGAAGGATGGCGAGGATAGGAGCATGTGGGTAAGGTCGGTAAGACGCTTGTTCTCTTCTGCGAGGGCCCGGTTCTGGACATGGAGATCGCCATTCTCGGAAACCTTGGTGGCAATTTCGCTTTCAAGCTGGGAGATGTATTCTAAAAGACGATAGTTAGTAACGAATCCTCAAACTGCGGTCAAGTAGCAAATAACAAAAGACGAATTGCAACTCACCCTTGCGTCTCGATCGGAAGGCGCGAGCGGAGACCTTGTTCCGAAGCTGTCTGCGTTCCTTGCTGCTGAGCTTCTTGCCCTCCTCGCTGGCCAAGAGCCTTTCGTCCTCGTCCATATCATCCTCGTCTTTCCTGAGCTTGGGCATGTTGAGCATGGGCATCGACTGCGAGCCGTCTCCATTGGCAGGCTTGGCTCGCATCGAGTTGAGGAGCTGGGTAATCTTCTGCTCGACGATGGGATCGGTGGGTTGGCCGCTCTTGGCCCTAGCCTTGGGCTGGACAGACCCTTGCCTCTGCACTTGTTGTTGACGCTGAGCCTGTGCCTTGGCATTCGCAGCCTGAGAGTGCATACCGGGCCAGAGACGACCGGGCGTCATCATCGAGTTAGGTACTCCGTTAGGAGACGCCTGGTCGCCGAGAGCGCTGGGGTTGACGGTGTTCTCGAAAAAGAACTGATCCGTCGTCGCGGAGTCGAACTCCATGTCGATCTCAGAAGCACCAATGGAACCCTGGGAAGGGGCCGTGTTGAAGTCGAAGATCTCCTCGTTGGGGCTCAGGCCGAGATATTCGAGGCCAACGCCGTTGTAGCCCGCAACCTGGCTGCTCTGGTTGATGGCAAGGGTGCTGGCGAGGGCACCGGGGACGATACCGGTCTGTTGCTTGTAGAGCTCATACTGGTGGCTCGGGCGCGTCAAGGGCTGCGATGCCGAAGGCATAGGCTGGGCTTGGACCTGGCCCATCGGCCTGGCGAAGACGGCATTCTTGTTCGCGGTGGTAGGAGAGAGAGGGAGACTGATAGCTCGTTACATTATCGTAGTCTGAGAAGTCGAACAAGCCTTCGAGGCCGTCGTTAGGTTGGCTCGGGGCCGACATTGTTGGAGTTGGGGTATGCGAAACCCAATTGCCTTAGGCCCTAGAACGGGGTTGACTCTTTGGTTGTCAAATGAGGGTGACGTGAGCCTTTCCTCCAAGATCGCTACAGTGGTGGCAAAAGACGTAGTCGCCGGGGTAAGGGTACGGTCGAGAGTATGACAGTTTCTTGGTAGGATTGTTGTGCGAGAATTGTGAGTGTGAGGGATGGATTCGCGTTCGACGGGAAATCAGTGATTGATAGCTGACGACGACGGCGAAATTTCGAAGATGGCAAGAGAAGTTGTGTTGAAGAAAGAGGAGTCGAGGAAAGTTGGTGCCTGGACGGGGAGGAGGGAAGGCGTGCTGGAAATAACAAAAGCCAGAGAGCAAATGCGGATGCCTGGGGATCAGTGCTGGGAAGGAAGGGGCAGAGCAGCGCCTGGGAGAGTGGATCGGTACTTCCATCCAGGAGAAGGCCTGTCGCCCAATACAGCCAGGCGGTACCCCGGTGGAGAAGGGGTGATTCCATCTGGAAGGTGTCGGAAGGCCGCCCGGGGCGTGGGTTCCTTGCCAGGAAGAAAAGACAGCGAAGGCCAGTCTCTGGCCAATCAGATGCTCTTGGTGGGGTGTGCCACATGGCTGTGGGGGTGGACGCATTGAAAAAGCAGGGATTAGGCCCATTCAAGGAGGGGGAAAGGACGCGTAAGCCTTTCTTCACAGGACGGGATTTCCATCGAGGTATTACATGAGAGTTGAGTGTACACATTCAATCCGCTCGTACCCAGAAGTCCCTCTCTCACCACAAACTCGCCGCTTCATGCCTGACCAGAGACCAAGAGCTACCTCGGTCTGATGACGCCTACCAGCGAGGTGAGAAGTACCTGGGCGCCGGGGCACGTCCTGTAATCGTCCAGCCCATTTGCTGATGCTCGCCGTCAACCATCCCCTTCCACATTGGCACAGAGCCATTTCGCCCATTCATCCAGGAGGCTACAAAGTCTAGTTCGGAGATGAGTGTGCTCAAGTTTTTATTAAGGATTGATGGGATTTCATTACCAGAAAGGAGTTTTTGCTATCTATTTTTCCCTTGTCTTTTTTTACCTCTTATTTTGCCCCTCTTTCTTTTTTCCTGTGATTTATTGCAAGAATTCCCCAAAGGGGACATCGATATCACCGTCCGAGGCAAAACCTTCCGCATCGAAGGGACAGACCACATGTACTGTGTTGTCTGGTTCTTTTCAAGCGCCTTTTGTCGTCGGTTTTGCTTTGTGCAGGCGCAGGCGGGTCTCGCTCAGCAATCCAGCAGCGCTAGCCTCAACTCCTGATGGGTGACGAGGCCGATGGCTCAGATACCTGGCAATGTTAGGTGCTGAGCACACCTCGGCCAAGCGACTTGCGTGATTCCGTTAGACTGATAGGCCTAACAGGTGCCATCTGCGGATTAGTGATTGATAACCGTGGTCTGTCCTCCCCTACACTCTGCTCCGCCCAGTTGTCGTAACTCGTATCTGTCGCGTATGACGGATTCCTCTCGGGTGGGGTGCAATACTTTTCCACAGCACGGTGATCCGTCCATCTACTTGGATTCATTTCATTCTATCCGTCCATTCAACCCAATTCCATCCGTTTCGGCCGTAACACTATTATCTTAGAGAGAAAGTCAATGCAACGAGAACTTGGTTCGAAACATTGAACACCATATCAAGGCCAGCGCAATTCCGAGCCTGAAGGCAGTTCTGGTCGCACACCGTCACTCGAGGAAATGGAAAAGAATGAGACCAAAAACAACCCGTGCTGCGGACATTCATTCAAGAAGCAGAGGAACCATCTCAATCGAGAGACAACCCGCGCGCTGACGAGTCCTCGGGTTGTTTTTTATGCAGCTACGGAGTACATGACCGAAAAGGGCTTACGGATTCCTGGTGCGTGCCGTCCATGCCTGGGGTATGGACTTCCCAGAACTTCATAGTACACAGCCATTGGACTGTCCGATAAACTTGAATGTGCATCAAATGTCATGTCAACCACACAAACACCCCCATCTGCGGCGACACGCGGCGTTCCAGAAGCAGAGCGCCATGGTCTCGAAGTACAAGTACCCATCCGATTTATCGACATCGCGTTGGGGATAGCTGCTTGCATGTTCCAGTTGACGGGGTGTTTTAAGACGACAGCGGCCATGAGAGCCAGCAATGCTGAAGATTTTTGTGAGGGTGGATGGGACGGCGCGTCATCAAGACATTGCTTTCGCTCGAATGTGACACGACTTTGACAGTTTCGACAATGCCTGCCCCATGCCATGTCCCGCGCGGCATGGTTGCTTTATCCCCCAATACCATATTCGTACTTGCCTGATGAGTTCTCGCCGAGACCGCCAGCGCGATGCAATGCAGAGGGCTGAAAGAAAGGCGGTCATACGCAATCCAGCCAGCGATGGATAAAACGAAACTTGTCAGGGATCATGAAGCTTAACCAAGAGGAAACTTGGAGGTGAGCTAACTCGTTGATTCTCATTCTCTGAGAAGACACACAAACGGCCAAACGGGATGGCAAGGCCGCTAGCAGAACAAGTCAGTTAATCCAAGCGGTCGGCCCTATCAAACAGGCGGGCGTAGAAGAGGCGTGGGTCATGGCTGGCCGGGAAAATAGCGCTGTTGGGTTTGACTGGACCGACTCGATTGACCCAGATTGAAGAGAGATTGATCAAGCAGCGCCGGAAAAGCCTCCAGGGCACGTCAACTGGCTCGTCCATCCAGTTGAACGCAACTAACCATCGATTAGCCCCATCTGAATGGAGTGTATGGCTGATCCGGAGAGGCCGCCGGCACGCAGTCGCCCAACAGGTGCTCTATCGTCTCCTTTCCCCACCCTCATCCGAAAGATGTCAGACAGACCCGCGCCTAAAGCAACAAGCAAGGATTGATTGATTGAGGGTATCCATGGAGCCCGCATTATGCTGCCCCTCTTCCCCTCAGACCAAGGTCTCTTTTTATTTTGTTTCTTATGCCACGCCCTACCAGAAGAGCCCATCACAGCGCTGAATATCCTTCGTTTCTTCGCTCAAGCACGGTTTGTACTCACTTTCCTACTACTGCCCCACCAAGATGCCCCCAGCGTGTTTCAAAGCCCTCGGCCATTATCTCATTACTTGCTCAGGCTAGGGCTGACGCTCCACAGACCCATTCAACTCGGTCCAAGCAGTGACTGCTCCCTTCAGAGTACCCACGCCAGTCTCAGGGGATGCTGCCCTCCACTTTTCCGGCGGTCACTCACTAAAATTAGTAGACTCGGCCAAGGCGTGCCTCTCACGATAACTTCAGTAGAGTGTGTATTAATAGCTTAGACTCAACTTTGAACTGTGCCCGAAGCGGTACTTGGCTAGTGCCAGCGCAATCGTGGAATTCGCCCCTCATAAAGTCCCACCTCCTTAAGAAAAACAGATACCTCAGGCTTTGATCCAGTGATCAGTCCAATCCCGCAGTCAGGTCAACATGACAGTGAATGGGACCGGCGGTGGGGATGGTGGACGTTAGTGTCCACCGCAAGGGCCGAGAATCCCATATCCGGGACACGGGGCACCTCAAAACAGAGAGTTAAGACTTGAACCAGTTTCGACTCAATCTATCGATGCGTTCCCCTGAGGCAAAATGGAAACTATACAGATTGACCTCAGCCAATCTGTGGAGTCTGGAGGTCGATCACAAAGAGAGCCAGGCGCCAGGGAGAGAAAGGCAGTAGAGGTGTACCCGAAGATCACCCACTCCGGCTGGAGGGAAATTCGACTCAACTCTGTCAGGGATCGTCGGGAAGACCAATATTTCAAATCAAGCTTGATAATATTAATCCCGTTGATGGCACAGTGAGTCTCGTGTTCCACACGACCACAGGGTTTTCTTTGCACAGCCACTGGTGGTGATTTCCCGCCCCTTTTCGGTCTCTGCTGTTTTGTTTTTTGTTATCTCTCCCAGGGTCGAAACAGATGGTCCGGACTTGGAGTGCATGATCTTCCAACGGATTTGCGCATCACACCGATGGGCTACCAAGTAGAGGGTTCTAGAAGCCATTGACGACACTAGGTGGGATGGCCTTTGCCACTCGATCCGAGGATGAACCGGCCGCAACCTTGATGCTGGGCAGAGAGGCAAAAGCATTTGCGCAGGCCAGCACAGCCCTCACAAGAATATTGGAAAGAAAGAAAAAAATATTCACAAATCAAATTAGGCTCTCTGATCATTGCCCTAATGGATCTGTTTCCATCACAACGGGCAACTCAGCCTGGCATCAACATTGCTGAAGCTCAGCCATGCGCCATGACATCGCCTCAGTGCTGACAAGCGGCGGGATCGTGAACCAAAAAGAAATCCCCGAACCTGGTGTCCTGTGCACGCCAGAAGGGGCAGGGGACAACAGGGGAGGAAAAAAGGGAATCGGGGAAAAAGCCACACAGAGTCTACGCATGAAGCCACACTCTGCCCCGTCAACTCCCCTTTCCAATCTGGCTTTTCCGAGAATCAAATCACTGTCAAAATGAGCCAGAAGGCAGAAAGGGGACAGCAAGCAAGCATTGAAGAGATGGATCCATCCATAGATGCTGGATACTTCGGTGTGGGTCTGTCATCCACTATTCCCGCTTTGGACCTCGCTCTTCGGGGTTTTGCTTATTGCCTGCTCTCGCTCTCGCCCTATCGCCGCGCAGGTTCAGGCGGGGGCCGGCTTTAAAGGAATGTGAGATGATCGGGCCCTCGGGTATTTGCTCACAACCGTGCTGTGCGCTAACGAACTTACCAAAAGCGATGCTTTTCTCCGGCCCCGACGCCTGAGCTCGCATCGGATTACTTTTTTAGAGCTCTGTATAGGTAAAGCTCAGGTCACAAGGCGAGGTAAGCTGGGCTGCACCTTGCGTACAAAGCTCATGACTGGGAGCTTTTACTCAGAAAAGTGCGTGGCAGAGGGTCGCAAAATGCCCTCGGAATACACCATCTGTCGGCTTCCACACTTCTTGTTGTACCGGGGTAGGATGAGACCAAAAGCATTGTATCTTTGATGGGAGGATCGCATCACAGTCCCCAAAAGGCCTCGCGATCTATCAACTTGAGATTTTTCCCTCTCCCTTGAGGACCGGAAAAATAGGTTAATTCTGGCCTGGGAGGGGGTCCCTTTAAGTGCGGTTGGCGGTCTTCTCGTTTTCTCTCGCCATATGTTGCCTGGTTGCCTCTTGCAGTCCTGCAAGGGACGAGAGGTCGTCGTGAATCGCTCGCCGGGAATTTCAAGATTAGTGAAGTTTTCTATTGATTGAAGAGGGGTACAGAGAGATCTTCGTTCGCTCGTTTATCTTTTCTGGCAAAAGCTTGACACTCTTTGGTTTACCGGGACGTCGCCCTCCGGTGACCGAGCCCTGCCTTTCCGGGATTCTGTGTACTCAACATTGAACCCCAAGATGTAAGATGTCTCTCCTCCTTGGTTTTTCTAACTTTGCCCCCTCGCTCGTCGCCCTTCGTTCCCCACATTCTCACACTACCCGGAGAACCATCATATAATGGCATTGTCGATTGGCATTTCATCCGAACATATCAATCTGTTCGAGTGCCTTTGGACTTAGCCGTGATCGCTGGTTCAGCGCGGTGCCCTTAGCCGAGCATATCCTCTCCTCATCTCTCTACCGGCCAGGAAATAGGGAACCTGTGGTCTGGAGCCACCGATATGTCCACATCCCTCTCTCCAAAGTGCCTTGTCCTTTCCCTCTACGTGTGTGTCGAGGCCGACGACTGAAGAGAAAATAAGGAAGAAAAGGTCCGCTGTTTTCTTATTATGTCCAGGCCATTTTTTATCATCTCCCGCGCTTCGCTCTCTTGCCTTGCCAATCAGGGCTTCTCAAGACACAGAAGAGCGATATTGACGCTGTGGGGTCCATTTATCTGCGGCATCTGAGCGATATAAACAACGTTCACCCCATTCGACGTCGGCCGCCATCTAAAGCGAAGAGACGTGAAAAACAAAGATCGGCCTGGTCAAATACCGGCATAGTCAACTACAGTACGATGTAGAACTTTTGCAGATGCATTTGATCGCACTAATCCTCCCCGCTCTCATCCTAGAGGATGCAAAGCAAATCGCGATGCGCCCGCTCTACATCGCTTGTTTGTTATAAATTCTTTAAGTCGAATTCTGCCAACCACATAGCTGCGGGCCATGGGCACTCACTCTGATACCCTGCGAGGGCACACACCAACACGAGACCAGCATGGCGGTTCAACTTCTGCTCTCGTATGCATGGGCTATCTGCGAGTAGGTGGCGATTGCTTTAGACTGGTAAAACTGACGAGAAGTGGGTTAAAGTGGCGTGAAGACGGCGCGCGGGGCTAACCAGTCCCCGGTTGGCCTCTTTCGTGACACCAAGAGGAAGAGGGCTGGATTACCTGTTGGTCCTTCAAGAGGCGAGTGTAGTGATGACATGCGCGACGACCACAGCCAGGGTGCCCTCCCTCCTTTTTCTCACATTACTTACACCGCGCCCACGGATTCCGCCAATTTTCGGAGGAATGCCCACGATGGCGATTGGGAAATCATGCCCGAGCCCGTCACCCTTGCGCTGGCTCACTCGATCTGCGATCCTGATCCGTGGGGAAAACGGAAATCTTCATGCGTCCCATGTGTCACCAGGGGGTTGACATTGGAGGTTTACTTTCGTAGCGGCATCCACGTACAAGGCTAGCGGTTATGACGGCCCATGCTGGTAACAGATGATGGGTCCTCCCTCTTTTCAATAGTTTGCACTCTCTTCAAGTAGGATGCTCCTTTCGCTACCTCGAACTTGACTTGACACCTCGCGTCAAGAGCTGACATGTGGACGATGTGCGCAAGTTTTTATGCGTGCAACGTACACGCACGCTTGTGTGACCTCCCCCGCCTGCCCCCGAACCTCTTTTCTTCTAACAAGAGAAGAAAGAGAGGGAATAGGAGACATGGTCCCTAGATGTCTTCCACTTCCTATTGTCCGAAGTGGGGAGCCGAGAAAAAGATAGGTCGCAGCTCAGAGGTGAGACTAAAGGAAGCCTCACGACGCGTCCGATCCAAATGCCCTCAAACTCTTACTTTTCTCACCTTTCTTTTTGCGCATGAACTGGGGAGGGCAGGGATCTTTTGACTCTTTTGACACTTTTGACCTCCCCATGGAAGTTCTAGACCACGATGAAGCAAGTCGTGACACCATAGAAACAGGCCACTTGCATTGCTATTCTCTCTCTTCACCTCCCCCGCATTTTCTCTAACAATTGGCTACGCCCCGGCGCTCAGCGGCCCCCGTGCCCCGGTCGTTTCAGTGTTGCGTGGGTCTGTGGGTGAATCTCCTATCGGGGCTTTTTCCCTCTCTCCTTTCGCCTCATTCCCTTACTCCTATTTTTGGATCATTGCATGTCACATCCCCTTGCGCTTGAAGACAAGACCAAAAGAAAGAAATTTGGTACTGTGCCTTCCCGCCAGATGAGCGGACCCTGGCAAGGAGGCTCAAAGGGTTCGGCGCGGCTTGGGCCTCACGACGCAAACTTGAAGTGTCTTCGTTATCCTTGGGGCCCACTTCGTAGCCGTGGTCAAGTGTGAAGGATGCCAATGCGAGACCCGGTCCCTGGCCCGAAGAGAATTGAAGAAACAGAAAAAGGAGAAGGGCCCCTCAGAAAGGCCAGGAGGCCGCCTCGCGAAAGGGCGAGCTGAGCAAGCTGTCGTCTTTTTGACACCATCAATGCCTCTCCGGTTCACGACCGTCCTCCGCCTTATCGATCCATGAAGCGCTGGTAGGATCGAGGTTTCCGGAGTGGGGGCGGGGGCGACGAGGAGGGCCAGGACCCTTTGCATCGATTGGAAGGGCCTAAGACGATGGTATCCGTCTGTCCATGGCGCTGTGCGGCGGCGTGCGACTCACCTTGCCGGATCCCCTCAATCCTACCGAAGCCAGAAGAAGAAGAAGAAAAAAATACCAGCTCCACGAAGAGGGGGAATCACAAAACGAAAAACCATGGGCGGTTGGCAGAAATCTCCATGAATAGCACTCTCACGCATGCGTAATCGACTTCATCACCCCTTGAATTCTTTGCTGTCCGCATCCATTCCTGAGACGTGATTGATACTCGTGCAATCGACGACGACGTGGACACACCCACGTTCCGCATCCATGGCCACGACCACGACAACCACGAGCGCGACGGGCATCGAGCTCAGCACCCGTCCCACCCTCACCCACGTCCACCTCCCCCACCCCGGCGCGGTCCCGCCGCCGCTTCCGCCGCAAACCCCGCCTCTTCCGACCCAGTCCTCGCCGCCTCTCACGCCGCCGACCTCACCGTTCCCGACGGCGGCTACGGCTGGGTCGTGGTGGGCGCCTGCGCCGTCGTCGTGTGGTGGGCCATCGGCACCTGCTACAGCTGGGGCGTCATGCAGGAGGCCCTCGTCGCCGACGGCCTCTCCTCGCCCGCCGTGCTCTCGTTTATCGGAGGGCTCGACGCCGCCCTCATCTCTGCTCTGGCCATTATCAACTCGAGGTTCATCCGCGGCGTGGGCGTGCGTGCGAGCTGCATGCTTGGCGTCGGGCTCATGGGGGCGAGCGAGATCTTGAGTGGGTTCGCGGTCAAGAATTTGGGCGCGCTGTTTTTCACGTCGGGGGTGCTCATGGGCTTGGGGATCAGGTAAGTCTGCTTCTCTTCCTGTGCTGTTCCTCCTCTCCAACCCTCTCTGGCTGTATGGGGACGGATGGTTCCCGTGTCTTGCGCCAGTCCTTTGTGTGTTATTCAATAATAAAGGGTGAGATGTTAACTTTTTCTCTATTTCTCCGTAGCATCTGCTTCATGGTCGTCTCCGTCACTCCGGCCCAGTACTTTAGCACCAAGCGCGGCTTCGCTAATGGCCTCGTCTTTGCTGGCGGCGGCTTCGGCGGCGCTGCCATCAGCGTGAGCCTTGACGCCCTCATCCAAAAGCTCGGCACCGCTTGGGCTTATCGAATACTCGGCCTTACTACCCTCGCTACTGGCCTTCCTGCCGCTTGGCTGATCAAGGAAAGGCCCGGTGCGGCACCACGGAACCCCGGATTCATAGAATGGTAACAAAAACAATCCATCTCACCCCTAACTGTTAATCCTGTGCGTCCACGCCTTGCCAACACTCTGCTAATCGTTTTTCCTCTTTTTCTTTCCATCTTGTTTTAGGCGCCTTTTCAAGTCCTTTACCTTCGTCGTCATCTTCTTCGCCAGCGCTATTGGCACTTTCCCCTCTTCGTGCCCCCTTCTTCCTCCCCCTCTACACAAAGTCACTCGGATTCTCCACCAGCGTTGGGGCCGCCCTCGTTGCCGGCTTCAACCTCGCCCTGCCGCCGGCCGTATTGCCTGCGGTCTACTCTGCGACCGCGTTGGCGCCCTCAATACCCTCTTTCTCTCGCTCGCACTCACGGCTGTCAGCATGCTCGCTATATGGCCCGCTTCCACCACCCTGGGCCCTCTTGTGCTGTTCGTCGTCGTCAACGGCATCTCCAACGGAGGTTTCTTCTCTACTATGCCTACTGTCGTTGGGAACGTCTTTGGGAGCGCGAGAGTGGCGGTCGCTATGAGCATGGTTGTCACGGGTTGGGCTGGCGGGTACCTCATGGTGAGTTGCTTTCTTCCTTTATCATCTCTATCCCTTGTTCATTGTGTTCCTCTCCTTGGCTGTGCATAATGCTACCTCATCGTATGACGTTCTTTGGCACCGTATCTGTGCTAACAATAAATGGCGTCGCTGCAGGGTGCACCAATCGCGGGTTACATACTCAAGGCCCACGGCGGGGCGGATGGTGGCTTGCGCGCGTTCCGTCCGGCAATGTTCTACGCTGGATCTTTGGCGGTGCTCTCGGCGGCTTTGGTGGCACTCGTGCGTCTTCGCAAAGATAAATCTTTGCTCGCGAGATTGTAAAGCGTGATGGAGATACCACAGATGTCCGGGATGGGAAGATGCGTATCGCGCCGCGATCGACTGTAGCAGAACGGTACGAGCGAGCCTTCATCGTGTCATATATCAATCTAATCTTAGCCGTAGTCAATAACCCTGCTATTAGGGAAAAGGTACAGAGTCTAGAGTTTCAGAAGTCTATTGATATATCATCTATTGCTCTTCAAGGCGACTTGCGATAGATGTAACTACGCAATGGGCGTGAAGAAATGTATGCTTGCCCGTGATCCTAACGGGGCAGTCACTTAGATCGTACCCAATTAGGCCAAAATCGATAGTAAAACGGAAGGCAGACGAGCCCCAGTCCAACACAAACTGCAGATGCCAAGACTTGGAACCCGGTCCAAAAAGCGGCGCCAAACCCCAGGGAGATGAACCTTAGCGAGTCCCGGACTTGGTAGTAGTCTTGCTGGCGCTCAATAAAGTATAGCCGTCCCCCAGGCGACGATGAGGATGACCACGAGGACGACGAAACAGAGGATGAAGATGTACGCACGCCCTTTGGCTGCCATTGCCCTAGAGTCAGATGGTCTGCGAATTCCTCCTTTGGCAGCGAGCGCGAGTCAACGGCTCGAAGCGTCAAGACTGTGACGAGGCGGACGGGGGCGTTGTAAAAGGGAATAAACCAAACGGCAAAATTTTGGACGAGGTTTACGTAGAGAAGCCCAGAGGCCTTGTCAAATGCTATGAGAGAGCAAAACGGAAAAAACAACGCATCGTTTTAGCTTCAAGGCCAACCGAACCTCTTAGATGGGCAGCAACTATAACAGTGGGAAACGTACAGCAGGAATCCACTCGAAATCAATCCGCGGGCTCAAGATCCGATACCAGCGGTAAATCATGAGCACCAACCACCGGGAATCCAAAGTAGCAGATCCGGGAATGGAGAGGCCGGCAAAGGGCGGTACCCGGCAAAAGGGGTGCTCGAAGGCGGCGTCGGCAACGAAGTACTTGGCTACCGTGGCCGTCTGCTCGGCGAGGCTGCCGCGGCAGAGGCCGTGCAGGACGTGATGGATATCGGTTTCTGCAGGGTTGGCTTGGCGTAAGCCGGACGGGAAAGCAAAAGTTGGCGCTTCTTCCAAGTTTTAGTAATGCTTACCTGGATTTTCCATTTTACTGAAATGGGGAGATGAAGCGGGAGGGAGAAGGAAGATCTCAAGTGAGACCTCGAGCGAGATGGATGTGTCCGAAGACCCAAGGTTGGCTGTCCAAACTAATTGATGTTGGGTCAACCTAAGAACATGTGATGGATACTAAGTCCTTCTCGAGAAAAACGTTTTTGTTACATGTAGTCAATGGCTCGCTGCATTAGAGCTATAGGGTTGCTTCTAACAAAGACAGTTGGTGAACTTCGTCAACAGAATGACGTCACGGATCAGGGGTCTTGATGCCAACGTTTGAGGAGTTTGCAGCATCAAGCAAAAGTTACACGTCGGCAACAACACATTGATTTGTGGGCTCACGGGTTTCGTAAAAAGCCCCCGTCTGCAAATCGTAGATGATGAGCCGTAGATGAAGTACGTTGTCAGCCGAGATATCACGGTGTGAATGATGGACTTGAAAAGCGAGGACGAAACGAATTAGTACTTCTATTTGACTATAGTTAAGATCTAATGGATGCAAGTTGCAAAATGAGTCCATCGTATCGAGCTCTGGATGGATAGACTCTAATCTAAACCCATGAACTAATCCGTCGTCTAGTTTTCTGATACCCTCTACCCCTTACTTCTCCTCCTAGATATGATATGGTCGAGATTCTAGGCGTACGCTATCATTGTCGTTCAGACTGAGATGGCGCAAGAAGGAACAAGACCCTCTCAGGCACTGCAGGCTACTGAAAGTATCCATCTTCTTAACAGTCGTAGGAGTAGGACAGGAGACCGAGTCCGAAGAAAACGCACTGGTTGAGTCCAACAGTGGTTGCCTGCTTGCTGCAGTTGGAGTCGGTGTACACGGTGACTATTGTGTTTTAAAGGGACCAAATGTTAGCTTCAACTACCCCCAAGTCATAATCTTCGCTCTGAGTTTCTCAGTCTATATCTTCCTCCCCGGGTTCTCACTTACAGCTGCAGCCAGCATCAACCTGGGTAGCCTTGGCGCTCTTGATGCCTCCGAGCTGTCGGCAGGCACCGTTACCAGCAGGGCTCTGGAAACTGCACGAGCCGTCGCAACGCTCGGTGTTGCAAAACAGGATCTGCCCAGCGGAGGCGAGTCCGGCAAGGAGAGGGACGATGGTCAAGGCGAACTTCATGTTGAAAGTGGTGGGGTGGGAGGGGAGATGAGCAGGTGCTGTTGTTTTGAGTAGAGGAGAAGAGGCCAGGTCTTTCTTGCTTGGGTCTCAAGGGGAAGTTGTCTGGGAAAGCTGATGATTCGAAAGGTAGATTGGGATAACTTGCCCGGGGAAACCTCTTCATTTTATACTTGTCTCGAGCGAGCCATGAACACTACGGATCTCTAAGATGAGAGATGAGCACGAGCACGAGCAGTAAGCAGGCGGGATGCCTGCTGATGGAACTTTGCGATCAAGTCGGTGGACATGAAGCATTCCCAAAGTATGCCAAGCCCGTGAGATGCATCTGCCTTCACCGGGCACGCGCACAAAGGCAAAGAGGGAAAAAGGATGCCGGGTCGGTTGTGATGTGACGATGAGGTTATTTCGGTTCACGGAGCCAGAGGTCAGATGGCCGAATCATGCTTGAGAAAGGCCAGTGGGCCGTGAGCAGAGATAGAGCCATAGGATCCGGCCTCTCGGCGAGAATCATGCATGCTACCGACGACAGCAACATCTTGATCTTGTCCTGAGCGCCTTAGAAAACCTGACATTAGCGATGCGAGGCTTTCGCCGAGTGGTGATAGATACGAGCGTTACCCCGGGGGCCTTTGGTTGTTTGAGGCTACGAACCCGGGAGTAATTTCGCCAAAGGTTCTTTAATGCTGTCAGCTGCGCTGATCCCACGAGGGTGACGGTAACCGCCTTTCATACACGCGGTGCTTGACGACCGTGAATTTCAACCTGCGCCTACTCCGCCATTTCATAATCAAAAGGACCGCCTCCCCTTTCCCCGGAAATGCTGTTATTCGTCCGTTCACGAAGGGGAGAAAAACAAGACACAAGGTCCGTCAAGGCGCCTCGCGGCAAACAGCCCGGCATAAGGGGAAAGTGGGGGCCGTCATATATATCCATTGGATCCATGGGTGTGATCTATATGTCCGGGGATCCATTGTACCCAAAAATAATCATTCGCGCCAGCCCTGTCAGCTTACATGTCCGACGGGTGCGGCTCGCGGGCATGCACGAGTAGAGTTTTTGGGTTTCCCGCAAGGTTTCTTTATTTTCTTGGCAATGCACCGTGGATTATTAAAAAAGGGCTATGGCCATGCACCTTGGATATCGCTGCATGCTTATTTTTGGGGGCTTGCTTTTGGGCGAGGATGGTTGGGCAGGATCATCTGAGATCCGAACTCGGGATGGTGTTTGGCAAAATGGTTGGGATCGACGATAGCGAAACTCGAGTCCAAGGTATGAGTGGAAAATGGAATACCACTGTGGCTGGCTTGTGTCTCTTACAAGCCCCCTTGACTCTTGACCGTTGATACACTCGTCCTACAAGTCATGACAACTTGCTCAGAAACAGCGCATCGCCGTCCTGCAGGCTGAGGTTATTTGTCACGTCGTAAGCAAGCCAGCTTCGGCGGACCGGGTATCAGCTATCACTCCCTTTTTGGTGTATTCGTTCCGGGAGTGTTCTTGAATCTCTAGGGAAGCTGATTTGTCAGTGAATTAAAGCTCGTCACCGGTTGGAATCCGGCGGACCAAAGAGATAGGAAGTGTGGCCGGGCGTGGTTGCTGATGCTAATTATATCTTGCGATACTTGGAAATGAGATGCACTATAGTCGCAGTGAAGGCCTCGGGATTGGAGAAGGGATACCATTCCAACTATATGTGGTAAAATACACAAGGAAGAAAACAAGTGCCTTTTGTCTGCATCTACTAGCTTGCCGACTAGTTGGCAACTATTTTTCCCAAGACGATAGATGGCGAACCTCACGCCGAAGAAATGAACCCATCCAACTCTATACTTGTTGCTCTAATGGGAACACCAGAGATTGTTGCCTGTGAACCAAACCCATACTATTACTGATACATTTTACTCCCCTTTCCCTTTCCCTTTCCCGGCTCAGTAGATGTAGCCTCTATTCCCTTGCAAATCAGCCACTTTGCCAGCAGGACGTGCAACCACCCGCCCACAGACGTCTCGATCAAGGTAGCTTTCGCGCTCGGTTTTCGCCACATCCACGTCTCGTTGCTAAAGACGACTTTGTCCTCGCCGACCACGTCCACGGCCGAGACGATGACCACGCCTATGCGCTCGCCTTTGTAGCTCGCAGGCGGGTCGCCCACGCACTCGATCCTCTCCGACGGCCGGTCCTCCACCCCGGGCGTGGCGCCGCGGTGCGCGACCCGCCAGATGCCGCAGACCGTGTCCCCGACGGTAAAAGGGAGAGCGTTGATGAAGTCGGTGTCAAACGTGCGCTTGGCCTCGGGCTCTTGGACCGCGCCGCGGATGAGGGACGCTTGGGGCGTGTGGCTGAAGGCGACTTGCACGGCGCGCGAGTAGGCCGTGAGAAGTGCCGAGGGGGACACGGTGGTGCCGGGGCCGTTTGGTACGGTTGATGGTGCTGGATACTTTAGGGAGCTTAGGGAGATTGGTTCCGTCACTGCGCGCTCGTACGCGAGCACCCATTCCGAGTCGTCGGACGTAACATCTGGTGGGAGGGATACGGGCCTGGCGATGGAGGATGAGATAGAGGACGGAATGGAGGTTCTCGCTTTGGATAAGGAGGAAGAGAGGGGTGCCGTTGTCCGGATGCGGCAGATGTGAATTTGGAAACTCGCCTATTCAGCGTGACGAGGTAGGTTGTGGTTGCGGTGACGGGGATGACGAAGGCGAGGACGGCTATTGTCGTCCACGTTGGCGGCCGGCGGAGGACCCACGCCATGATGGCTTATAGGGAATAGGTCTGTGGATTACCCACAGTACAAGATATCCTGGGCGACGTGTCGAAATGCTCTTGTATATTGGATAACGGCTTTCCACGCACGAAAATACAATCAGGAAACGGAGTGAAGTGGTGTTTCCTTGACCTGGTATGTTGGGCGTCATGCTGTCAGCGAGCGGCGGAAGCTATATACCCTTCCTCGCCATCTCGCTATACTGGAACATGCCGTTTAGATGCATATTCATATGCTTTGTCTCCACTATTTTCCCAGCTTCTCGGCAAGTCTCAGCCAGACATGGTTAGATCCAAAATTAACCAGGCCTTTCGCTAACCCGATTGGGTCAGGAGCTTCGTTTACCTCGCATTGAGTCGCCAACATCAGTGTCAGACCGATTTGCGTGGTTCATGCCAAGCGGGCGATTTTGGGGGTTGAAAGAAGGTTTTTATCGCTTGAGGCTGGCTCCCTGTCCCTTTGTTCAGTCGCTTCGTTCAATCGGGGTGTAGTACCGCCGTACTCCTCTTTATTTTGGGTACCGAGATGAAGAAGCATGACGACCGAGGTAAAGGGAGATTTGCCATGCCCTCAAACCCACGTGGAGCGCTTGACGGCGGCCGCCGAGAGAAAAAGGTGGGACCCGGACTTCGACGACCATCCGGTCGAGCCCGGAGGTGGCGGCCGACTACATGAACCTCAGAGTATGGTGCATGGTTTTTTATACCTGGAAGTTCTGAAATTATGGGTAGAATGAGGTTGCCCTACGGAATTTAAGAGGCCACCCTGACTTCAATCCAAGACTTTTGACCGAAGAAGTCTAGCCTTCGTCTACCTGCATGGTTTCTTCAACTCATACAGGTTCCTGTTGCTCGACCTTCTCGCGACGTCTCCATCTCTCGGGTTCCACGCCAAAGTGTGTGCGTTTGAAACTTGGGCAACGTCAACTCAAGACAGCATGGAATGGATCAGTCCCCGTTCCCTCTTCGCCGGCACTCCCAACGGCAGGTAGGACAAACATCCTGAAAAGCGCTCGACGGGGGACCACGATTCGGTGGAGGCATCGAGGACATGTCTTAGTTTTGTAGCGCAGTTAAGGAAGGCGCATGTATGTGGAAGCCAAAAGATGTATGTCTACGGAGATGCACGTTCTTTGTTATGCCGTGCTCCAGTCCCCACAAATCGGGCTGTTTCGCGCAACACCTTAGTTTACAACCTATAGAACGATGCTCCAGTCAAGGGTGTTCATAGATCCTTCTATAGATTGGTCACATCTGCCCTAAACTGGACCCAACCATAAAGATCCATCTAATATATCTCCTAGCAAGTTGGAGCCCGCCTAGAGAGAAGGACCTGGAATTTCTTTTGTTGACAACCCGCTCTGTAGTCGATGAGCTATAACATCTAGCCCATTCCTCTCACTCACCATCATCCTTACACCATCATCCATCCATCAACACTCGTTATCAAAGCCGTTGGCCATGAAGGTCGTCATCGTCGGCGCCGGGCCTTCCGGTCTCGCCACTCTTAAGTATCTCCTCTCCGTTCCTAAGTTCTTCGATACTGAACCAATCGAAGTCATTTGCGTTGAAAAGACGGGAAACTATGGAGGTGCTTTTACCAATCTCACATATGAGGATGTCGAGGTAATGTCTTCCTTCAAGCACTCCCTTTGCATCCTCCCCTTTTACCCAAGCGAAACATACCCAAGCGAAACAGAGCCCCTGCCGTAATGTCGTCATACATCTTGGCCTACGGTGGAACCCCATCTTCCAAAGTCTCCATCACTAACGTCCCTAGCTTGTCTCTTCCAAATATCTAACCGCCTTCTCGGACTTTCGTTTCCCTGCCGGGTGCCCCGACTTCCCAACCGCCCGTGATGTCGTCGACTATTTCCGCCGATACGTTCATCACCACAACCTCAAAGACTTTATCCTAGTCAGCACCGAGGTGCTCTCTATTCAACGCCAGGGAAACGGCCATGCTGTCACGGTACGGACCGCGAACGGCCTCGTCGAGACTGTAGAGTGTGATGCGGTGGCCATCTGTTCAGGATTGCACAACATCCCCAACATCCCCGAAGTCGAGGGCATCGAGTTGGCGAAGAAGCAATTTCACTCGTCCGCCTATAGTGGCCGTGCAGACTTTTCTAGGGGGAACCATGTCACCATTCTCGGGGCCGGAGAAACTGCGTTTGATCTAGCGTACCAGGCCGTCACCTCGGACGCGAAGTCCGTTACCCTGTGCCACTCGGATGGCTTCTTCTGTGGACCAAAGGTACGAGTAGTTGAAAATTGAACCCCCTATCAGGAGTTTTGGCGTCGTTTTAGAGCCTCAGCTCTGGCTTTTTAATTTGTTGATATAGACTAACGCTGACGACTCGTCCATCGCTCGCTTAGGCTGTTGTCTCGCCCATCGTCTTAGGCGACATCTTTGGGGAACCTGCCAACCCCCACCCAACAAGCCAGTAGACTGCTCTACTGCCAGCCTCTTCGACACGGCTTACGTGCCCCCATCTTGCAGAAAAGCCCCTACTCTGGGGATATTATAACCTGTGGATCAAGTTCACCCAGACCTTCATTTCAGGTACCCCACGAGGCCCGGACCAGTGGGTGGGCAGACCTCCCAAGGCTCGAGACCACGTAGATGCCAGTGAGTTACCGTACCAGCCTTAAGCAATGTCTGCAGTTCTAACCAAGGGCCATCGCACGCGTCTCCCGCTCTCTAGTCTTTTTCAACAAGTCCCAGCGCGCCATCCCTTACATCGCCAAGGAGTGGCGATCCGAGGCTCTCTGGAACCGCATTCGGGCGTTCTTTGTCAGACTTCCCCATAGGCCTACGGGAGACAAGTTCATAGCCGTGGCTCCCTGGCCCAAGCGCATTACCAACGAGGGCTTCTTCGAGTTTCGCGACAACGGAAGTCCCGAGTACGAACGCATCAAGGACAAGAAGATTCCCGCTGACGTTGTGGTCTTTGCTACGGGATATAAACGAGTGGTCAAGTTCCTTGATGCTGCCTACCCCCAGCCGGGGGATGTCGACGTCCGCGGTATATACCACCATGATGATGTTACAGTTGCTTTCATCGGTTTCATGCGTCCTAGTCTAGGTAAGATTCATGATACTTGGTCCTTCTTAATTCCTTTTTCGATGAGAGCGGCTCAAAGCTCATCGAGATATATTATGCAACATTTCTATAACTAACCGTAATTGTCTTCCTCTCCATGTAGGAGCAATACCTCCCCTCGCAGAGCTTCAAGCCCAACTCTGGATTCTACGCCTTCTCCAAAGCAGGAACCCTTCCCTCGTGCCTCTCTCTGCGGCCCCCGGCCCGTCGCCATTTCCACGCTCCATCCCCGCGTACGAGCTCGATTACTCCCTGCACGCCCGCAACGGCCGCAACTTTGCCCAGCTCAAGGGTGGTGTCGACCATGAAGCCTACGCCTACCAGCTTGCCCTCGATATGGAGGCTGCCCCAAAGTTGGGCTATGTCCTCTCTTGGGGCCCCAGCTTCTTCCGCACGTGGGCCATGGGACCTAACTTCAACACCAAGTTTCGACTGGTGGGCCCTTGGAAGGATGAAAAGTAGCCTCCGATATCATGAAGACGGAGTTGAAGAAGGTGGTCAGGCGATGGCCAGGATTGTTTTGTAAGTGAACCGTCCTATAGAAGGGATTTGGATAGGAACAGCGTGGAAGTGCCTAATCTGCCCCCACATGGTATTCCGGAAACTGCGAAAACAGAGTGCTAACTGATCGGGTTCTGGTCTGGTCACGCAGTCTTCACCACCTACACCGTGATCCCTATGATCATCTTTGGAATCCTTAGTATTCTTATCTGCGCTATAATCTGGATCAAGGACCAGTGCATGGCGTTGGCAAACTTCTGCTGCGCACCATTCAACCAGGTAGCAGCCAGTGAACCAAAGGAAGATACGAAGGAGGATTGAAATGGAAAATAGCGGCGCATCAGCAACTTGGAACCTTCTTGCCGAATGGCAAACTTAACGAGCCTTCCGGTACAAGTTGCGTTGAATAGCGGGAGAGGATAGACTGCGATGCTGTGCCGCCAGATAGTATAAGAAACCGTGTGCGTGGCATGCCTTAGCTAAGTTGATAAAATACCATGGTAATAACACTATCAATCGAGCAACCGGGAGTTTAAGAAGACTGTGCAATTTTAAATGTGTTTAGATCTTGGGTTGCGGATATCAAAGCATCTATCAATTGGATCATTGGATTGACATTTGGGCATCTACATGTACCAATCGAAGCTGCCAATGTCTCATCAATTCCCAATGGATGAATCTATGGATGGATGGATCTATTACATGTAGTTCCAAAGTCAAGCGTAGCCAACTCCTCTCCCGCACCCCTTGGAATTGTCCAAACACAAAAGTCTAGCCCCCGCATCCCTTTGCCATGAGACCCTGACTATTTCCTCAAGGTGAGTTTTGTGAGGGACACCTTTGGTGAGAATGTCATGTCTACTAGTATCGACTGAACCAAGATATCAGAGTCTACCATGAAGCCGTTAGAATGGGGGAAATCTCGAACAACAGCCAAAAGATAAAAGAGGGCAACTTGCCGATGCATCAACGGAAACTTCACAAAACAGAGGAGGGTTCGTGACGGCCGCATAGGCTCCGAGCTCGAATCGCATTCAGCCATTCAAGGGATTATCACCCATGTAATCCACAACGCCCGGGAGGCCTCCCCAACGATGGCAAAGGGAACAAGTAGGTTGCCAGGCATGCCGAAGCCGACCGAGATAGGGCGGTTGACAAAGACGAGATGGGAGGAAATCCTGCGGGCAGACTTCATTTTTGCGACTTGAGGCTGAATAGTTGATTCTGGAGGGCAGGTCGGGAGTGGATAGACCGTGGTGAATACAACTTGGTTGATTGGGAAAGGAAGCCTTGAGAAGATGAGTGCAGGCAGGCAAGAAGAGCAACTGTGATAGTCGACTATATACAATCGAAACAGGTCCTGCATCACTCTTTGACCAGCTTGCCCCAGTATCCGCACATTCCTTCAAAGGTGTACCCTGTCAAAAGATGGATTTTTGGATATATCTGTTGATATGTAGCCAATATTATAGCTCCAGTTGGAACAAAATGCCATACTGAGGTTCTGTTTCCTTCCTTGGATGATCTGGAGCATGTAAGGGCTGTGAGCTCAAGCGCTACATCCAGTGTCAGATCTGGCCTTAGCTTGCAGAATATACATCGTTTCGGAGCCTGAGTTTGGTTCTTGGGACCAGAAGGCTGCAGTATCATAAACGAATGATCCGTCCTGTGCTAGAAGCGGCTCCTTGTTATTGCCCTTTATTCAATAAACTCCTGGTGAAGTGTCCTGGTGAAGTGTCCTGGTGAAGTGTCCTGGTGGAGGTGGGGCCCAGCCCATCGCGAGGAGGAACACGCAGTCTCCAATTGATCTCTTCTCATCCCGAATTTTATCCAACATTATGATTATGTCAACAACCTTGCTTGATTTCTGATAAGTCCAAAATGGAAACACCTTAATCTCACCTGCACGATGGGGTTTGAGGGCCATCTACCATCGACGTCTCCGATCGAGGTATGATACTAACTACTACCTACTTTTCAATTTTCCCTAGCCTCCTAGCCTCCTATACACGTAACCCTCACTCACACCCTCTCCTCTAGTTCCCATTCGGTTGGAGCACGGTGCATGCCGACGCCACGTTCCCTGATGCTTCCCGCCGCAATGTCCTCCTCATCACAGTTCGACCGTCGCTCCTAAGGCTCATCGTGATCTCTGTCCTCCCTTACCTCCCAGAAATCATACGGTCGGTGATAGGGGCCACCTTTCCTGGTATACTCCTTCCCACCAACGTCATCGTCAAGAAACAAAAGCCCGGCTGGGAGGATGAGTTTGAAGAGGAAAAAGCGCGGTACAGGATGCTGGAATCCCTTCAGGGTGATATCATCCCTCAGTTATTTGGAGAGATCCGAGTCCAGGGGACCCGCGCACTTCTCTTATCATATGTAGCCGGCATACGATGCGATAAGGTGAGCGACCTCGAGGTTGAACATTTTCAGCAATTACTCGAGGACGCACACTTGCGCCTCCGGCCGTTTGGCTATGTCCACGATGACCCTAGGCTCGATAATTACATCCTTGTGGACGGCCAAAAAATCGTTATTGTGGATCTAGAGCATCTATACGAAATTGAGGAGACGGAGATCGAGTATACTATGGGTACTATTATACGGGCGATTGTGAAAATCTATCGCCGGAGCTATAAGAATCATCTAGAGGATATATAGGATTAGAGGAAGGATAAGAAATCCATTGAGAACAAAAGCGTCGGAATTCATCCGTCAAATCCTCGGAGAGTTCGAACACTTCGTCATGGAATGCTGATTCCATTGACTCCTGCTCGGACTGAGTATACCGCGCGCTGCGGTGACCCTGCCCTTAGCTTTTTTCCACTGTTATAATTAGATTCACTAAATGTTAGCGACGGCCAATCTGTCTTCTGATGTATGTATACTGTAGCGATCGATGGACTCTCCCGTCGGCCAAGACTCACTTTAGACTTTGGTCGTCAAAGGCGGTGAGAGCAGCCAACTGTACTTTGGCTGCACGCATAATTCTGCCGGGTTGAAAGAAAAAAGCCAAGGGTCGAGGACCATCACCCAGGTCGATTTTCTCGCAAAACGCCCACCCTCCCCTCCTCCCCGCCGCCCGAGTTCCACCTAACGTGCCGGCGTCAAAACCGACACATCGTGTGCAATGGGGTCCGTCGTCTACCCCAACCAATGGGTTGGCTTTAAGCTGCCTTCGGGCGCAGTCAAGGTTATCCAAACCATCCCAAACACGTACGGCGACCCCTCCTCTCCCCTCCTTCAGTTTTCCCCGCCACGAAACCCTCCGCACACTCGTCCGCCCTCAAACTAACCGCGATCCCTCGTAGTATAATATCGCTTGGAAAGTACGGCTCTTTCCCCAGCAACCTCGTCATCCACCGGCCCTTCCACCTCACCTACGAAGTCCAGGACAAGCGCCCCGACGAGTCCTTTTGCCGCCTGCGCGTCGTCTCCGCCGAAGAACTCCGCGCCGACATCCTCGCCGAGGTACCGACCAAGGACGGCGTCGTCGGTGCAGAGATTGACGAGGAAGAAGCCAACGCCGCCATCGCCCTCGCCGCCAGCGCCGTCGCCTACGATGACGCCGCCGCCCTCGCCGCCTCGGCCACCACCGACAAGGTCGTGCGCCAGACGCTCACGTCGGACGAGATCGAGGCGCTGAAGCGCGACGGCGCCTCCGCCGGCAAAGACCTCATCGCCAAGCTCCTCTCTTCCCACACCGCCCTCGACGAGAAGACGGCGTACTCGCTCGAAAAATACAAGCTGCTCAAGACGAGAAAGTACATTCGCCGCTTCGAGGTCCTGCCCCTCGACACCCCGTACTCACTGACTGGCTTCTCGAGGAAAAGGACGGCATGAAGATTTTGGAGATGCGCCAAGAGATCATCGCTCTGCTGGGCTGCTGGGCTAATGTCCACTGCGCCGCGGACGAGCCGGAGACCATCTCCGCCGAGCAAGCTGGCTTGCCCCCAATATCCAGCCTCCCGAGCTGACGGGTGGCAGGTGGTTGGTTGTCGACGATACCGGCGGCTTGCTGGTCGCTGCCATGGCGGAGAGGATGGGCATATTACACCCCGGAGATCGACGAAGCTCACGCAAGCCCGCGGCGCCAAGCCTAACGCGACCGAGACCGCTACTACCAGCGCACCCGAAGAAGACAAGAAGGAGCCCGAGGCCGCGGTCGCGGACCAAGACGTCGAAATGGCCGATACAACGACTGCTACCGCGCCCGAAACAGACGCCCCAGCGCCAACCACAACGACCGAAGCCACCGCGGACGCCGCCGACGGGGAGACCGCCACCGCCAAAGACAAGGCCGAAAAGTCCCGCCCGCGGCACTACGACCGCGACGACCTCGAGATCCCCTACGCCGGCTGCAACACCATGACCCTCCTCCACTCCAACAGCCAACCGAACCTCTCCTTCCTCAAATACTACGACTTCGACTTCGCCGCCCCCAACCCCCTTCGCCCACCACCCCTTGCACACCAACCTCCTCTGGCTCAACTGGCTGCAGCTCCTCGAGCCCGAGCAGGACGCCATCTACGCCGCCGAGCCCGCCCCCGTCGCCACCGCCGAGCTGCAGACCTGGAAGGGGAACCGCCGCGGCGTCTACCACCGCAAGCGCAGACGCTGGGCCCGTACCCGCTTCATCGTCGACTCCACCCGCGCGGGAGGCTTCTCCGGCCTCGTCACCGCCTCCACCCTCGACCCCGTTTCCTTGCTCAAGCACACCCTCCCGCTGTTGTCTCCCGGCGCCCCCATCGCCATCTACTCCCAGAGCGTCGAGGCCCTCACCCAGCTCGCCGACTGCTTCAGCGTCGCCCGCCGCGCCGCGTGGATCACCGACCCGCCTCGCGAGACGGATGGCCTGTCCCCCGAGGAGCTGGAGCGCTGGCCCGGCTCCGAAGATTTCCCCGTCAACCCTACCCTGCTACTCGGTACCACTGTGCAGACGAGCCGTGTGAGGCAGTGGCAGGTTCTACCGGGCCGCACGCATCCCCTCATGACGGGCCGCGGCGGCTCTGAAGGCTATATCTTCACTGCGTGGAAGGCCCTTCCGGCTACTGGCAAGGTGGAGGCGAGGGGAGGCATAAGAGGAAGAAGACTACTGCCACAGTGTCGACGCCGACGCCAACGGCCCCGGCGTGATTCTAGAGGTTGCGTAGGTTGAAGTGGGAAGTCCTTTTGTAAAGCCAGCATGGAACGGTGTGATGCGGACATTATATATATCATATTATATAGACAACATTGGGAATGGGGACGGGTGGAGGAGTGTCAGCTAGATGGGAGCTGGAAACGGAAAGAAATCAAAGAAGGAAAGAGCTCTTTCAACGACTGAGAGGAGCGTAATCCTCATTTCGCATAGCGGAAATATATATTTTCGTAACCCCTCCACCCCCTCCCCTCCCATTCTCCCTTTTCCATTTCTCGTGACAGAAGCATAAAAAGCGTCCCCAGAGTCCGCTCTCCAGCTCTTCTTTCAGCTCACCAATTCCCTAGCCGAGCCCAACACCTTGTATCTCATTTCTATCATGACTTGATCTTCTCCCTCGTGTCCCCCGGGCCTCCTCCGTTGCCAAGGTCTTTTACTGATCGTAACCCTTTACAAGGCCTTGCCCATAAACTTCCTCTTGGTGAAGCTCAACCACCACTTGCTAGGCCGGCCATCGCCGCCTTCCTCGTAGACTCGCGAGTAACCTCGTCGCGAGCTCCTGTCGGACTTGGGACATATACTGGCGCAGTTGCTCGGCGTCCTGTCGGTCACGGGGGTTCGTACATCTGAGCAAATCCTGAGCATTAGCTTCTGTTGTCCACCCATCACATCGTGGTCCAACGGGGCCTCTTTGTCTTGGGAGTTTGAACGGGTGAGTGGGAGGGGCAAGAAAGGGTTAAAAAAGGGCATTTCCCCCTGAGGTCTAGGCGAACAAGACCACCATGTGACGCACCTGGTTTAGAGGCCAGCCCGGATCGCCGGGAATGGCAAAGTTGAGGTCCAGCGCCAGGTTCGTAACATCCTTGGTCGCGTCGCGGACCGAGGCAGTCGGCTTGATCTTGGTGAGGCAGTCGCTCACGAACCAGATACCGTAGACGAGGAGGCGGTCGGCGGGGCCCTGGATCTCAAAGTTGCGGAAAAACGTGTTGGCGCGGAAGACGGCGAGGACCTCGTCGAGGATGTCGTAGGACTCGCTGTCCGGGTCGGGGGACTCGGAGGCAGGCAGGGCCGCGGCGGGAAGGGTGTAGGCGGGGCCGCGGGTCTTGGTGCGCAGGGGCAGGAGGGGAAGTTGCCTATTAGCCTGGGCGGGTTGGGGTCGGCGTTGAACATGGAGTTGTAGGCCTGTGACGAGGGCGTGGCGCGGGGGAAGGCGCCCGGTAGTTAGCTCCGTTGCTGTCTGGGTGGAACGGAAAAAGGAGTATTTTGGGTGTGGAGGAAGGAGGAAAGGCTGAGTGTTGAAATGATGTGGTGGTTATCTCAAGGTGTGCCGTAGCTTGAGGCTTGAGATAGTTGAGGGGATCTAGATCTGGAGGGGGAGGGGTTCAAGGCTCCAGCTTACCGGCATGGTGGGGGTTGTTTCTCGTTTTCCGTGCCCTTATAAATGGCAGGTGTTGGTGTTGGTCCGTTATTCGGCAAACAAGCGTCCTTCCCAGAGCTCGTCTTCTCGTGGGGAGAGTGGGAAGCGGGAAGCGAAGATGGAGAGGTGATTCCGGGGCGATGACGAATTGGCGAATTGAGCGATGCGGAGCACCACCTGTGAAGGACTCTAGAAACCGACGTAGCGTAGGTGAAAGAATGGTGGGGCAGTCGTCGCCCGTCCGCACTCGAGCTCGCATGGGCAGAGCACCAGCAAAACGGCTTGAATGGCCAACGCCACCACACCGGGTGGGTCAGGCAAGCCACAATCTACGGCGAGTCACGTGGCTTTCCCGAGTCCACTCGCCTTCAAATCGAAGGGCATTATCGGCCGAGAAGTGGACTCTCTGTCGAGCTATCCCAAGACGAAGAATATAGGTTCTTCTCATCTTCATTATATTTTGTAGAATGGAAAATGCAACGAAATCAGTTGCTAGTTGGAGGAGCGGAAGAATCCTCGTCGCACTAAATTATAGACATTGGGCGCGCACACCAGGTATGCTGTTACTATGGAGCTTTGCCATTCTTCAAGCCCAGAAAGAGATATTCGAAAGCATCTAGTTCTTTTGTCGGCCAAGGTAATCTGTATTGGTCGTCCTATTTTTTTGATATTCATTCACATTCGTATAATCTCCTGAAGCATACCGCCCCTTTTTCTCCAACATGACCCCTCCCAACCTTACTCCCAAAGTCACATTTATTTCTTTGACAGCTCCACGCCGTTGCGGATAACACCCACTACCGCTCCCGTCTGGACTGCTTCTGAGCCACCTCCGGCCATCCTGTGCTCGATTTCCGCCAACCCACTGAGCCATTGGACCATGACTTCGGGCTTGGCCTCCAACTTGACCAGCTCCTCGGACAATGCAGTGATGATGTCAGCCAGCGCAAGACCCTGCGCTGTCTTGAGAGTGTTGATAGTGCTGAGACAAGACGTGACGTCCGGAGTGCCTAGTAGCGTATCAAGGATTTCGCGGATGGAGTCGGGGGCGGGTGCGGCAATGCAGTTGTATATCGTTTCCGTCGTGATAGTCTCACGCACAATTTCACTTTCGGGGACCTTGGGGTGTTCTTCGGCCGCAAGGGAGTGCCTGTGAAAAGAACCCATTGATTAGCAAAAAGGGCACACATCTAAAACAACGCTGAGTGCGACGGAGGACCCAATCTAAAAACTCACTTGAAGCGTGGCAGGCTTGGAGAACGTTGAGGGCGCGACGCATATCACCCCTACTCAGCTTCACGAGCGCGTCGGTGGCATCGGGAAGAATCTTGACGTTCTCTTCTCCGATGACCTTGTCCACCAGCACCCGGATATCGGCTTCCTTGAGCGGGCTGAACCTGAAACGAGTGCACCTGGACAACAAGGCGGGCGACAGTTTGTGGGAGTAGTTGGCAATGATGCAGAATCTGGTGTTGACCGTGTACTTTTCCATGATGCGGCGGAGAGCCATCTGCGCCGTGTTGGTCATGGCATCGGCCTCGTCGAGAATGATGAGCTTGAACCCCGCGCCGGCGGCCGAGCCGCCCGCGCCGCTGGGCCTCGCGGTGGGGGCGATGGTGAAGATTTGCTTGGTGGAAGCAAAGGTCTTGATTTGCTCGCGAACGACGTCGATGCCTCGGTCGTCCGAGGCGTTCAGCTCGAGCACCATCTGGCGCATATTTTGCGGTCCGTAGATGTGGCGCGCGAGGGCGAGAATGGTGGAGGTCTTGCCGGTACCGGGGGCCCGTAGAGGAGGAGGTGGGGAGACGGTTAGTGTCGACGAACTTGTTTAGGGTGGCGAGGATATCGTGGTGTCCGGATACGTCTGATAGAGTGGCCGGTCGGTATTTTTCTACCCTGTTGGTTGGGTCACTGGAGGTTAGCAGCGTGAAAGAATTCTCATGGAGGGGCGGGACTGTGACGAACCATGGCAGGCTATCTTCGGCCTCGACAGGGAGGTTAGCTGCACTTCGCTTTCCCTTGGTTCCCTCTCCGAGGGAAGAGACAATGGGAGGAACATCGACCTCCATCTCGTCACCGTAGTCAGACATGTTGGGCGGGCTATGGGGAGGGGAGGGAATGGCGGAAAGGCGGCTACTAGAGGCGGGGAGCGACAGTCGGAAATCAATGGCAAGGAATTTTGCAGCGCAAGGGTATCTAAACAGAAAAGAAAGCAAGGTAGAAAAAAGAGAGGAAAAAAAAAAGAAAACTATGCGTCTGATTCCTTGTCGTAGGTGAAGCTATTGAGCTGGCAGTCTCTTTGGTTGCGTGCGACCGCCTTGCACAAATTGGTGGACGGGGGTTTTGGTGGCTGGTGAGATTGACGAGAGGGTTGACCCGCAGCTGAGCTACGCGTCTTGACGTGTTTGGGGGCCTTGCCCATTAACCCGTTTTTGGTAAGCGACCAATCACTGGTTGTCACTGACCTCCAGTTCTTGACTAACACCAACGCTTCATATTCCTCCTAAACCTCACCACAGTTTCCGTGCAACACAAGGAACAGTGTTCACCGAATCCATTGATTCTCGATCTCCTCGTGCTTTATTTCCTTGCATAAACCTCCATATCGACCCGGACAATGACTATTTAAAAAAAAATTGAATTGAGTAAGCCGTCGGCATGAGACCGTCAAAGTCCTATTCTGGGCGCCAAAACATAGCTAGCCCTAAATCGTCACCTGGGCTGGACATGAATTAGGGCGCTTGTACTATCAAGTAAACGGCTTAATCGCCGCTACGCCTTGATCGTTATCACCTCGGCGCTCGTCACAACAGACCAAATCACTGACACTCCATAGACTCTTGGGTAAAATCCATCATATATACCGCATCATAAGTTCGTATGTACAAGCGTCCCTCATTAGGGTAAACGTCCAATCCCGGTCCCTTCCCTTGATCCCAAACCGGCCACGACCCATTTCCTTTGGTATCAAGCACACCTACCCAATAACCCTACCCAGTGACGCCACTCCATTCATCTTGCGCTAAGAAAGAATCAAGTCCAAAAAGAAGAAGAAGAAGGACTATAAAAAGAAGGAAGAATTAAGTTTTCATCGAATCCCACCACCCCACGCGCGCGCTTTCTGCCATTAAATGTACAGGACACCGACATTCTTCATGATGTACTCGTAGCTCGAGCTCCTAAAGTTGTCAGCCAGCAAGTTGGCCCTGTTGTTCCAGAACTGCATGAGCTTCTTGCCCTCGGACCACTGGGGCCACTTGGCGTAGGTGGTAACACCGACGTTGGGGTCGAGGTTGGTCACGAAGTTGATGTAGTAGGTGTGAATGCTACGGCTCGCGTAGTTGGGCAGGATGCCGTAGAAGACCTGGAGCAGATCCGAGCCGTGGAAGGTTCCGAGGATAGGAGTGCCGAAGTTGTAGCTCGCGAGGTACGACCAGACGGGCACCTTGGGGTTGATGGTGGTGTGGACCTCGAGGAAGACGCGGCGGGTGAGGGTGAAGACGAGATCGCCGAGGATGGCCGCGAGGCGCTTGAAACCGGGGTACAGCTCGTTGAAGATACCCGTGTTGAAGGGGCTGCCGGCGGTGATGGAGGTCGGGTAGGTGTTGACGAGGCCCTCGAGCTGCGCCTTGCTGGCGAGCGGGAAGAAGAGGTCGGAGAGGTAGCTAACAACCTTGGCGGTGCTAGTGAGGTTGGGCTGGAAGAGCGCGAAAAGGGTACCCTCGTCCTCCTGGTCGCCGATGATCATGGGCACCTTGGCGTACTGGTTGGACGCCACGAGGATGTCGGGGCTCATGGGCAGCACGACACCGTCCGGGCGCGGTAGGTAGGCGAGCGCGACGGAGTGGTACGAGAGGATGCCGGGCACCGAGTTACCGGCCTGGAGGAACTTTGTGTAGTCGAGGCCACGGAGGCAGGCGAGCGTGTCGGCCTTGCCCTTGCAGCCGGCGGCGGAGACGACCTGGTCGTACACGGCCTGGCCCTTGGGGCAGTCGACGGTGTCGGCGGGCACGATGCCGCCCGAGTTCATGATGGCGCCGCGGAAGAGCTTCTGCCCGTTGTACGTGTTGTTGCCGCCGTACAGCGCCATCTGGTCCAGCACGGAGATGGCGCCCGCCGACTCGCCCCAGATGGTGACCTTGGATGGATCGCCGCCAAACGTGGCGATGTTGTCCGCCACCCACTCGAGTCCCATGCGCTGGTCCAGCAGACCGAGGTTGGAGGAGCCGTCGGCGAGGATCTCCTTGCCGGGCATGAAGCCAAAGGCGCCGACGCGGTAGTTGACGGCGACGAAGATAAAGGGCTGGCCCATGCCCACGCCGGCCTTGACGAGGGTGCTGCCGTCGTACATGGCGGTGGAGCCGAGCTCGAAGCCGCCGCCAAAGATCCAGAACAGCACGGGCAGCTTGAGTCCTTGGTCGTGCCGGCGGGCCGCTGGACGCTGATGGTGAGGCAGTCCTCGCGGCCGTTGACAACCTGCAGGAGGGGCAGGGTCAAGAAATCGCCGATAATATCCAAAACTTGTTCTCGTTGTTGGTCGTGAAGAACATTTGCGGACACGAGGGGGCGAGGCCGGTGGCGTCAAAGGTGCCGATGCTGGTGGTGAGCCGCTGCGGGGGCTTGAGGCGGAGCTGGCCGGTGGGGGCTTGGCGTAGGGGATGCCGTTGAAGGTTTCTACGGTGCCGCCGGAGCCGACGACGGTGGCGTAGGGGAGGCCGACGGTGACTTTGGCGGCGCGGTCCTCGAGCACGCGGTCCGGCTGAGGATGGGGCTCGGGCTCGGCGGCGGGGAGGGCCGCGGCCGTGCCGAGGAGGCTTAGGAGGAGAGAGGCTGGCTTGACCATGGTGGACGCGGATGACGAAAGGGGGAAGTGGTTCAAAGAGCACGCGATGGGGGAGGAGAGGGTCCAAAAGGGAGACGAGAGAGACGAGGGAGTGAAGAAGTAGGAGGAGGAGAAGGAGGAGGAAAGGTAGGTGAGAGAGGGGATGGAGATGTTGTTCCACGGGCCTGAGAAACAATATTCATGGGAGATGAGGCGGGAGATGGGCTTCATCTTATAGTTTGACCCGTGGATGGGGTCAAGCTCCTCCGAACAGAGCTCCTACCAGCGTACATGGTATAAGCATCTCGACAGCTTCCCACCGCGACGAGTTGCTTTTTCCCTCCTATTCCTAATCAAAAAGAAGCCCCGGGTCCACCTCCCTCTGTCTAGCAAGAACCCGCACGCATGGGTCTTGTATCCCCAAGCCAAGGCTCCGCCCTCGACTTCTCATCAACCACGCCCCCTTCTTTCACCACCCCCTCAGAAAACGTGTTTGGTTTCTTTGCGGCGGTGGCGGCGCCCGATGGGCCTCGAGGTCCGGCCGTGGGCCCAGCTGCACGAACCCCGCGTTGGGCTTTCCGCAATTTTCTCGCGATGGCACCTTGTGTTCTTTTTTTTTTTTTTTACTTCCGAACAAGGTTATCCTGGGGGTTTAGGCGGGGAAACGGTACGGTACAAGGGGAGGGGTGCTTGGGGGCGGTACTGGATGGGTCAAGCTAGGCTCTCTCTCTCTCTCCCAAGAGCGCAGATGGACAAGGCTGGATATGTCGTGCAAAGGGCTCGAGTGTGGGGACATTCATACATGGAGAAGAGACAAAAAGACAAAGAGATGGGGATAGACACGCGGATTAGAGCCGAGACATGCCACCTGATCACGAATCGAGCTCCCGGTCTTAGCGCCGATGTAATCAGGGGCGGAGGAGCTGTCTACTTTGGGGATGGGGTGGCAGGAGAGGGAAAGAGACCTTGGCGGTGTCTTGTTGGTACAGGCAAAGCTTTCGACTTTTTTTTTTTTCACCTTCTTGGGTCAAGGTACGTACGTGCAAGTGCATTGCGGTTGGGGCCACTTTCTACCCCCGGGAACCCTCTCTTAGTTTGGAGAAGCAGGCAGATAGGCACAAAAGCCAGAAGAGCAAGCAGAGAGAGAGAGAGGAGTAAGCAAAGCTGAGCAAGACGGCAAAGCCACCTTGTGAGTAGGAAAAAGGCAGCAGGGCGCTGAATGGTTTGTTTGCAGACAAAAAGGCGGGTGTGTGGGGATGGCAAGGGACACGAGGGCGAGAGCCGCACAAAGGGGACCAAAAGGAACAGGGGTTAGGTGCTAGGCAAGCTAGGTTCTGTTCGAGGAAAGGAAGGAGGGGCCTAGATGTTGATCTTCAAAGAGTGGATATGGTGGGGGTGGAGATCACAGATCACAATCGGAAAGGGTCCCATTCGCATTTCGCATTTCGCATCGAGAATAATCCGCACTGAGAGACAGAGAGAGAGAGAGAAAAAGAGACGGGCGCAATGGTAAAACGTGCGCTCTCCAGACCTTGGACGGAACCGGGCCATAGTCTAGATCCGGAGGTTGAGCTTTCAAAGTTGGTTTTCGCAACCTTGATGAGCTGCTGCCATTGTTGGTCCACCGACTTACACGAAGAAATACAAAAATGGGAAGAGGCGCCAGAGAAAGAAAGGGCCAGGGCAGTCGGGGCCAACCCCAGAGAAGACTAGTTCGGCAAAGGCACGCCAGCGCGGGGTGGGGCGAGAGGGACGGGGATGGAAAAGGTGGAAGAAGAAGAGGTGGAAGAAGGGTTGCATCCCACCACCACCAGCCACGGTTCATCGTCATTGTTCCCTTTTCTTCATCTAGTTACTAGTCACCTCAAGTCCGGCAGGCCTAACCACCCCCCTCCTTTTCTCTTTGAAGTAAGAAAGAGCCAGGCCCAGCGCGCGTGTTTCTTGGTCCAGATTCGGCACATTCCAGACCAAGACAGCAAGGGTTTAAGTGACTAGAGTCTGCGTGCGTGCGTGCGTTCGTGCGTGTGTGCATGCGTGCAGCTCAACTCCTGCGCTTCCCTTCCTCTTCGGGCGAGCGGCAAGAGGGCAGACAGGAAGCGCAAAGGAGGGGGTCTTTAGAGTTATATTAAGAGTGCCTCGGCTCCGGCAAGGTCCTTGGGCCTTTCTTTCTTATTTGAACAAGAAATCTTTCATGTGCTTCTCACACCAGCCTCCACTCTCCGACTCTCTCTCCATCTGACTACGCTCTTGGTTTCTCTCCCCGCCGACGAAGAGAAACCTGCGCACCCACCTCCCGTGCTTCCCGAACGCTCAACCTGGGCCCCTCTCTCTACCAGAACCTCGAACGTCTTTCACACACCCCACCTTGCCTTTGCTTTGGGGCAATACGCGGGAAACCCCAGTATTTCTCCAGAAAGGCAAATCCCAGCCCCGCCGGTCCTGTCTGGTCCCGCATTCGACCGGTGCCGGACGCCATGGGGAAATCTGGGGAAATGAGGGCGTTTGGTGGAGAGGGTAGATGGTGAGCGTGAAGGAAACGATGGGAGAAATGCAGACCGAGACGGACGAGATGCTGTTTTGGGCAATGGCATCGTGCCTTGACGAACCACGTCCACGTTGTTTGCTCCCTCTCTTTCTTTTTGTCGTCCTTTCAATGGATCTTTGCGCACGACGTGGACATGGACATGGGCCATTCATCCATGGACAGTGGAGATTGGGATTCTGGCCCCGCCAGAGTTTCTTTTCTTTATTTTTATTAATCTGGACCTATGAGCAAGCAAAAGCTAAGAGGAGCCGAAAGTAGGGTTTTTTTTCTTTTTTTTTCTCACCAGCAGTGAAAACAGCCAGTGAAAACCCACTCGTCTTTTTGCTCGTGGAGAAGAAGCGCATTGCGCCAGGACCTTGACACGTTGACAAGGATACACCATCTGGATCCCATTCCATCGATGGACGGGCAGGGCCTGCCTTGCCCTATAATATCGTCACCTATATTATGCGCAGGGCCAAACGGCGCGCCTTTGCGTGAGCAATGGCCACGCAACATCTGTGCGCCAGGCCCTCTCGAATTGAAGTGCCAAATCTCCTCTCGTGCGCGCGCATGGAGAGTGGAGAGCAGAGGGAATCTGACCATGGTCTGTCTCTTTTGAGGAACAGATGGGCAATATCTCGAGCCCAAATGTGGGCTCCGATTTTTTTTTTTTTTTTTGGTTGTCCAGTGCTCCTTTTTCGTATTACTGGGCTCCCCTCATTTGAACCTGCAGTGCCTTGCGCACTAGATAACTTGAACTCGCCCTGAGTGGACAATAACGCTTGAGTCCCGGCTCATCCAGCCTTCAACTCCGTCAATCCATGTGGAGCGACGCCAAGAGGGAGCAGTGGAGATGGGGACTTGGGAGTGGGAACTGGGAACAAACGTACGAAGTAGGTTGAACCGGCCAGGGAAAGGAAAGCAGCGGAAGGAAAAAAAAAAAAAAAGAAAAAGAAACACAGAAAGAAACAGAAACAGAAGCAAAGGAAACGAACAATAAACAAGCCTCCAGGGCTCCAAGTCCCCTCCCTCGAACGCGTGGTAAACGGTGTTGCGGGGACCCCAATAACCTTGACATTGGGCCCAGCCCAGTCCCGGAATTCTTGAGGCTTGACCCCGGACGCGGACACTGGTTTTTTGATCATCGGATCTCCAAGGTAACATGGCGTCGCAACATCCTTTCCCCGGAGCCACTGGAGCCACTCAAGTCACTGGGCTCCCCCGCTCGGCCTCGTGGGGACTTTGAGAAATCCGGGGCTTGACCGCCCTAGATTTTTGTGCTTCTCAACATAGTCATCAACGGTTTCTCTCGATGTCTGTCCCCCACCCACACCTGCACTCTTTCCGACTCTCGTGATGGTGTCTATTCTTTCCGAGTGTTATTTCGTTCTTGGAGTAATACTGGGCGCCTCCCCTCCATGGTTGCCTGCTCCCTATTCTTGCCCTTTTTCGGCTCCTTCACATGCGCGCAAACACGAAAACTCCCTCTCTGTCCGTCCTTGCTGAAGCGCCTCTTCCCTCCATGTAGACTAGTTCCAGGGCCGCATCGCGCACGCAATGCAGGAGCACCACCAGTAGACCAGGCACATCCATAGCAATTCGAGCCAACCTTTGACCACCAAGTCGAGGCACTCGCGCTTGTCTAGGTTTCCTTGCTTCTTTTGCCCATCCCCTTTGACCCCACCTCCACTCCACCACCCTCCCCTCCTCCCCTCCCACACCAGCTATGGTCAGTGTGCGTGGCGGCGGGGTGGCTGGCAGGGTTTGGCTCTTTTCGGAGCTGGACTTCCGTCTACGGCAGCTCCGCCGGGAGCGAATACGGCGGGATGCTCGCCCTTGCCATTGGAGGACGCGGGCTAGAAACGTGAACAAGAACCAAGAAATAAATCCCCGCCGCAATGGGATAGGCGCATATTAAGCAGCGAGTGTTACCACGGGACGGCTACTACTCGTGATACCTGGGCTGTATTAATACGGCCTCTGTATGGGAGCGCATACAATGATGGATACGTCTGTGGGGCGAGGCACTAAGTGAGATTGCGATGAGGCATGGTAACAAGGGAGCATTGCACATTGAGCACTCCACCTGTGGGGACACTGGGGAAAGAAAATGCAATATTCGCGGCAATTCATAGTAGCTGTTGATATTATCTACAATGGATCTATGGACGTATTTCACCAAGGGTATGGAGTAGAGAGAAGTGGTCTTTGCGCCACCAGTGGAGTTATGTTTACCTAGACACAGCGGCTCCATGTCCAGATCCCGGGGAATACGATATCCTTGCTGTCTCTAGACAGGACTTACACTATCAGAGAAAAGGGAGTGAGAAACAGAGAGAAAGAAACTAGAAGAATTTTAGGGCACGCAAGTTATCGAGGTTATAGTGTATTAAATTAACATCATTATCGTGGTACATATCGTTTTCTTTTGTTGATCCTACATGGCCTGCTCGTCAAGAAGAGCCAGGCACAATCCAACAACCATATGCCTAACCCGGACGCTATACAAACTGAATCCGGACCACCACTAACACGGCTTTCACGATGCCCGACTGCGCGAGCGCAACCCTCTTTCCAAAGGATCCTGCTTCCCTTCCCCCGCAGCCTAAGCCAAACCTGCGCCATGAGAGATGCAAGTCCACAACCTCCCTTCTCGATCCCAACATCCTAGGAACGAATCCCTCCCCCAAGGCGATGTGAAGAGAGATGCATGTGAAGGAAACAAGGACGAGCAGAGAGGTAGAAGAGTTGGAAGAAACAGGATATCGCACGCGCGTGGGCGCAAGAAGCGCCTGGCGATCCACTCCCCCATCCCATCCCATCTACATAGCTCCTTTCCTCTTACGGACCAATTCTTGCGCATCACTCTCTACCCAGAATCTCCCTCATTTCCATTTCCCCCATCCTCGCCGGCGAACCTGCGGGGAGACGCATGTCCTAACCTTGTTGAACCTTAGCCTCCTAAGAAAAAAAACCCCCAGGAAAAAACCAGGCTGCGGGTGGCCTCGTCTCCATCTCCTTGCATGCTTCTTTTGGGGTTTTAGCCACTTTCTTTTCGGTCTCCTATCCGTCCATGTAGGCGATTCTCCTCTAGCACTAGCCCATCTCCCTCTCCTCGGCCCATTCTCCGGAGCACGTCCTCGCAACAACTGCCTCAAAGGATATGCTTAGGCTCCGCAACGAGCACCTAGGGGCGTGTGGTGTGGTTTGTACAAGGTGGTTGGGTCGGCGAGAGGGAAACCCAGAGCTAGCTTTGCTCCTCCGCACCTTTCCGGTTCCTGCTTCTTGCATCACCACCTCCTGCCATCTCGGCTGTAGTTTGACGAATATAGCACCATGACATTCATACACCCTCATTCCTGCAGAAGAAGGGGAAGGCGAATTGGGGCAAGAGGGGAGAGACGTCGAGATGCCGAGAGAGAGAGAGAGAGACGCCCGTCTGCATGTGCAAGTGCTGTCCTCAGCTCTCGTCGAAGCCAGACGCTCACTTACATCCGTACGCCTCCTCACGACACCAACACCCATCTCTTGACCCCACCCTTCCGTCGGGCCTTGATAAACTCTCCGCCTCCGCTCCAACCCCCAAAGGGCGAAGCTAACCCCACCCGCAGCCGCGGGGCTAGCCTCTAGTATCCTATCCGGGAAATTTGCCATCTTCTTCTCTCCCTGGTGCTCTGTAATCTCATTCATCCGTTTTGCTTTCGTCTCCCCTCCCTTTTTCTCCTAGACTTCTTTTTGTTTAAAGCTTTCTTGTGTTGAACTCTGTGTCGTGTGTAGGGACGAACCTCTGCCCATAGAGAACTCGTTCTCTTCTTCTCTTGCTTTGGCCCTCCCAAATTGCTTGTCCGCCCTATCCTCCGCAGACCCTACCACTTCATCGTCGGATAGGTGTAGAATATCCGGCTGTGTCCGCGTTTCTGCATCTCCCGTTGGCCATGGGCCACTCATTGAAAGAGTCAAGTTGAGAGGGGCCGTTGCCAGAAGGAACACGGCATAACATATCCCATTCAAACAACTAAGGAGAAGAGGGAAAAGGCGCAAGCCAGTTGCAACGTGCAAAAGAAAACGCGCATCATCATTCAATCGGACCCATACATTTAATAAGTGATATCTGTTATCCGTGTGCCCCGGTACGCCCTATACGCCAACCAGCCATCATAGCTCTCCGTCTCAGGGGAGCCAAAAGGCAAAACCATTCGAACCAGGAGCAAGAAAGTATCCGTGAGGGGGGAACAAATAATGGTAAGAGGGGAAAAAGAAACAAAAGAAAGTCGAAAAACAAATCTAAAGAATGGGGGCCCTTCCCCCATGTCCCTAAGATGGCCACCACCTGAGCGCCGCGTGCATGGTTGCTTGCATCCACTGCTGGATGAAGAAAACAAAAAGAATATGGAATATGCCCCTCCTCAATCTAATGTCTAGCATGCTGCCTTCCCATGCCATCTTTTGCCTTCGCCTGAAGCCACCGCCGAGATGCAGGATCCGTTGCGCCAGTATGTATGTACATTTGCAAAGAGCTGCCTTTCCGTAGCATAGGGTTGAGAAAAAGAGAGAGAGAAAAGAACCAATGCATAACAAGAGGAAGATAAAAACAGTGGAAAGTAGAGCATGGATTTGCCATGTAAATCCATTCTCAGTTGATATCCGAAACGAAACGAGGGCGGAGGGTAAGAATATGTAAAGGAAATGGTAGGAGGCGGAGGGAGAAGGGGGAGCAAGTCGGGGAAGCTCAGGAGGGAGGAGTGACCAGGAGAGGGAGTAATGCATGGCCTGGGTGCCTACATGACCACTTCGACCTGATTGCTTCCCTCACCCGCTAGCCGCCTCCTTTTCCCATTTCTCCTTGGCTCGGAGAACTCCTCCTCGAAGCTTCCGCTGAAGATGGTAGGAGGCCCGCGTCTGCGCTTAGCCTCGAGCGTGGGCTCCGACTCCGTCTCCGCTTCTTCCGACTCCGACGACGTGCAGTCCCACGTTTCCGGCTGCTCGACGTCAAAGTATCCGACGACCTCCTCACTAAGCGCCTGGCCGAGGCGTTCCCTGAGCCCGATGATGGGCCAGATGGGTACCTTGACCACCTCGATGTCCAATCCAGGTTGTCCCCCGGCTCCCGGCACTTCGGTCTCTGCGGCGGCGGTCTGGGGAAACGCCTGATGGGGATAGTGGAACTGGCGTAGGTAGTCGGCGCTAAAAGTTGCCGTGTAGACGACGAAGTCGGCATTGGCGTTGTCTGTACTGAGGACGCGCACTGTTACGTCGCGGAAATCGGGAGTGAACTTGACAAGCGGCGCGCCCATGCCCCGCGCGAGGGGGCGCCACGTTGTGGGGGTACAGGTGTTCCTGCGCCATTGCGAGGAGGACGGCCACAAGGTGGGGATCATAATCCGCATTGGCGGGAATCAGCAGCTTGGAGCGGAGTGCCTGCAGCCGCGCCACCGGTTCATTGGGTGTCCGGCCCGGCCCGAGCGCCACGCGGTAGATATTGGCCCGGATGTTGGTGAGCTGCTTGCGACCAATGTAAGCAAGCATGGGTTTGCCGCAACGGGCAGGGACGTCGATCGCTCCAGCCGGGGACGCCTTGCGTCTTGGCTGGTTGCGTAGATTCGGTCTGGAAGGATTCAAGACCCATGTGCGATTCCCCGACTGGGTCTCCTCGAGGTAGGTAGGGTACGGCCACCTCCACATGCACTGAACACGGATCGCATCCCTGTGCACCCTGCTACCGAACCACACCCGCATCTCCGGGCACGCTTCCCCTCGGCACGCCGCAAATCCGCTTCTAGGATAGAGTTGAGAGAGAACCTCTCGGATAGACGAAACGCTGTAAAAAGGCATGGCCACATCGTTCGAGAAGATAGCCGAGAGCTCTTTACAGAGCACGTATGCAGCCGGCTCGAGCTTGCGGCGCGGATCTCGCGAGGCCGAAGGGTCGGGGAAGGCGACGTAATCTTTCGTCCGCCAGTCCAGTTGACTTTCAGCGCGGCATTATGCTTGTCCGTCCAGGCGATGGGTCGGATAAATAGGCTGACGCCCGCGTTCTCGTGCATCACGTCATAGAGGGAGCCCGGCTCCACTAGAGTGTAGTGATAGCGCCTCCGTTTCCTTGGGCGCTGACTCGGCTGTGCTCCGCATGTCGACTGGGTGGACGCCGGCGTAGGCGCCGTTTGGTCGGAAATCAACTTGCCCGACGCGGAGGGGGTAGGTGGTTCGATGGCACCTGTTTCAGGGATAGCGATTGTCGCCGGGCTAATTGGTGTCGCGTCCGGCACCTGCGCAGCAAGATCTGGTGCGCAGTCGCCACCAGTTGAGGCGGGGGCGCCAGGGATAGGAGGTGAAGAATCCGGGGGAGAGCTAGGCATTCCATCGATGCCGACATCGTCTTGTCAGCGGCTGTCGTCGCGCAGCCCCGTGTTGTTGTTTCATCAGCAGCGGAAGTCCGCATCGCGTCAGATTTTCTTCTTTTGAAGGCTGCGAGCTGTTGGCTTTCTGTCGCGGTCGGAACCATTACAAGGCTTCGGATCTGACTGAAGACACTACTATAGTGGAGAACCGAACTGTATAAGCGGCGCGTTAGTGCATTGAAATTGGCGACGATAATTCCAGAGCCGGAATTGAAGGCGACAGAGGGAGGCAAAAAGCAAAGTGATTTAAAATGGGGCGTGCAGCTGAAAGAAGGTGCGAAAATAATTGTGACCGGGCTGAAAGGAGAGTGAGGCGAAGGGGAGGGGAGAAGCCTATCCGTGAACGATTCTCAGGAGTGTGTCACCTCTTCCTGTTTGTCAGATCAGTAGGGCACAGATCACGCACTGATCTCCGTGCTCTGTGACAGGAAGACGTGGAAGGGCGACACAGACTTCTGGGTCACCGCTTTGTGCTTCTTGTTTTCCGTTTTGTGTAGGAAAAGAAACTCGCGATAATGCTCAAATTCGGATTTCCTTACTCTAAGTACAACATCGGGTCGCATAGAAGCTGGTCCGTTGAAATGCGCGGGGTCTTGTGTCGGTGGTGATGTAGTTGGGGTGGTCGCGTTACAAGAGCGTGTCGCTCCACAAGCAAACGCTCCCCAAACAAGCTCGCAAAGGAGTGGTGTTGAATTACCTTGGAAAGCAAGCGACAGCCGTAAGATTGTCCTTTACTTTTTTTTTCTTGGTTGGAGGTTACCTCGATAGAGAAGAAAGAAAATTGTGGGAACAGAAGGCAAGGTTGCAAAGAAGCCTCTGGTGTGTCAAACGAAAGTCGGAAATGGGCGAGAACCACAGTGTGAGGCGCGGTGCTGTTATCTGTTATTCCCCCTTGCTGGGAAATCGTCGATTTTTAGGTGAAGTGCAGTCAACCTTGAACGGGCAAGGGTGACTGGAGGAGCAAAGCGCGTCAGTGGGTTTAATTGCTGGCGCACAGCGAAACAACAAATCACACCAACCGGGAAAAACAAGCCACTCACAGGTCGGTGAGGGGTTTCGCTCAGGGAGCGCAAATTATTTCCCCAAACAGGCGCACGTCTCGTTCAGCAGGACTCGACAGCGAAGATCGACCGAGACGAAAGTGATGTTGATGTAGAGGAGAAATGTAGAAGAGGGACTGGAATGCTGGAAAGAGCTGAGCTGAAACGTTTATATTGAACCTTCCCAAGGCAAATATGTTAGGAATCCATTAGGTTTCGTTAGGTCACTCAAGCCCGGATAGGCGCGGGGAACGACAGGGACGGGAACACGGAGGAATCCACATGAATGGAAAACTTGCATCGCCCCTTCCGATCCAAGGAACTCTCTCACTCGCGTCCTTCGCCCCCTTCTTCCTAGAAGGGCCGGGAAGGTAGGGTGAGCCCTCACCTGTTGGGCGCGACTGCCCGGCTTGAACCGTGACACAGGTACCCAAGAACTTGCGCGACCAAACCACGAAGTCAGCTGCTCTTGCCCCAGAGGGTGGGTGGGACTCTAGGCACCAATTAATTTGGCTGAATGTGGGTCGGACTGCGAATGTACCTCTGTACCTTTACACCCACCAAGAAGTACGAGGTTCCTCGCCACAATGATGGGGTCTGAGTCAGTGCCAACAGAGATGATTTTTCATTTCACCGCCACATCACGTGGACAAGTGTGGAAAAGGGCCGTGTCACGTGGTGTACTATTCGCTGACAAATCCGGTCCAGTGAGTGTGAGGAGCACCTATGCGTTGGAGGCATCCAGGAATCAGTGCGATAGGAAACAACAGTCGGCAGGCAACTAAATAGCCATGGGCATGTGATCGCAGGTCGAGCAGACGTGGACCGCCTTTTAAATATGTAACTTGCGCACCGAGTATCTAGCGCTTCACTTCAAACGAGCTAGCTAAGTGGGCAAGAAGCCTCCTTAGATACCGAGCTGGATCCCAATATTCCAAAACATTCCTCAGTATATAGCGAATTAGACCATTCCAATAGTCCTTTTGACGGAAGAGGGTTTGCTGCTTGCTGGCAAGCTAGGAAGCTGACACGTCTAACATTTACTTTTCATATGTCAGAGCAGCTCTCGGATGAGCACCGCATCGGCAGGCGTGCACGCTATCCGTTTCATTCCGTCCCCGCACTAACACGCAGACAACTAGGCTTCCCTTGTAGCTGTTCTAATACTTATGTTGAGCCGTTGAGCCGGAACTGTAGATGCTAGGTGGCGAATATGGACGTTCACATGGTATAAAGTTCCAGACTTACATTGATGCTGACGTTTACGTTTTCCACTGACTCGAACATCGGAAAATAGAGATCCGAGGCATTTGAAGATGTTCTAGACAACGGCTGTTCGGGCATGCCAACCGTACCCTATGAGCCCAACTCTAGTAGTTCCATCGAGGCTATGTAGACATTTATTGTTTAAAATGTTGAGTTTACGCTTCAAACTGAAGCCGAAATATGTGCCAAGCGATCCAACGACGCGGCCTCAACACATAGAAAAGAATGGTCACTTTATCGAAGAGAGGTTACGAGGAGATAGATAGACAAGCACATCTACTCGTAATGAGAGATGGGATCCAAGTATCGTTTCCTTAGCGAGGGAAACGGGTTACCAATGTCACTAGATGGCCTTCCCGCACCTCAAATCCGTCTACTCCGGGCAGTACAGAACCTAGGCCATACCAGGCAGAGAATGCAGAAAACCACAGCCAACCATTTCTACGAAGGTGGCGATGAGTGTTTCTTGTCTAAGACTACGGGCCTTGGCGTGTTCCCACGTTAGCTAGCTTAAAAGGTTTATCTTCCCTGCTTGTGGGCCAGTTGGCGTTTGTGAGCTGATGGCTACTCAAGTCAAGGCGCAGTGCTAACAAGGTAAAATCAGGACTCTTCAGATGGGAGAGATGGGAGACGGAATATATGCGTATGAACGATCAGTCTACCTAGGCTTGCGGAAGAGGATATTCATATTTCAAGGCTGCTCTGCGAAGGCCCAACACCGATAACAAAGCCAAAGCTCAAATCTTAGGGTTAGGGTGAGCACAGATGCATTGAGCATTGACCCAAGATGAACTCCCAACTCCAGATTCCGCCTTACACAACACTTTCAATATTCGACGGGGTGGCTTCCTCCTGGGGTTTTATTGATGTTACACGGTTATCTACACGTATATACAAACACCCACACACACACACATATATATATATGTGTGTGCGTATATCTACTTCCAGAAAACCCTCCCCTCCATCAGCCTCCTCGCCGTTCTAAACACACTCGCACAACCCAAAACTCCTTGCTCGTCAAATTGCGCTGCTACTCTGAGGTTTCCGCTTGCGTGCCCAATCTCCAGTCCAGACTCGCCACTACCCCCGTCGCCGGCAGGCCGAATCACATGTTCCGCCACCGTGCTTCCGGGAACCTCGGACGCTGCCGCGATAGCAAGCGCCACGGTGACAGGGATCGCCTTATGCGGCTGACCCACGGACATGGCCCGTACGACGACGTGCGCAGATTCGCCGGGATGCGGCGCGGAAACAAACGCAATCTTGGGCACGCTGCCGGGGACGCCCTCGACTGTCTTGGCCAGGCCCATCTTGACGGCGCCGAGGCGCCGTATCCTATCCAACCTGGCTAGAAGCTGCTCATCAGCATCAATCTCGGCCGGCGTGAGAGTGCCGGAGACGCCCAGGTCGGCGGCCGAAACGAAGCAACACGGGTTCGCGGCGTCAATGAGAGTCACGCGAACACCGTCTATCACGTCCACTGCGCTACCTGTGGGGAGAAGTTTGCCCGTGCGGGAGCCCGCGGGGTTGATAAAGTCCAATCGCAAAGGCGCCGCCGTACCGCTCACGCCATCAATACAAAAGTCTCCCGATGCAGCCGCCTCGCCGTCGACGACGGGGAATGTAGCATGGATCAACTTGCCCGTGTTCGTGTTGTTGATGCGCACGGTAGCAAGGTTCTTGGTCCGACCGTCCCCGCCGCCGTGTAGCAAGGGATGCACGAGCTTAGCATCCACCGCATAGGGCCCCACGGCCGCGGACATGTTGCCGCAGTTGCTGGAGTAGTCAACGCTGGCGTCACGGACACCTATCGCTGCAAAGGTGTAGTCGACATCAGCACCTGGGATTTCGGACTTACCCACCACGCAGATCTTGGACAGGCTCGAGATTCCGCCCCCGAGCCCGTCCAGCTGGCGCCCATAAGGATCGGGGCTCCCGATCGCGCCGAGGAATATCGAGTCCCATTCCGCCCTGGCTTTGGGAAGGTCATCTCGGTTGAAGAAAATGGCCCGCGAGGTGCCCCCGCGGTAGTACGCGGCAGGCAGGGATTGTTGTGCAGGCATACAGCTATGTCTAGTGTTGCTAAGACGGCGAACTTGATGGCGGCCGAGCCGGAGAGAGATTGGTGACAATACGCTGCTCATTGCTGCTGGTGCGCAAAACCGCAAACGTCTTCTCATCCCCACTAGGTTCTCAATTTTCTAGAGCAAAAGGGGAGTCTCCTCGCGGCTGTATCCCAGAGGTCAAACAAGTTGGGGATTCATGTTGGATGTAAGTGGTTGGTGAAAATGAAGCTTGGCGCGAGTGATCCAAAATATCAACCTCGGCCGGGCTCGGGATTATGTAAGGCGCATTGAATCATCTCTCAACAAGCTTCTTTGGCAAGGTGGACAAAGAGGACGAGAGCGGGAAGATGAAACGGGAAGCCCTCCGAATTGTACGAACTGTAGGCATGAGAGAGAGGTGGTGAGTGGATCAGGAGAGTGTTCCAAGAACAAGGCAAACTCTACGGGCCGCCTTGACTTGCCCCTAATACAACAATTTCTCCTTGCCCCTGTCGCTGAACGGTTCCTATTTTGTACTTCTTGTAAGTTGACGAATTTAGCTCATTCTCGTCGCCTTGCTACCATCGCCCTGTCTGGTGCCCTCCCGGCAAGATGACTGGCTGGCAGTATTTCTCTACAGCAAAGGACATTGACAATTGGTTCCGGCCTGGCCCGTCAGGATTCGAATGGGGAGTTGAGTCAGGAGTGGCGTCTCCTCATTTGTTGCCGGATGAGGATGGGCAGCAAACGCCCACACGACACAACACGACCAACGGCGCCAAATCTACCAAACTGGATATTCCCTCCAATGTCCCCCAGTCTACCTTGGTATTACACAAGACCAGGAACATCAATGATAGTAATCAACCTGGCGCCGGAGTCACGAGGTTGGGTTCCTTCAGATTGAAGACATCTTCAATTCAACTCTTGGCGACATCCGACGCGCGTTAAGGAAGGACTGATCGATCCTGGCTCCCGCTGCTCCTACAGTTCACCCTCCCTCACCTCCCTGTTTTCGTACCGATTCTCATCGAGAAGGAAGCATGTGCCCTGTCAACTCATACCCCATCGCCACTCCGGCCAGACATCGTAGCTCCCCTCCTTCTTTCGATTTTTTTGTTCCTCGCTTCCCCTCCCCGCATCCCTTCTAATTCGCCATTCTCCGACCTCGCTGGATTTCGTCTTACCGATTTCCGGTTTTCTGGATGCGTCTGCTGTGCGTCCTGGATCGCGGATGGAGCGCGTAGTGACGCAGCTGGCTTGGTCCTTGTCACCACGAGAGGATTGATCACTTCATTTTTCTTTTTGCGCTCTCTTTCGGAATGGTGAGGCGGATATAGGCATGGACAGCATGCATGCATGCATGTATGAATGCCCCATGCCTACGTGTGAAGTGAGCATTCACAAATGTGACGTGCAACCATGGATCCTAATTGAAACCCAGAGAAACGCTCGACGTAAAAGTCAAGCTCCCACTAATTTTTGAGACATGCCATGGTACTTGCACGCGACGAGTTAACCGGTGATTTAAAGAGTTTCAATTACTCGGTATCTTGCTGGGAGGAAGGATTGAAAGGGTAAAAGACGACGACGGAGGAAAAGAAAATCAGCCGAAAATGGCAGAGGCAAAAAAGCCAGAAGGAGACGTGGACCCCTTCCCATGGCCCTTTCTCAGGCTGCCTCCTTGAAGGATAGTGACCCAACCCTTCCTCCCCAACCCCCTCGTACCTTCCTCGATTCGGCCACCCCACCAATCCCCTCCCCGCCTGATGCGCCATCACAGCGCTAAAGGGGAGAAAAATGGAAAGACCTAGGATCTCAGCACCTCAGTCTCAGCTGCCCTTTCCTCTAGACCATGTATTAGTCCAGCTCTCACCGCCCATCAACGCGAGGAGCTTCCAATCCAGTGCAGGTACCAAGTACTGTGCGGAGAGGAGGGAAGGAGGGGTAGCGAGGGGTGGAAGGTACATGGGGAGTAAACCAAGCCCCAAATCCAGCAGTCGTCGCAACCAGCATCCGTGCCATGCCCACCGCTCATCCAACGAGAGCGATTTCCATTCACAGTGGCATTCACTCTCTAACACGGATCAGTGATGGATATTATATCTACTGCATGGCGGCATGGGCATGGATGGATAGATTCGTGGCTGGCCGTCCGTCCAATGGATACCTTAACAGTCTCGTCTCGGCCCAGTCTCCCGGTCGCAAAAGGTGAGATGCCCAAGTCTGTTACCGTTAAAACCTCATCCCCTCGACCTTGCCAGTCTTCCCGTCAGGTATCTGGAGAAGGGCAACAATTATATTTGAACCAGGCCCCCTCACCTTTCACCCTTGCTCCAAAGTGCTGGCCGCCTTGCAAACCAGACCAACCTTTTCCTTTTCAACATCATCTAATATCCAGCACACGTCCGGGTTGAAGCCCTGCCTGCGCTTTTAACACAGCACGGTTGCGAGGAGCAGTCGACTGGCGCGACACGGAATAGCCCTCACTTGAACACCCATTTCTTTGGCCCTTCACCGCATTCCTCCACGCCCTTTTTCTTCTTCTTCTTTCCCCCTCCCGTCTGCTTGATTACTGTGCTTCCTGCGGCTCCCTTTTCTTCACCTCCCTACTCTCTTCTCAGCCCGGAGCTGTAAGCCACCTTTGTCCGACCGATCCACTCACTCACATTTTCGTCAAGCGCTGGGAGTGTCGGGAACATAGTCAGGATGTCGGCGCTTCAAGAAACCGTCACCATCATCAATAATTCGGGGAAGATCATTAGCACCGTATGTAAACTCGCCCCACGTCAACACCTCGGTTGATTTCATGATTGAAGGTCCAATGATACCCGCACTCACTGCCTGCGGCTTCTTGGGCTATCTTCTCTCGTTGAAGCCCGCTGACATGCTTGGCGCGGCCCTTTTCGCTCTGCCACCGCCGTTATCTAACTCGGGGTCTATAGGGCAAGCAATTATTCGGCATCTTCAAGGAAGCCAAGGCCTGCTACAACGAGAAAAAGTCGTTTATCCACCATGAACGCTCTTTGCAGCGCAGCCAGACCTTTGACGTGGGCGCCCAGCCATCTTATCACCACCAGCCTCAGCAATACCACGACTACGACTACGGCGAGAACCCCTACTACGCCGGTGATGATGGCCGCTCCCACGTCTCCCATCGGAGCCATCGCTCCCACCGTTCAAGCGCCTCCCGTCGACATGGGCCTTCGGCATCGAGGGCCGCCCCAGCTCTGACCGAGGCGAATCTCCGCAGCCATTCGGAGGTTTCCGCCACTCCCCCTCCGCCCCCTCCCCACTATCGCTCGCCGTATGCGGAGACGGCCCCGCGGGATATGACTCTTTCCCGTCCCACGCTCGCTCGGGCTCCCACCGAGCTCGCCCCTGCGTACCACTACCCTCCCACGATGGGCTACGCCCCGCCCCTACGCCCGGCATTCCCGCTCCGTCTCGGACCCTGATTTCGCAAAGAAGAAGAAGAAGTCCAAGGAGATCGACATGGACCTCGCCTACGGAAACATTCCCCTGATCTTGCCAGCCGCACCGATCTCGATCCCGACCATCCGGACACCCAGCACGCCCGTACCCTCATCGGCAGAGTTGAGACGCTTCTTGACGAGGCCAACTGTGTCCAGCACTCCGCCACCGGCATCATCTCTCACCTGCAGAGGAACCCCGATGCTGCCGCCGCCGTTGCTCTGACTCTTGCCGAACTGTCCACCCTTCTAGCCAAAGTCAGCCCCAGCTTCCTCGGCATCGTCCAAGGCGGTTCCCCTGCCGTCTTCGCCCTTCTCTCGAGTCCTCAGTTCCTCATCGCTGCAGGTGCTGCTGTCGGCGTCACTGTCGTCATGTTTGGCGGCTGGAAGATTATCAAGCGCATCAAAGAGAACAAGGCCCAAGAGGCCATGCAGCGCGAGGCAATGGCATTCCAAGCATCCCAGATTCCAATGCAACCGATGGGCCACATGGCGCCACCCATGGATCCAATGCACTACGACATGATGGGCATGCCCATGCGCGAACCCGAGTACTACCCGGAGGAACACCCCATCGTTGGCGATGGCGTGGACGAGGCGCTGGTTATCGAGCAGGAGCTAAGCGGAATTGAATCCTGGAGGAGGGGCATTGTGCCGTTTGGGGAAGACGAGAGTGTTGACGTCGAGCTCATTAGCCCCGAGGCCCAGCGCGCCGTCAAGCGGGGTGCCAAAGAACACCGTCGCCGTCATCACTCCGACGGCGAGTACGAGGATGACGGTGTCTCTCGAAGCGGGCGCAGCGAGCGCAGCGAGAGGTCTACTAGGAGCCACAGGTCCCACCGCTCCACCAGATCGCACCGCCCGCGCGATCCCGAGATCCCTGACCGCAAGAGTAGCAGATCTGGTACCACCGTCGTGGCGCCGAGCGAGCGCGGACGAGACCACGACCGTGACACCCGGAGCGAGGCGGGCTCTGAGCGAAGCCACAGAAGCACAAGGTCTAAGAGGACAGTCAAAACGATAGAGGCCAAGAAGGATGATGATCCAAATAGTCTTGACCTCGTGCTCCGGCCTAAGGAGAAAAAGGGCAGCAATATGCTAAAGCAGCTTTTCAAGAAGAAGAAGGACAAGGAGGAGGCCAGCAGCAGGGCGGTCAGCGTCTTGGTATAAGCTGGCTAGTGTACTTGCTTTTCTTTCTGTCCATTTTCTTTTCGGTCGGCCACCTCCATGCATGGTCTCCGGGGCTTTCTGTCCTAACCTCCCTCCTTAATCTTGGCCATCGAACCATCTTTTGCGCAAGCCCACTTGTGCCTACGATATGTCGCATCGCGACGTCAATTTCCCCTCCTTTCTCTCTCTCGGATACCACCTCGCTTCATTCTATCTCTTCTTTTCTTTTGGAGGACTACAATCAATTTTCAAATGGTGTAACAATGGGTGCATGGTTGGTTGGAGCTTTTGGCATGTTTCTGCATTAAACTCACTGATCTGCATACTGGGGAAGCTCTCAGTATGACCAATGTCTGTGATCAAAATCAATCTCATATTCGGATTATATTTTCTTTTTACTCCCTAGATATAGAGGAATTCAATATGTTCTTGACTGTTAAAAAACACCATATTCTCCCCTGTGGCTGATCTTTTATTTTGCTCGTTTTGAATGGAGGTTCCCCCTTGTTTCGTTCGTGTGGTGCCTCTTGACCGTCTCGGCCTTGGGACATGTTTGATAAATGGAACATGCACCATGAGGGACTCAAATGAGTGAGCAACCTTAATGCGCAAAGCGTCCACATTGGCGGAAATGTACATGTAGGCGAAAGGCGAGGCATGGGACTCATTTCGTACATATTGAAGTTGATAGCGATAGAAAAAAAAAAAAGGAGCTAATTTTTGTTCTGGGACTTCGTCATCTCAAGTATCACCACCCCCAAGGAGAACCGATCTGAATACTACAAAGTTACACCCGGTATTCGTACATGTTTTGCATCCGGCTAGTTTTTCGCTGCCATCGTAGTCCCCAGTGCCCTCGCCATGCCGCCTTCACCCATTCGTCCCCTTTGCATATCTCCGTCCGCAGCGACATGGCTGTGCAGCACAGGTAAATAGATAAATAAAAATGGATGCGACCACCAAGATAAAGAACCCCGAGCAGGAGAGACAAAAGAAAAAGAGGACAAGGGAAAGAGGTAATTCAATGAAAGAGTAAAAAGAAAGAATAAAAATGCGAACACGCAATGCAAACACCACCCTCCAATTCCACCTAAAAGCCCGAGCGAAAATGCATCTAGGTATTAATCAAGGTTGTTCTCGCTTTTGAGCCTTCGCCACGAGTCGAACGTCAGCGTCGTCGGCGCTCCCGCTAGTGCGAGCCTCGAGCTCGCTTCGCTCCCGTCCCAGCAGCTTCCGATTCCCCGCGGGGTCTCTTGTTCCCTGGCTGGAAGTCTGATGCCGCTGCATTCAGCGCGCCACGACCATGGCCACCGCGGCCTCGAGTGTTGCCGCCGCCCCTGTCGGCTGCCCCACCACTAGCGTTGCGCTGGGGTGGTATATATGGGCCACCACCCCTACCACCGCGATGGCCGCCACGCGGGACAGGGAGGAGCTCTGGCCTCGGCCAGCTTGCTGTGGTTGTGGCGGCGGCTGAGGCAACGAGGATGGACGAGGCTGCGGCAGCTGGGGTTTGGCAGCGGGTGCTTGTTGCTGCTGCTGTTGCGGTGGCCGTTGTCCCGGGATAGGCTGAGCGGCTCCAGCCTGGTGTTGGCGAGGGGCCTGTTGGGCCTGTGGTTGCTGCTGTAGTTGCAGATGTTGTTGTTGTTGTGGTTGTTGTTGCGGTTGCTGCTGGTGCTGCTGCTGCTGCTGCTGCTGTTGCTGCATGGGTTGCATTCCCTGCGGCTGAGGCTGCCCCTGCTGTTGGATCGGTGGCCGAGGCAAGGCAAACGGGTTGGGCATGGCAGATCCCGGCGCCGGGGAGGTGGCGAATGGGTTGTGAAGGGCACCAGGAGTCTGAACTTGTTGGGGCGGTGGCCGACTAACGGTTCCGGGACCTCTTTGTCCTGTTGCGGGTGTGGCACCATTGGGAACTGGTGAGTTCATATTAGTTGTAGTTCTATGTGGTGGGCGGGGATGTGTTTGCCACTTACTTGGAGTGGCCAGAGGCGCGGCGGATGGAGTGCTAGGGCCCGGAGTTGAAGGGGCTGGGGGCATTCCGGCAGTCGAACCCTGTCGGGCCAAAGCCGGCTGCGCGGAGGTTTGGGGAATCGGTTTAGCCTTTTGCGCAATCTCCCAGACTTCCACCACGGGCTTCTGGGGCGTCTCCTGGGCGGCCGTCTGCACGACGCCAAGTTTGGCCTGCGCTGCCTTGAACTTGTTCTCCGTCATGTTGATCTTGACTGTCGCCTTCTTCTGCTCCATCAGCTGACCCTGCTCTCGTGCTTGTGCAACCTTGCCCTCGTATTCTCCCTTGAGCGTTTGTTCGAGATCCGTCCTGAGCTTGGCTGTTTCCGCTTCGAGTCGCTTCTTAAGGTTGTTTGCAAAAATGGATTTAGCCGTAGTGTGCGTTGTCAACAGCTTGCGGAGATCGGCATCCGACAGCTGGGCGAGGTCGCTCACCGGGGTACCAGCTGCCGTGGGAGTAGAAGGAGCTTGCATAGAGGGCGTCGCTGGGGTCGCGGGTACCTGCTGCGCTGCTGCCTCAGAAGCTGGACCAGGGCCACCCTCGGCGCTTTTGATGATCCTCTCCTGCTCAAGTTTCAACCTCAGCTCCTTCTCTGCCGTCTGCCAAGCCGCCTTTTGGGCCTCAAACTCGGTTTCCCTGGCCTTGAAATCCTCCTCCATTTCAGCTCGGGCCGTTCGCAGCTTAGTATTGAGAGCATCCCGCATCTTATCGCTGCGCTGCTTAATCGTCTGCTCAATTCTAGCCTCGACATCCAGAGCCCTCGCCTCGTACTCGGCAACCTTGGCTTCCGCTGCCTGGATCTGGGCCTCCACCGCTTTCCTTTCGTCATCCGTCATCTCGCCACCGCTCGCTACTACAACTTGCGCCGCTGATTGGCCCTCTGCGGCCTCAATGCCAGAACGAGCTTGTTGGAGAGCTTGGTCACGTTCGGCAATCACAGATTGAAGCTGGGATCTTAAACTCGTTAATTCCGCTTCCGCAGCAGCCTTTTGGCCATTAACAACATCGAGCTCCTCTTTGACGACTGCGAGCCTATGTTCGAGCTCTTGGGCAATGCCATCTGTGGGTGGCTGGTCGCCGGTGACAATGGTCTGGACCGACGTGTTAGGGTTGGCGGCAGCCTGGTCTCGGAGAGCCTGCACGGTGTGGTGGAATTCAAGTATTTGCTTCTCAAGCTGGAATTTCTCCTGTTTCGACGACTCGAGCTCCGAGCTGATCGTGGTTATCTGCTGGTTTGAGCTATTCAATTGCTCATTCGCGGTATCGAGTTGAGTCTTGAGTTCGTTTGATCGCTGGATCGCTTCAACCTTCTCTCCTGTAAGTTTTCGGGACCGGTCCTTGAACTGTTCGACTAGTTTCTGCCGCGTTGCCTGCCAGTTGTTGCGTTCGGTCTCCAGGGTGGCTTCTAACTCGGTAATCTTAAGTTTGAGGGGCTCCTCCACACCCCTAAGGCCATCGCGCTCCGCCTCGAGAGTCGTGATATTCTCCTTGAGTTGCTCGAGCTCGGCTGCATCGACACGGCCATACTTGGTCAGGATATCCTCCGTTCTCTTCTGCCAGCGATCTCGGTCTTCCTGGATCTGCTTGAGCTCGTCTTGCAAGAATCCCTTCTCAGTTTGCAGGGCCTCAACTTGGGATTCGAGGGGTTGTATACGCCCTTCGAGCTCCGCAATCTTGGCGTTCTTCTCGGTAATCTGCACCTTGGCCTGAGCCAACTCATTACGGAGAGTAGCGCTGCTCTCGCGGTACAAGTTAAGCTCGTTGAGCTTCGCCATGAGGTCTTGGTGGGAGAGTGAGTTCCTGCTGTTCTCAGCTTGGGACCTGCGCTCTTGATCAAGCTTAAGACGGGCCTCGTCGAGCTGCGACTGTGCGTACTCCAGTTGCTGCTGCAGCCGCTTGATTCTTGCAGTCTCGTTTCATGCTGGACCTCGAGAATCTCCTTCTCGCGGCGGAGGTAGCTGTTGAGCTCCCGAAGGCCTTCGATGTCAGGAACAGGCCCGGTGGTTTCTTCGTTATCGTCGTAAGTCTTGAGCCTATTCTGCTGCAGGGCGCCGATCTGGGCCGTGACACCCTCAAGTTGTTGATGCAAAAGGCGGTTCTGAGCATTCGTGTCCTCTCGGCGAGAATTAAGCTCTTCGATTTCGCGTTCCAGTTGCTGTCGACGCTCCTCCCACGACGACTCGTTTTGGGCCAGCGCTGCTTTGGCGGATTCCGCAGCCGCTTTCAGTGAGGCAGTCTCGCTCTTCAACTGGTTATATTCGGTGCGTAGATTCTGAACAAGCTTCGCCGCTTCAGCATGCTTGACGAGCTCCTCTTCGTAGTCCTGCTGGGCCTTGGTCGCGATCTCGGCTTGGGCTCGTAGGTCTTGTTGGTGGAACTTAGAGGACTCGGAATACCTTTCAGCGTCGTCCTTGAGCCTCTTCATCTCATCCTCCAAAATATGCTTTTCATCTTCAAACCTTCGGGCCACCTCACCCTGCGAATCACGGAGAGCCGACAGCTGGGTGTTGGTGTTGGCAAGCTCAGCAGACAGTTCCTCCACCTTCTCTGCTAGCTCCTTGATTCTCGCATCCTTCTCAGCCAGTATACCGTCAATTGCTTGTTGCGCCTCTTCCTGCGAAGACGTAAGATCGGTAAGCGCCTCCTCGTGTGCTTGGCTAAGATCCCTGAACCGCTCAGCTTGGCTCTTAGCATTCTCGAGCTGTGCCTGTGCTAGTTCGAGGTCACGCTTCAAATCCGAGACTTGGTCGGCGAGGTTCTGGAGCTCTTCTTCGCGCTCCTCAGCAGTGGCATCGGGTTCGACAGGCATACCCGGGCGCGGTGTCGGGCGAGGCTGCAGGCGACCAACTCGCTCTTCGGCATTACGGAGGTTGACGGCGAGTTCATCAGCGCGAGCTTGGAGGTGGTCGCGGGCAGTGGATGCACGGACAAGCTCTTCGCGTACTTGGCCTAATGTGCTGGTGAGCTCATCGATGCGCTTCTGCGATTGCTGGGAGTCGAATTCCTTGCGGAGCTGCAGCTTCTTGCCTTCTTCCGTTTCGGAATTAAGCCTGCGCTTGGTCTCGTTGAGCTCGGTTTCGAGGTTATCAATCCTAGCCTGTGCCTTGCGTCTCGCTTCCGACTCGGCGATATCCCGCTCGTTCATGAGCGACTGCTGCGAAGAAAGAAGGCTGCTCAGCCGCTCCTTCTCTTCCATGAGGGTCTCGTTATTCTTGCCAAGCCGTTCTTGGATATCTTTCCAGAGCTTCTTCTCCGCCTTCAGATTTGCAGCCTCATTGCGTGTAGAGTCGAGAAGCTCGCGGGCCTCCACTAGTTCCTCGGCCACCTGTTGAGTGCGGATATCCTGCCTAGCTGTAGTTTCAGACAGGGTCTGGTTCCGCTTCTGCAATTCAACTTGCTCGCCTTGAAGGGCGACGAAATTGGCGTGAAGCATGTCGTAGCGCTCAGAGGCGAGGGTAATTTGGCTCGACAGCTTAATAACCTCGCCCTGGAGCGAGGTCTTTTCACCAGATAGCCTATCAACCTGTTCACGCATTGTTTGCCGTATCATGCCCTGCTCGTTGCGATAGTTGTCGAAGGTAGCCTCGAGTTGCCTGAGGGCCGCAGATGAGGCAGCCTCATGCTCTTCACCACCTGTCTCAATACTGGCAAGCGGGGGTCGCTCTCCCTCGTTGAGTGCGCTACCGAGGACCGAGGCCAGTTCGCCTGCGCTAGCCTTTTGTTGCAGAAGACGTCGGAACATGTCTCTTTCAGCCTTGTACGACTCCATCGTAGTTTTGAGCGATTGGGCCTCGTCGTTGAGGTTGGCCAGGTCTTGCTCAAGACGCTGAACAGCCTTGTGATCATCGGCCGCCTTGTGCTTAGCAGCAAGGGCCTCCTCACTTTCCATCTGCTCCGCGAGTTCTCGGGTGACGCGGAGAAGCTCTTGGTTCTTTTCTTGGAGCTGTTGTATGTCCTTGAAAACAACAAACTTTTGAGTGATGAATTGGTGAGTGTCGGACATGTCAGCAAGCGCGTCTTCCGTGACTTCACCCCTGGATAATTGAGCGAGGCGGAATTTGTCTTCCTCTGTGAGTTCATTGAGGCCCTTCTCACGGGCGTGCATGTTGAAGACAAGCATCTGAATCTGGGTGCCAAGATCCCGGAGCTGTGTTCGGAGGATCTTCGCTTCAGTCTGCACGGTGGCCAGGGAGCCTTCCGCCTTTCGCGCCGCCCGCTTCGCGAGATCGCGCTCCTCGTGGCTCTGCTCTGACAAGTGTGACATTTGATTAAGCTCGGCTCGGAGGGACTCGTTCTCGGACTGGAGTTCGTCAAGCTGTGGCGCCTTGGCCTCGAGTGTGGCAAGGACCTGGTCGAGCTCGTCGGAAAGCTGTTGGTTGCGGCGCTTCTCGCCTGCGAGTTGGCCCTTGAGCTTGAAGACCTCGTCAAGGGCCTGGGTAGCAGTGATGGTAGTCTTGCTGCGTATCGAGCCAGGGGTTGCAAAGGTGACATGGCACGGCCGAGAACAGATCCATTCGCGCGGGGAGTATGAGGGGCCGATGGGAAGCTGCAACAGCCGGTTCATGCTGAGCGCGAGCCTGAAGCTCGTCAACCTCGCCCTCGAGTTGCTGAATCCGTTCCTCGAGTTCAGCGACGGTCTGGCGCTCGCGCTCAAGGTCGAGACGAACGCGTCGAATCTCATTCTCATAGTTGTCACGGGTTCGTTCCTTCTCAAGCTCCATCTCCTGGACCCGACTCTGATGCTTTCGTGTAAGCTGATCAGACATCTCGACTAGCCGCCTCTGGTTTTCCAACTCCTTTTATAGCTTTCTTCCGTACGGGCAAAAGCCTCTTGTTGCTGTTGAACCTTGACAAGGGCCTCGTCAGCCTTGGCCTGGGCCGCGTCAAGCCGTTGACGGAGCTGTTGTTCGCCTCGTTTCAGCGATTCCACGTCCGCCTTTGCCTCCTCATTCTGGCGCTGCAACTCGGCGATGCGCGCACCTTTCTCCTTGCGGTACTTGAGTGATTCCTCCGACTTTGTCTTGAGTTCGTTCTCGAACCACTCGCCGCTACGGCGGGCGAGGTCGAGTTGTTGTTGCAGAGATTCGGCCCTATACTTGGCGGTGTTCGAGGCAGCCTGGGCAGCCTGGACATTTTGCTGGAGGGTAGTGATCTCTTTGTTAAGCTGGACGTTCTTCTGGTGCTGTTTAGAGAGCTCTTCCGAGAGTTGATCATCCCTTGCATTGCGTGACTCGAGCAGGGCCATGTTTGTACGATTCGACGCCTGGAGGGATTCGATTTGGTCTTTCAGCGTGCTGATTTCAGAATCGTATTCGGAGGATCGAGATTTAACGGTCTGCAACTCGTTTTGAAGGGCTTGTCGCGTTGTCTCTATATCCCCATCCAGATTTCGTCAGTAACGGGATCAATAATGAGGAAATCATCACAGACAAGGCGCATGTATGAAGTGAAGTATGAATCATGTACGTACCTTCATCTTTGAGCTTCTGTCGCACTTCTTCAACCTCTTTCATCGCCTTCTCCGCCGTAGCTTTGAAAGTCTGACATCTCGCCTCAGACCCTACAACGGCATTTTCGAGTTCGATATCGACGCGAAGCTTTTCCGAATATAGCGTATCAAATTCGTGAGCCTTTGCTTCGACGGCTTTGAGAAGGCTGCTTATGTTCGGATCGGCAGCAAGCGACATGAGGCCATCCTGTTGGAGGCCAAGGTGGCCGGCGATGTAGCCGAGGTCGGCTACCGCCATCTTTAATCAATGTGGAATTATCGAATTAAAGCATCAGAATTATTATGGCTCGATAATTTGACGCAATGGTTGATGCGATGGGGATGCGATCAAGCTTCGACGATGGTTGCGGTTGTTGTGAAGAGAGAGTGGGAGGAAAAAAACAATGGTGGTGGGTGGAAACTAATGAGAAGATTGCCCGGTAGAGATTGTCCCTTTCAAGATGAAAACAAAGGGAAAACCCCGATTTCTAGGTTGTGGAACCTCACAGGCAAGGGCTGTGGCTACAAATGTCTAGATCGCAACCACGGCGAGTTTTGATGTGTTTACGCACAGCAATCTCGATTTCTGTTTGGAGAAAGGTTGCGCGAGGCTGCCTCTTAATTCTCGACCCAGGAATCTTGGACCCACCCAAGCAACAAGGTCGCTTCCCGCATTGGGCCAACCAGAAGTGGCTGTTGTTCTTTGAGCGAGAAGCTCGCGGGTTACGTAATCATCAGGTTGCGGGAGGCGGCCCAACGGGTCATGTGACTGCCCTGGGACCTTAGAGACATCCATGATCAATGATGACGGTGAGACCAGGTTCCCACTCGGGCAGGTGTAACCCGAGACCCGAGCGATCGAGCCGAGAGGATACCAAGACGCCAATCTGTTAGTGGTTGCCGACAGTCGAGAACATGCAGGGCTTCGCTCATCCGCAATTTCTCTACTTTGGGAGAGCCCGTTTTCATGTAAGTATCGGAGGCCCTTCCCAAAATTGTCCCTGCAGCCAGGAAGCTTTTGCCGGGCAGAGCTTGAGACGTGAGTGAAGGGCGAAGGGCAGTGACGGAGCCAACAAACAGGCAGCCAGTTGAGACAGGTTTTGTTGCGGATGCTTCATTTCTTTGTGGTATCATACATAAAGCTGTAAAGTACAATGAGATGCCCATCGAGAACACTCCGTCCCCAATGCTCTCTCCTATCCCCGTCTCCTTGGGGCCAGACATCGGGGTATGGCATCATCAGTCTGGTGTAAACCCCGGAATATCGCCCTCGTCCTGAGGTTGTTCGTTCAAATAAACACGAAAGCAAATGCGGGAGAAAAAGAATCATCATCACCCCGAAATAAACCCAAGATTATATACATGAAACTGAGGTGTATTGCAACCTCTCGTCGCCTCTTTTCTTTTTAATCAGCCACGCCATGAGTCCATGTCACTCACCGGGCGGCCTCGGTCACATTATTGCTGGTTGTTATATTGTGTAGGGAGTTCTTGGTAGGTAGCAACAGGCCCAGACTGCCAGGAGGTAGGAAGCTCAACCGGTACGCTGTGCTGTGCATGCTGTGGGGGCGTAATAGCCCGCCTGTGGCGAATGCGGCGATGGGTGACCAGGATAGGCCGGATAAGGCGAAGCGCTTTGCGGCGAGGGAGCGCCGTACGCCTGGTTGTACGTTTGCATGGGTATCGCCTGGCCATAGCCCTGACCATGAAGCTCCTGGGGCATCATCTGGTGGCCAGCGAGCTCGGGCTGCATGGGTGGTGGTGTCCCTACGTAGGGCTTTACCATGCCCTGCAGCTCGGGCATCGGGGGTGGATTCGTCGGATCATATTGAGGAGTAGGGGTATGTCCGCTTGTGTGCGAGATAGCAATGCTAGGCCGAGGGCTCGAAGGGGGCATCGCGTGAATGGGTGTTCCGGCAAGCTCGGGCTTGTCGGTGGAGGGAGGGGGCCGGTAGGCCGCCGAGGCAGCCTCGGCGGCAGCCTCGCTAGCCTTCTTCCTGCGAATAAACATAAAGGTCCCGATGCCAATTAAGGCCAACGCTCCAACTCCACCAGCTACACCACCGGCGATGGCGCCAACGCTTGAACCCCCACCCCACTTTGGCTATCGGAATCATCATCTTTTTGTCCGAGTCCGTAGAGTTGCCGTCGCTGCCCGAGCCGCCGGTCTGCCGAGGCGTAGAGTTGGTAGCCTGAGCGACTGTTCCGTGGCATTAGTACGTGCTTTGTCATAGTGGGAAACTGGGGAACATACTCGACTCGGTAACACCAGTCGGAGTCACTTCACCCCGAACGGCACTGCAGTAGTATTCAAACACTGACACTGCAGAAAGGACATCATCTCTCGCGGTAGAGTCACAGTTCCACCTCACTGAAGACGACATACGGCTAGTTGCCCTGCTGGACATGCCAGTCTTGAGACACACGCAAGAGCCAAAGGCTTGAGGGCCAGGAGGACAGAAGTCTGCCGAGTGCTGCGCAAAATCAGTCTGTTAGTTTTATGTGGGGATGCCGGCAAAGGTCCACCTGGCGGTCAAAACCTACGATAGCAAGGGCGTCATCCACGCCGGACTGGGCACATGGGATGAGGGACTTGTACTCAGGCAGCGCTGAGATATAATACGTCACTAGATCGCACCATTTAGCATACTCGACAGGAAAATAAAGACCTCATGGGATAAAGCAACGTACTGTCGCCTGGGGGCTTGAAGGAGCGGGGAAGGAGGTCGTTCCCGCAGTCATCGCACAATAAGCTGCCAAGAACGCTTGGGCGGAGGTGATGTCCTCGTTATTTGAGCAAGAATATTTGACGGAACTACTGATGGTCTGGCTGGCTCGTAAAGAATTTTGGTTCTTGCCACAGATGCATGGGGCGAGGAGACTGGGCGGCTCAGGGCAAATGTCGTAGGTCTAGATAAGGTGTAAGTAACAACCAAGGCTTGCGTGTATCTACTACTAAGAGAACCTACCATAGTCCTATCAGAAAAAAGGGGAGAAGGTCAGCCTCGTCGCCATTCAGAATCTGGAAGGGTAACGACCAGCGTCAACCGACGTTCAAACTTACTGCATAGCAACAGACACGCCGTATTGGGCACACGGTGCCAAGTTGTAGAACTCGGGGAAATCTGTCGGATACTCTTCGACGAGATTCGTGGTCGGAGTCGAAAAGCTGTAAGTGCCGTCGGGATCACAATACTGGCTGACAACGACGGAAGCGCTCGCGTGGTCATCCGAAGCTGTGGTACCGCACGACCAACTCAGGGAGCTTGACATGGTTTGAAGGACCTGGTTCATCATGCCATTCTTGGTGCAGACACACGACTGAAGAGAGGTAGGGTCATCGCCACAGGACTCGAAAGTCTGGGCCATGATGGCAGAGGAGACGCCATATTGAGCGCACGGCGCCTATCTTCAACGTTAGCCAAGGAGAAGGGGCTGAGGGGCGCGCAACAGTTCACCAAGCCGCGCTCCGAGCTCAGGCTGACGTACAAGAAGCGTGTAAATCGTGAGGTCAGTGACGTAGACGACCTCAGTAGAGAGGACAAGCGCCGCATGGGCTATGAGGCCGAGAAGCGTGGACCTCATCGTCGGTGAACAAAAAACGGACGTGGCCAGGAGATCGATGTGATGAGCGAGCGTGGGCGAACGAATCAAAAGACAAAATGAGCTCAGATAGTGAAAGAAAAAGAAAGAAAGCCGCAAAGAAGGAGCAGGCCAAGCCAAGGGAAGGAGGCAGCGGATGGTGAGCTTAGACTCGAGAGCCGATACTCAAAACAAGCCCTCCTCCCTAAAAACACAAAGTGAAGAATCAACGATGGATGCGATTTGCAAAAGGAATGAGATCACGATTGTCACCAAGAGAGGGGAAAAGGAATTTGTCGCTCAAAGACTAAGAAGGTGCCGTGACATGGCTTCGCGCTAGTTCACATCCATGGCTTCTCCCTTCAACAACAGGAAACCACTTTAAAGCACCAAGCATGGGCGCCTCTTCATGGCACTCTCTTTAGGTGTGGTTTGGCTTCAACCCAGTCCAGGGGTTGAGTCTCGGCTCTGCGAAGCCGGCAAGGTACTCAACGAGTATCGTCAAGCATGCCCCTTTCGGCAACAGTGGTCCATGGCTCTTGGGGAAAACGGGCTCACGAGAAAGACATTGTGGGTTGTTGGCGCACAAAAACTTCACAAGCGTGCGCCAAGAGTACCTGCAGATTACTTCGCAGGCTACTTGTACATGCGGGTGGAAAAGGGGCGCTAGATGCAGCGACCCCTGCCAGCTGAAATGATGACCCGGCCCCTTCGCGACTTCCGTCCCACACCCACAGACCCTGCCCCTGGATGCGGATGTGAATTTGAATTCATTGATCTCGACCGAGAAGAATCGCCATCTATGGATGTTCCTCGTTGCGGGCCACGTTGGATGGAACAAAACTCGAAAATACTGTCAAACTTTTGGCACACGCGATACTTGATTACAGTGACCTCAAGCTGTGTGGGGATGCAATATTTCCTTTTGCGTTAACAATTACCTCTTCCGTGGATGCTTGGGCTGCCGTGTGGTCTGGTCTTTGCAAATAACATTTTGATCGCTTCAACCCTTGAATTTCCCGCGTTGACAAGGGGGTTCGGGTGGGGCAGAATGACGCGCAAGGTGACCAAGGAGATGCGATTCTTGCCTTGTCATAGGGCGGATCGTGTTTAAGATGATCTCCCCTCTCTGGGCGCGCAAACTTGGGACAGTTGAACGTCGCACTGGACAAAGTAATCATTGCCTGCTTGGGCGCACTTGCCGGGCCAGATTCCGCCGTTGCAGCCTGGAATAACTGGGTCCTCTGCTGGTCAAGACGGAATCGCGGCGAGACGTCTTGAACCGTGGGGAACAAATTTTGAAGCAAATCCGGGCTGCTTTAGCGATGGGTGTCCCAAGGTTCAAAGTATTCAACCACTTGTCTAGGCCCCTCCCAACCCCAAATTTCCGCCTTTGATGGGAAGTGAATGTTGAAACACATTCATCAAGCCTTAGAGATCGTGGAGCACGGTCACGGCCGATTGATTTCCTCCGGGTGCTCGTCTCTCACCACCACGTAATCCATCTCCGTCTTACCGAGGCAGAGGCAGAGGGCTCTTTCCCCATTGATCAGCGGCCCTAGATCCTTCCTTCCCCATTCCCAGGCCTCCGCTTCCTCGCCATCGCTGGAAGTGGATTAAGTCGACCCACAGTTCGAAGAGCGTGGGCGGTCTTGCCTTCCTTAGCGTGGAATTTTCTCTTCCACTGGCCGTTTTTCTCTGGAAGACAGGATAATCAATCCACGGGTCGATCCATCAAATACAAGCAAGTAGATCCATCCAGATATATTCATGTTATCATTACTATTATTACTCAACTCGCCAGACATGTCTCTCCACCCCGCCATTTTTTCTGCAGGGGTTGCCAGTCAAGGCAGACAACTCAGACATTGATCGGATCGGATGGAAACCAGGCACCAAATTCATCGGTGGCTTGACGTTTGAAGCCTCACTAACCCCTGCATTCTTGCAGGAGAAGCCATCAGTCTTTGCTGGCGCATATCGAGGTACAGACAATAGAAAGAGACCGGTACATACACCTGGGTATCGTCACCAATTGATAGTTGCCTCCACGCGCTTACTCCAGCCGTTTCTAGGAAGCGCAATCACCACTCTCCAGGCCAGTTCTCAAAGAGCGGGAAATATTCCCAACACAGCAGCCACTCGTCCCAGTGATGAGAGTCTGTCGCAATCAGGCCAGGGGTTATCACGTAGCCAGGCAAACAGTCAGCCTACCAGGAATCTGTTGTTCCCGACAGGTCAACCCACGCCCCCATCAACCACTTGATGCTTAAGATAAAATCATGATATCAGGGCTGTCCCTCCCTTTGTAGAAAGCTGGTCAAGGCCTGACCACCTTCTTTATCCATTTCCATCTTCTCTCCCGCCAGTGTCAAGCTGCAATACTCTACCCTCCGTCCGCGAAACATCGGGTCAGGGGATCAGATGACGTGTCGAGTCTTCCAGTCGATCGATGCAGCTCGCCTCCCCATTTACCCACTCGATACCGCCTCACATGATTCTTCCTCGACGGTCGACATCAGCACCACAATACGGCCCTTGCGAGGCCGACACTCGGCCACTCGTGATGTTTCCGAAACTCGGTAGTCACCGACCCAGGCCTCTCTTCGGATAATAGCGTTGGCTTGTCGCCGGAGGTCTTGGCTCGGCATGGCAGATTCTTGAACTTTCGTGAAGCTTCTTCGGCTTTCTGCCTGGTCGAGTATAGCCATAATGGTTTCGGGGATCGCGAGACGGTTAACGATGCGCCTCCATATGAGAATCCCTGTCATCTCGCTAACATCAGGCCGAAGGACAAGCAGTCGCGCTCGCCTTGATCCTTCTTCCGGGTCTAACTGTGCGATTGCCCTAAGCTCGCTCATCGTCAGACGGGCGTCGTCAAACTCCCAGAGCCCATTGACATGGCCCCGCAATAAGCGCGTCAAAAGTTGGCGTGCCCTCTTTGCGCTGGCACGTTTTCCAAGCACGGCGCTGCCAGCGGTCGCTTGTTCAAGAGACCCCTTAATCGTTGCACGGTATAGAACATCTTCCCCTCTATTGAGGGCCTCTCATAGCACTGTCTGCGAGAATGAGCTCCATTCGTGTCGATCCGCGCTACCTCCCCAACCACAGCCGAACCTGCTCGTGGGTGCCAACCAGTGATGGACGATGACCCTACACCCGGGATGGGGACCGGATAGAAAGGCCGGTCAGGATTAGCCCCCGCTACCAGTCGCTCTCGGGCAGACTCCTGCCTCGTAGCCTGGCGATTGCCAGTAGCCTGCCGTTCGGCAAGACTGATTTCGTTGGATCTGACTTCAAGCGGCATGCCCGACGACAGGACTCTCTGATGAACAGAGGCAGATCACCGTGAATCCCTCTTAGTTATGGTCTCATAGCCCTTATACACTAAGGGATCGGCGATCAAAGGAGTTATCTACGCTAATTTTAGTTTCCTCTATCAACTAGGAAGGCTAGATAAATAGTGTTTATCAGTGTAATACTTACATAAATCACATAAAGGACTATATCTAACAAGTATAGACCTAAGCAGTATGGCGTTATCGTTGATGAAGGGTATAGAGGCTAGGTATTCTTCGTTAAAGAAGCTGTTATTATGAACTCGAAGAGGTTGTGTTAGGGTATGAGAAGAAGAATTATTAATGATCAATGAGTCTAAAAGATAATATATAAGTATTATGGTCGCTATTAGAGAGGGAAAGGACGATGGTCAATATCAATATTAGCTTGAAGCTAGTATGAGAATTTGAGAATACCCTACATATACCTATGTTGGTTTCTCGAGGTTCAGTTCACAGTTGGGCCTCATAATCAAAAATATCAAGTTCTACCTTTACCCTCTGGGGCAACGCTCAGAGGGTAGCACTAGTCGAACCTCCTCTGCCAGCCGTGTTTATGATTCAACTTCACTTGACTAGAGATCCTCGTAGATATCCACCATGTCTAGATGTGGTCTCAGCACGCTATTTAAGGGATTCAAGTGTCCAAAAACACCTTTTATTTCACTCTCGAATGTTTACATATATCACTCTGAAGGTAAAGAGGGACCGGCAACACAATGGTCCGAAAACATGGCCAGGGGGTATCTTGATACACCTATCATACATTTCTCAACGATCACTTTTGTCTCACATTCTTCGCTTTCCGTTTCTTGAATACGGGTGCTGCCGGGATATCCGCTAGGGTCATCTTGGGCGACGATTCTCCTGGCGGGTTGGCAGCTTCCTCCGCTTTGAGCCCAGCTTTGCTGTCCGAATCGAGGTTCGCCTCCGTGGGAGTTCCGCGCTCCTCCTCTTTGACATCCGGAGTAGCTTTGACCTCATCTCCATCGTGCTTTGCCTCTTCTAGTTTTTCAGGCTTGGAAAAGTCCCCGCTCAAGAGCGCGTCGAGCTCCTTATCACCGTCGCCGGGCATCGTCTTGAACCCCTACCCCACTTCTTAGGCTTCTTGAACAGCCCGCTCACGGCCTCCTCCTCTTCCTTCTCAGCTTCCGTTGCCTCCCTCTTCCGAACACCAATGGCCTTGGCATTGAGAGCTTCTGCCTCCGTTTTCTCCTCAATGACTCTTGTAGCCGTGACGGTCCATTCTCCTGGCATCGCCATATCGCCCCGAAAATCTGTTGGAATTGATACGCCGAGTCCCGCCAGCTCTTCCATCTGACGCTTCCTCTCCGTCTCCGTAATCTTGGCCTCTTTGGGACCGGGAGGTGCTGTCCGCCCAGGGATCGTGCCCTTCCCACCCGCGGCGGCCCCGCTAGAGCTTGATCCGGACGGTCCTGGCACAAGCCTGTTCAGCCTCTCGACCTCGGCCTTGGCCCGCTCTTTTTCCCGCTCGGCGTTTTCATGACCACGGTGGATGTCTCGTAACGCGCGCTTGATGGCGTTCTGGTGAGTGATGGTCGCTTCGTGGTTGGCCTTTTCTAAGGGCGTGTCGCGGACATATGTGCGGCAGTGCTTGCACCAAAATTTTGGTGCCGATTTCCAGTATTCTGACATTGTGTGAGTCGTCCCTGTCCAGAACGGGACGTGGGTGGGAGCGCGAAATGGTTGATGGAGGAGTAGCACTTCCCTCGGAGTGTAATCTGGGATTTTGGGGGTCACGAGGTGCGCAAACTCGAGCCGACGGTCTGAAGAGTTGCCGACTAGGATAAAGGAGCATATCGCGACATGATTTTTAGGCAATGGAGTGACGTTGAATTGGATCGTTGGTGGCTTAGTCATATGATTTGGTGATGCGGTCGGCCTTGCCCCAGCCATTACAGTGGAGAAGGGTGGCGCGTGCTAGCGCGACCACAACGGCATGGAATCGTTCTTTCCCTCCTTCTCTTCAACATAGCGCAAGGAGAGGAAGGTATTAAGAGATTCTTATTCTTGCTGAGCCATATCAGCCATATCAGCCTTCGTGTGTGTGACCATCTATCTCGTCTAATTCAACGCGTCTACGGACACTAATTGGGACTTGCGGAAGAGAGGATGCACGTGTCTACATGACTGGAATTGGACCTTATGGCTTGAACAGAGACACAGACCGAGGTACATGTAGGCCAAATATATCCTGGCTTCTCCTCCGGCGATCAGTGAACTTTGTCGGCACTTGGTAAACCCGCTAAAATCCCTCCCCAACCCTCGCTGGGCAAAGCGTTCAAAGGTCCCGCCCATAGCACAGACGAGCCCTATCAAGCGAAATGCCAAGAGACGTTCCTCCTCAAACACCATTTATGCTTCAGTCTGACCGGCCTGACCCTCTTCACTGCCATTTCTGATGCTCGTTTTCGCCAAACTAGCTTTCCGAGGGTTCGGGGCCTCGAAGATGTCTCGCATCTCCTCCAGTGTCTTCCCAGCCGTCTCGACGGCAAAGAAATAGATGAGGACAATCTCAATGATGATCCAAACAATGTATATGACATAGAGCTTCCAGCCGATTCTCGAAATCGCTACGCTGATTCCCACGGTATTGATGGTCATAGCAATGTTGAGGAACAAGAAGTTAGCGCCAGAACCTCGAGCGCGTGTCCTGTTCTCGAGACATTCGACAGTGTAGAGTGTCTGTAGCGGGGTAAATCCAGCCGAGAAAAAGATACCGAAGATGTAGATGGATACGATGACTCCGTAGGCGAGGTTGGGATTGTTCTTGGACTCGGCGGTGAAAGCGGTCAGGAGGATATAAGAGAAGAGCGCACCAGTCAGGCCTCCCATCATCATGGTTCGCCTGCCAAGCTTATCAAGGAGAGATGCACCGTAGATGGCAGCCATCATGGAAAAGATTGGATTGATGGCGTTGATGAGGAGTTGTTTGTTGGTATCTTCGATGCCAGCCTCCAAGATCATGTCTGGCTATAAAAGGAAATGTGTTAATAACAGGGGCGAACTTGTCAGATGCATCGCCCAGAAAGGGGAATCTCACCATAAAATAGCTGACGACATTGTTTCCGCTCCATTGACCGAAAAAGGCCATTCCGATAACCATGGCAAGACGGTAGCGGGCCGCGCGCGTGTTGACTAGGTCCTTGTAATACCACCACGGAGGCTGCTGACCCGCCTGCGCGTAGTCCTCGATGACCTCACGATACTGCAACTGGCAGAGAGGAGCGTTCACGTCACCGTCGCCATGATACTTAGCAAAGATCTGTAGTGCTTCCTCGGTGCGATCCTTGGAAATGAGCCAACGGGGAGACTCGGGGAAGAACATGATCAAGCAACAGACTACAGCAGGCATACCAGCCTGCGTTACAGTGGGAATCCTCCAAGCCCACGAATCAGTCATGTGCCTGGAAAGCCAAAGCTGTTAGCACTGACAATCAACTGCCCAACTGCTCGCATAACCCCCGCCCGGTTTTAATGGGAAAACCTACTTGTGTGAGCCGTAAGTGGTCCAGCCTGCCAAAATATTTCCAAGCCACCAGAAGTTGTTATACCTGAACCGACATTGTTAGACGATACTCGGACAAATGACTTCATGCACTCTCTTTCGTTGTTGACTTACATTCCGGCCATAAAGCCGCGGTATGCGGGTGGGCCAGCTCAACGGTGTAAGCCGGACCGGCAGCTGAGGCAATTGCAGCACCTAGACCGAGGACGAATCGCCCACCCATGAATTGACCCAAGCTTTGAGCAGAACCCTGGATAGCGGTGCCGACGAGGACTATGAAACAGCCGATCAAAATACAAAGCCGCCTCCCAAGTCCGTCCGCCAACATGCCGCAGAACGGGAAGGCGGCAATTTGACCCAGGTTGTAGATGATGAACACAATTCCGGTAGCAGAGTGCTCGCCTTTGAGGCCAAAGCTCTCCTGGTAAGCCGGCATGGCATTGATGGCGCCCATCAAAGAGCTGTCTGTTCGCCGTGGGTTAGCAACTCGGACAGCGCGGCTAGGAGTGACCTCGCGCATTCTCTTCTTGTTTCTTATGGGGTAGCTAATTGTTAAAAAGCTACTTACCGAAGCCGTTCATTGTGGACACAAGGTATCCAATCCCCATGATGAAGTAGAGCTTGATCATGTTTTTAGACCATGGATTGGGCTTTTGGCTGGCAACCGCATCGGCTAGTACCGTTGACGCTGAGTTGATACCCGTACCGGCACCAGCCGCAGCTGGTGCCGCGGGGTGCTCTTCCTCAACCTCGGAGGCTCTCGCTTTCTCGTCGTAAGCACTCATGATTGGGACTTCAGAGGGCCTTCCCCGCGCGTTTCCTCGTATTTAGCGTAATACTTGTTAATGGGGAAGTTGGGCCAGAAGATGCAGTCTGTACGGTTGAGTAGAAGCGGAGAAGATAAAAGTACTCTATACGCTGTCGTGGGGACTACACGAGCCAAGAAGATATCTTCTTGTCATCAATTCCCAGAGCTCACAGAAAAGATGAGAGACAAAAGGGGGAATAAGTGGCTTCGTTCACTTCTCTCCGCCAGCCAGTATATAGCTCCGGAAGCGGAGATTCGGGGGAAGATCAAGATGCATATTAGTGGTGCGGGTATGAGGGGCGAGAGAGACCCAAACCAGCGGATCGTACGAACATCCAGTATCTTTCTCAATGTCGACTGATGGAACCCTCGTTCCCGTATCAGCAGTGTAATTCCCTACGGCTCTGGTACAAAGAGAACACGTGAGAATGCAACAAACAACAAGACCTTGTGGTGCTCGTAACGTATGCGGTATATGGCCGCATGAAGAGGAGGGGTATGGACATCCTTCAAGTTGGATGTATCGAAACCACCCCGTTGAGCCATTGAAACCCGGCCTCTAGATTGATTCCAACGGCACGGGCCCGTGACGGCATGCAGCAGGACAAAAGTTCTCCCCCATAACGAAGCCGAAAGAGGGCTCCTCCTCCGATGAAGAGTTGCGGCCAACCGGTCCTTGTGATTCAAAACCTCCGGGGTTGGCGTCGATTTCACAGAACCCATGCCCTGCAGGGCGGTGATAGGTAAGAGATCAAAGATGGTAGTGCACCCCATGTTCTCTTCGGGACATTTCTCTAGCTCGTGGGACGTCACCAAGACTAAACGGGAGTTGAGACATATTCCGAGGTTGGATTTGATTGATTATAATCCGGTAAAGTAGAAAGAAGGTCCCCTGTCGGTTCGTGAAGGATGGCCACCCTCCGCAATGGAACAAGGCACTGGAGATGATCTCGGAGCGATTGCGTCGTCTGTCAAGGCCAACGTTGCGCGCAACGTGGGTCTCAATCCGGCCCCATATAGGCGACCCAACCATGTTCTGTGATGGCAACGCCGCGCATATAGCATGGGTGAATTGATCAACTATTGCCGGTGAATTAAGGTAGCATGCACACAATGCTTGCCCAGCGACCGGAAAAATCTCGGCAGAAGATCGACAAGGAGCTTTTGCACAAGACTCGTGCCCCTGCCATCATCGATGACCGGCAGCTGCTTTGAACCGATCTGACGACGGAGGAGGGGACAGACGCAGGCGCCTCCTGGTAAGCTTGCTTACTCTATTGAATTTGTACCCAATGCATCAGTTGTAATGTTTTATTCTCGCCTCAGTCACATCAAGGTGCGCGATGATAAATTCCAGCGATGCACGCTCATGTCGTCTCAACGTTAGCTGAGTGACTGACTGATCAAATTGGCGATGATGGCAACAAGGTGAGGCTCGACCAAAACGATAACCCCGATACCGTCACAGGGCAGACTCCTGGATTCCTCCGATGCGAGCGACATCAATGTTCCTTCCATCTCCTTTCGGGTCCGTGCTGGCTCTGGGCATGCAAGTGTGTGGGGCATCGAGTGATCTGGGGACAATTCAGAAGGAGCATTGAACACGGGGCTTGGCTATCAACGGGCTAGTGCCATGATCCCTTGTCCCTTGTCCCGAGGCTCTTCTGGCGCCTCCAGCCCCCTGAGAAGGCGCTAATTCCCCACATCAACCATCACTGATCAATCGATCCAATGTCTCCGCCCCGCCGCGATTGGGGCTTCGAGCTGGGCATGCGCTCCCACGGGCGCTAACCACCTTCCGCTTTCCCCTCTCCCCTCTCCCCTCCTCCGTGGCCACACAGTCTGGACCCACGTCAAGCTTCCCCGCATCGACGAACGACCTCCACAGTGCACTCGTGCATGGTTCTGTCCTCGCGAACCAAGGAATTCCAGACTGGCATCAGAAAACCAAAGACACCCCGGAAAGCAACAAATTAAAGCAAACATCCAACGACTGCAATGTCAAGCCGATCGGCCTCCGGTCTCGACAGTAATGTGAACGAAAAGGGTCAGCTGAGGCACTTAGCTCTCCACGGCGACTCATCTATTCAAGTAGCTCTGGCCCTTGGCTCCCTCAAGACTCCCAACCGGCTCCAGTTTCTCGCTCGTCATCACAGCGAGAGCAGCGTCCCTACTTTGCCCACGTCAGATCTGACCGTCCCCAGCACACGAAGCCTGCACCAGGAGAGCAGGACCGTCGACGCCCTTGTTCTCGCCCCCAACTTGCCCACGATGACAGGCACAGGAGTGTTTCCTGATTCCCCCTGACTGGTGTAACCTCAAGGTTCTCCACCGAAACACCCTGGCCCCTAGGAGTTCCTTCTTCCTCTACGATAGCGAGGCCGACGCCCTCACCCGCGACACGAGCAAGTCCAAGGCTCAGCTGCTCTCTGGAAAATGGAAATTTCATCACTCCACCTCTCCCTTCTACGGGCCGCAACACTTTTATGAGCCCGAATTTGAATCCTCGGAATGGGATGAGGTTGATGTCCCCGGCATGTGGCAATGCCAAGGGTATGGCAAAGGTCCTCAGTACACCAACATTGACTACCCTTTCCTGTCGACCCTCCGCATATTCCCTTTGACGATAATGAGTGTGGCCGATACCTCACTACCTTCCGCGTCGATAAGCACTTGTCGAACCACCAGCATAGGCTGAGATTTGAAGGCGTCGACTCCTCTTTACCGTCTGGATCAACGGCTTTGATGTTGGGTATTCCCAGGGGTCGAGGAACCCGAGCGAATTCGACGTGTCAAAATTTGTTAAGTACGACGAAGACAACCTTCTCGCCGTCGAGGTTTATCAGCGATGCGACGGCACGTATCTCGAGGACCAGGATCAGATTTGGCTTAGCGGCATTTTCAGGGACGTCTACCTGCACTCTTTCCCCAAGGCTCACCCCGAGGACTTCCACGTTCACACTATTCTTGACGACCACTACAAGCATGCGGAGCTTAGGGTGGACATTACGCTGTCCCGAGCCGCTGACGTCGCCCTCAAGCTTTTAGACGCAGATGGAAATACCGTAGCAGAGGCCGCGAAAAGACTAGACCCCAAGGGCCATATCAGTGTTGATATCAAACACCCCCATAAGTGGACTGCGGAGACGCCCTATCTCTATACACTTGTGGCGAGTTTTGACGGCTCCACCTCTCTGACGCAAAGGTCGGGTTCCGTAGGATCGACTTCATCAAGGGTGTCTTCACTGTGAATGGCAATCCCGTAAAGTTCCGTGGGGTGAACCGCCACGAGCATCATCCTGAGCATGGACGTGCAGTGCCATATGAGTTCATGAAGCGAGACTTGCTCATCATGAAACAGTACAACATCAATGCCATCCGGACATCCCATTACATCAACGACCCCGTCTTTACGAGATTGCGGATGAGCTAGGTCTGTGGATCATCGATGAGGCCGACCTCGAATGTCACGGTTTCGGCGCGGTCGGCGCAGATGCTTCGAAATTCACCTCGGACAACCCCGAGTGGACCGACGCCTACGTGGACCGAGCACGTCAGATGGTCCAGCGGGACAAGAACCACCCTTCCATCGTCATTTGGTCCCTAGGAAACGAGGCGTTTTACGGCCGGAACCACAAGGCCATGTATGATTTCATCAAGACGGTGGACACGAGCAGGCCAGTTCATTACGAGCAGGACTTTGACGCTCATAGCGCCGACATGCACAGCCGCATGTATGCGAGCGTTGATTCCATTATTCGCATGGCAGAGGAGAAGGAATGGAAGAAGCCTCTTGTGCTGTGCGAGTACGTGCATGCCATGGGCAATGGCCCCGGTGGCATTAAAGAGTACATCGACGCCTTCTACAAGTACCCACGACTGATGGGAGGATTCGTGTGGGAGTGGGCAAATCATGTGAGTATCAAATTGAAGAGGAAAAGGGAAAATCCCAAGAAGCAGCCCCCAACCTTGAGATCCCCCTCCCATGGGCCTGAGACTAATCTCCCTTGCGTATCCGTAGGGGCTTAAAACCAAGAATGCAGAGGGCGAGTGGTATTATGCCTATGGAGGGGACTGGGGCGACGATCCTCACGACGGCCACTTTTGCATGGATGGTCTCCTTAATTCCGACCACACGCCCACCCCGGATTGATTGAGTATCGCAAGGCTGTGGAGCCCGTGCAGACAATCAAGCTGAAGGGCGATAAATTGACCATCGTCAATCGCTATGACCATATCAACCTTGACCACCTTGACTGCTCGTGGTCTGTGGTTGATGAAACCGGCACTGGTGACGAAACTGTGGTCGAAATCCCCAAAGGTAGGTTCTTGCACAAAGTGGAGCATTTCGCCTCACCATTTTCGTTTTTCATTCTCCCTCAATCCTACGCCTACCTTTTCTATTGCAATATACACGCGTCGCATGCTAATCAAGATTTCTACAGATGTCCAGCCACACACTGAGGCAACAATCAAGCTCAAGGGTCTTCCCGAAGAGTTTAACGGCGAAACTTATATAAGAATCAGCTTTAAAATCAGGGAAAGCACAGAGTGGAGCCCAGCCGGAACCGAAGTCGCTTTCGGGCAGCATCAGCTTCGTGGACCCGAGAGCCTTGCCACGATTCAATCTCTGTTGCCGGTCTTGTCTTCCGTACCAACTATCAAAGTAGCCTCTCCTGGGCTTCTGCAAGTAACGAGTCCCGATGGTTCTTCCGTATGGGGCGTTGACCTTAGTCTTGGCACCCTCTCAAGCTGGCAAAAGACGGGAGGACCCGGAAGGCAGCTCACAACCAAGCCATTCACTATCGACTTTTACCGTGCCGTCACGGACAATGATGGAGGCTGTCACTTTGGACGGAATTGGCGGGACCGCCGACTTCACCAAACCAAGCACCACGTTCGCCAGGTAAATTGGAGTGTCAAGCCAAGCGGGCTTGTCATCGAGATTACCGGCCGAATTGCACCTCCCGTGCTTGCCTGGGGTGTGGACACAAAGCTTACGCTCACTTTTGGCCACGGAGTCCACATCAAGCTCACTGCGAAGCCACACGGGCCCCTGCTCCCCCAGACGTTTGCTCGAGTTGGACTTACCTTTGGTCTCGAGGGTGTTGAAGAGGTCCGTTGGTTCGGTCGCGGACCAGGGGAGAGCTACTCGGACAAGAAGATGAGTCAAGCCTTCGGTTTGTGGCAGTCGACTGTTGATGATCTTTTTGTGGACTATGAGTATCCCCAGGATGGAGGAAACCGCACAGATGTCCGCTGGGTCGAGTTCCTTGGCAAACCCGATGAGGGCGAATCGGCCGACGTGGGCTCCAGGAAGCGGTTGATTCGCGCGAAGTTTGGTGACTTGGAGGGGCCTCTTTTTCGGCCATGCACTATACGACCGAGGATATCGATGTATCCAAGCACCCATATGAACTCCGGAAGCGTAAGCGCAAGGACACTGTCGTCCGCCTTGACTGGGCACACCATGGACTGGGATCAGGTTCTTGCGGGCCGGCAACGCTCCTCACTACCAACTGAAGACGGACCAGAAGTTTGAGTATGAGCTCTTCCTTGACTGATTTTATATATATATTTATAGCTATTCTTGCATTGCATAAAGCCAGTTTTTCTCCCACCTCGGATCCCTTTTTCCTGTCTCTCTCTCCATGACTTCATACTTTTGCAGTGGGGAGTTTCCTTTGACTGCATGGGTATGAGGAAGTTTTCTTTCTTTCTTACCTTTTTTTCTTCTATTTTCGGAACGATAGGAACATAAGCATATCCTGGACATTCTTTGTGCCCAAGGGGAGGCAAATGTAAACCACACACATATTGCATATAAGCTGGGGCACGTCGATGTTTCATGTAAGCGAACAATATCTCAATTCCAGATGATTTTTAGAAAATAAGCTGGCCAGCCATCTCGCAAGCGACCTCTCCAACAGAGGCTATAACAAAAGAAGAAACCGAGGAAAAAGAGAAAGAAAAAAACTCCCCACTTCCCAACAGTCCGAATACAAGCAAGACCACCAAACCACCTGAGCCTATGCACCTCCTAAACCCGACCTTATGATAAGCAAAACCAAAACGCCTATGCGCCAAACTACCACCTAAACCTCTTCATGATAGGGTTTTCTTGCACTCCCGGGGTTGGTGTTTCAACCCTCCGTGCGTATAGTTCCGGCTTGGAACTTACAGCACGGGCGGCGGTACTCCTTTTAGTAGTGCTTCTTGATGGCAGCAGGGCATCCACCACAAGCCTTGGGGACGGTCTTCCTCGCCTTGAGAGCCTGAACAAAAATATATTGGTTAGTTTGATTTATGTCTGTGTGAGGGGGCTAAACGTTGGAAAGCGAACCTTTTGGAGGCAGGCTAGGTCGGCCATGATGTTCGTGCCACGGGCAGCGGTGGCGCGAATACAGGAGATGGTGGCGGGGCCAAGAGCCTTGCCGCAGTTATTGATGTGGCACTTTCCAATGCGGCCATCAGCAGCGTCCTTGATCAAGGCCTTTGTGTCCTTGATGAAGTTCTTGATAGCCTTGCCGGCGCCCTTGACCTTCTTCTTGATGTCATCAATGAAGCCTGGGTCGCGGGCGATGAGCCCGAGGGCGGGGAGGTGTCGGGGAGAGACCGAGCGGCGAGAGCGGTGATGGCATCGTCATCGAGGAGGAGCTCTAGCAGGGCTTCGTGCAACGCGTCCTCATCCTCAGGCTCGAGATCTAGACCAAGGTCGCGGGCGGACAAGGAGGAGGGGTCTTTGGACGCTTCGTTAGCCTGCTGCTGGTGAAGGGCGAGGGCGGAGAGGATGTTAGAGGCGAGGAGGGACGTGTAGTCGTCAATCACGTCGGAGTCGATGTCCAGGTCGCTGGGGAGGGAGGAGGAGGGCAGCTCTGCGCGGGGCACGGGGACCAGGGCGGAGACAGCGGAAGCTGCGAGGAGGATGGCGGAGGTGATGAGTGTGAAGTGCATTTTGCTTGCCTTTTCTCCGGGAAGTTGTGGGATGGATCAAGAGAGGGCTGTTTTGGCGAAGGGTGAGAGTTTTGAGGATAATGATGGGAATGAGATGGGTGAGGGGCTGATGAGGGGATGAGGATGAGATGGTGAGGATGAGGATGGAAAGGGATGAAGGAAAAGATATCTCGAGATATCTCGGTTTATATAGATGGCTCATGGCTTCTTCTATTCTGGACTCGAGAGACCAGGAGCGTCTTGGTTGTTTTGCGATATTTTTGGCAGTCTCTAGATTCTACGTTTCAACAGAGCAGACCAAGGATAAGATCTCGCGAAGCGAAGGTTAGGATAGGACCGATCCATCGCGGTTCCATCTTTAGATGCGCAATAGCTAACGTATGGGTCACATTTACATGGAGTCGAAGATCAAATGCTTTACCACCCGCGGAGGGTACAGCCAGCAAGGAGAGTGATCGCAAAAGAGATGACCCGTGCTGGTCACGGCTGTAAGCCATTTCACCTGTGTCCGGCGAGGACGTAAACTTGAAACTTGAAACAACCAACCTACTCGGCTTATTCTTAGAGTATCAACGGGGAGTTATTAGCACTAATCTAGCTACTTGGGTCAGAAATGTCCCGAGAGCAGCTAGAAATAATCCAAGGCCAAGGCCCGCGTGAGGCACCGGGTCCGGTCAGATAATCGATGCCTCCTCTCCGTCTCTCGCTCTTTCTGGTGTAAGTCGAGTCAAGACTCGGGCGAATACAAGTCGCCAAGGCCGCCGTTGCGCTTCTATTATTGGTCGCAATGGGGGTTTAACCCGCCAATAAATGGGATGTGATGGCGATGGTCGAAATGTGTCTTGCTTCTTCCTGCCAGGTACCCTCTCCAGTGCTGGCCGAGGGGGACCCCGTCAGCAACGGTACCTTGGGGGCCGGGAGGTTTAAATCGGGAGCGATTTTCAATCCGTTGATCGTTCCTGGACAGGATTAGTAGCGGATGCAACTTTAAAACATCAATTTGGATGTGGTATTGGTTGAATGGGGGCCGCCCACGTTAAAAGAGGCGCCGCGAAATGACTTGCTTTGACTGCGCCTCTCGTCTGTTGTCCCCGTCCCGCTTTCTCAATGTGCCCCAGATCTTCTCTCTATTCTTTTGCAGGCCCCCGCGCTTAAATTCCATCCCCCGGCGATACAATCGTGAGCTTTCAACTATTGAGAATGAAACCCTTATTCGCAAATAGCCGAGGAAACGAAGAGGCGAGCTAGAAATATCCTTCTCGTTTAGACATGGATCCTATGTAAATTTAGACGCCTTGAAGCGCGGTCTGGGGTAGGATTCGGCAATGGACCACAGCCTCACTCTCTATTCTTGCTCACAAGCTGGAAACCACCAATGCCCGCTCGTTCTCCAGGGTGAGTTTCAAGATCTAATTTTTCCTAAAAGGTAAAGACTGGCGGGAAGCGCGAGATAACAAATGAATCGCTGTTTCTATTTTATCATTAATCAGATTGTCTAAAGGTTCATTGACCGGTGAAAGATGCGCTCTCTACTGTCATACATCCTCCATCCAAGATTACATCTAGTCTCTTGGGTCTTCTAATGGGGGACATCCAGATGCCTTCTCTCCCTATTCTAGCAAGTCCGGTTCGCGTTCGTATAAAAAAATCATGTCATCATGTCCTCCCGCCCCTCCTCTGGTGCATCAAGGCCGCCTCCTCGACGCTATCGCCAACCAGATAAATGGGCCTAGGCGCCCCTTCGCGTCTGAAAAACATCCTTCTAGGTGTCCCTCCATCTGGTACCCCCTCGCCGTCCAGATGTTCCTCCAGTCCGCTAGGCATTCCCAGCAAAACTGGAACCCGCAGTTCCCGCATGCCATGTGAAAGCACCCTCCGCCCTTCTCCACCGGCACCCGCATCCGCGGCCCGGGCACTTTTCGTGTTGTGCTTGAGCCACGATTGTGTCTCGCTCTCCGCGCTGGCGCCCTGCGACTGGGCTTCATACTCCGCGCAGCTCCTACCCCGATGCCAGGGGACCTGGTGCTTGAGGCACATTGCAAATCCGCAACTGTCGCACATGACGTGATTGGCGTCGTTGACGTCGGAAGGAAGCGCGCGAGCGAGGCCTTGCCGGAGGACCTGGGGAGGACCTCCCCGTTCTCGGTATTGAGATTGAGATTGGAAAGCATATCGCAGACCCCGGGTTGCGTGTCGTAGATCTGACCCGCCTTGCATCCCGGCCGGAGGCACCAGCGGAAGTTGGGTTCGTTGGACAATGCCACCGAAAGGCAGGCCTTTTCGTACCCGGCAAATGTCTCGCTCTTTGCCAAAGCCTTCAGCTCTTGGTAAGAGTACACGTGTCCGCACCCGGGCTGCGGGCAGGCAATAGTTGCAGCACTTCTAGCCCCGAGCTCGATCCGGGAATCAATGTGCTTGCTCAGACAGCCCCGGCATATCGTGATGCCGTGGTTCGCTGCGCACTGGGGAATCATGCTCTCCGACGGGAACGGATATGCAACCCATTCGACATCGCTGCCAAATGTTTGTCGGCACTTTTTCCATGCTCGCTTATTGCCAATCTCCAAATCACAAAGATCTTCGGTGCAAATGGCGCAGTTCTTTGGTGTCTCGCTGCGCTTTAATAGTGATGTGATGACGGGGATAGAAACAAGGCTGTCGTCACTGGACATCACGGACAGCCTTTCTATAACGACATCTTTAGTGCCCATAAGGTCTAGAAATGGATTGTCCATGAAACGCCATCGATGCATCCTGCCGTGGAATCTTTCTGCCGCAGAGGCAGCGTCACCATTCAAAGCCGGCGCGACCTCTACCAGTTTCTGTCGGAGGAAGCACGCCCTCTCTAGTATTTTGAGGTGCATCTCCGTCGATTGGCTTCCTAGAGTACTGTAGATCTTTTGAATCTTTGGGATAGTGACGGTGAAGAAGCCATTTTCACAGCTGAATACGGGACAAGGCACCCAATCCGGTCGGCTGAGATCGTGCCATATAGCCCCCTGTAATCGGGCTGTTACCGCCGCCGGGAAACAGTTACCGCAGAGAGACTTTCGGCAGCACTCCATGACAGCAAATTTCACTCGGGCAGGCCCATGTTCGGGGATGGCATGATCTCCTCTAGTGTTTTGAGGTGGGCGGGCGTGGCAGCCCTCGCAGAAGAGCATCTTGAGATCCGGGTCGTTCGCAGGCGTTTCGCGTCTAATCTATGGGTAGACTCAAGGTGTGAATTTCGTAGAATAGTGTAATTCGGCTTCCGTCCGGGCGGTTCGGCGAGATTCTGTGAGCAGCACCTCGCACTTTCGAGATCAGCTCGCGGACCCGTCCTTCTTATCCTCCTCGGGACAATGCGAGCCATTCCCTCCTGCGTGGCCTTTTAATTCCCTTCAGGGGCGAATTTCCTTCATGAGGCACACAAGATGCCTTTGTTCCTTCAAGTTGAAGGATAGTTCATTGTTCTTTTCAACCAAGGCGCTGTTCGCCAGCGAAAGCACCTTGATCCGTCTTTGTAATTTCTTTGTCTGCTCAAGAAGCGCCGCGTTCTGCTCCAAGAGCCTTTGGTTCTCCACGGCGCCCGCATCGCCACTCGAGCCCGCGGAAGACCTATTTGACTCCAGGACTTGGGTCGAGGCAACGTGGGCTTGCTGTGTGAGACAGGCGAGGAGGAGCTTGTTCTTCAGCCGGAGAGCGTCGGCCTCGCGTTCCAAGACGCGGGTCTTGGCTTCAAGAGTGGGTATTCTTCGATCCGTCTCGCGATTTGGGGAATAGCTCCCGTGCTTGAGGCCGAATCGCTCTCGGAGCCTGGTGTGCTGGAACCTGCTCTGCTCCTGTAGCGGGTGCTGCGAGGGATCCCGCCACTCGTTGGGGAATGGCTCCTCCGTTCAGAAGTTGGCATGCTTGTCATGCTCTCGCGGGGCGTGTGTTTCCGCGAGCTCCCCGAGATCTCGGAGAGGGCGTCGGACCAGGATATGGGAGACTCCTGCCGGTCCGGGGTACCTGGCGGAGTGGGAGACGAGTTGGCGGGGATGGGTAGCGGAATCTTGCTCACGCTGCTTCGGATAGCCGGCCGGGTCTCTGGGGTAGCCGGTGCCATAGCTCTCGGCGCAACATCAACCTCTTGCCGAAAGCCAACAGTGATTCTCGCCATCATAAATTAAGAACTAAACGTAAACTGAGTATGGACGTCGTGCGATTGGGTAAAGAGAAGAAGCGCGAGGTAGATATTAGGGGAAATGGTAAGACTAGCGGAGGGGCACGAAAAAGAAGATAGACATAGACAACGGGGTGCAATGAGGCAAGAGGAAGGGATCAGCCAGTATTAATATGTAGGGCTTAGTGAAGAATGAAGCAAGCCCCCTTTTTGCGAGATCATCCAAACGTCCCAGATCCCCATTCTTATGCACCCGGTCGAGCGACATCATAATCACAACACGTCCCCTATTTTCTAGTTGTTTTCCATTCTTTGCCAGTCCCAAAAGGAACATCCCCTGCATGCGCATGATGGGTCGTTCGTACGATGTTCCCCCAGCCGATGTATCTCAGATCCGTCGTGTTTTAGTCTGGGTGCTGAGTGGCTGGGGGCATCCAATCTGAAACAGCGCCCGTAAAAATAGGCGTGCGTCCTGGTTTCGCCCTTTTCCCAAAAGCAATGCACTCACTGTTTTCTTTTTCAGGGTCTTTGCCTCGCCACATCCCTCCTCCACCAAAAACTGCTGAGGTTGGGCCTGACGCCCCAGGGAGAGAGTCAGCCACGCCCCGCTTCACCTTCCTGAGAGCCCTAAGAAGGGCGCCGGCGTTTTTCAGGTCGCTCTCGCCTCATTGCGAAATAATCCTCTCCATTCCTCCTTCCAGCTGAGGCTCTCCTGGTTTGCGGAAGGAGCAAGCCGAAAGTCAGAAGCGGCTAGAAAGCAGCAGGCGCCACCGCCGTTTGACACCTTCATTTTACCACGGCCGCTGTCTGCTTCGTGCATGTGCACGTATCAAGATCATTCAATTGATCAATCGTCAGGTCCTCGGCGAATTGCTCTTATCCCTTGAGTCCTAGCGGGCGTAGGCGCAGGGAGAAAAGAAGTGCTCGAGAGAAAGACACGAGCTATGTTTTGATATTCTCAGCTTCAATGTTGCTTGAGAACCCGGTTTCGACCAATGCAAGACGCATTCCCCAGCCATTCCACCAACCTAGACATGCAGATCATCTAGAAAGAAGGGGTTCTCCTCTCCCTAGGGGTTTTCTTTTTCTTTTTTTCCCTTTCCCCTTTCCTTTTCTTTTTTATTATTGACAAAATGAAAGGATACGTACTGGGAAACAGAGACATTTGCTATTCAGCGGTTCTGTGCTAAAGACTGATTCGAAGCACCGCTGGGAGAAAACAAAAACAATGAAAAAGGAGAACTGCGTTTCAGGTCTACCGAACGGCTCCGGGAAACTTTAATTCGGCGATCCCATCAGATCCCGGTTGACATCTTCCGGCATCCGAAAGGGACCATCACCTGTTGGTGTTTAGATTTTCCGCGTCTCCAACTCGTGGAAACGTTTGAACTGTCCCTGGATCGCTTGATGATGTGAGAATTGCTCTCGAAACAGCCAGGAGACTGGATGTGAAGGAAAGGTTGTTTCTCTGCTCGAGGAATAAGCTCGGAAGATCGTCGCACCCATTGACAATGGCACTAGCCCCCGTGTGGGTGTGGAAGGGTGGGAAGGGTGGGAAGGGGCATGGAATGCATTCTATGAACCCACCTCCTCTGCCACAGACATGCAGCATGTCTTAGAGGCTCTTCCAGCCAACGAGCTAGAGCTGAGAGCCGCATAAGTAGCCACAAAGGCTGTTCCTCTAGAGATTCTAGATGGCCGAATGTGGGAAGTTCCAAGCATGGCCCACCAATGCCAACCTCCCCCTAGGTATTGATGAGATGAGGTGAGGAGGGACAAAGCACAATGTGGGGAAAGGGGAGGGAGAGGAGGCGAAAGGAAACATCAGGCAAGTGCATCGCATCGCATCGCATCACAGCCACTTCAATTACGTCCTTAGCTAGATATATGTGGCATCAAAGAAACCCGCCGTTTCAAAATCGTTTCCAAGAATCTCAGTAATCTGCACTGGCGCGCTCAGCTTCTTTGAGAAACTCGCCCGTGTTCCTGCGGCGCCAGCTCCGGTGTTGCCGTACTCGCCGTACAGGACGCAACATGTCTGGGGACTAGAGCTGCTCCATTCCTTCCACCCCGCGCTGTTGATTACGGAGGACATGCTCGTGTGTTGGAACACAACTCGTGCATGATCTCTCCATGGCCGTCCGAGATAATATGCCCCATTGGCGACCTTGTGTCCCGATGCCGCAGCAATGCTCGAGTTGTTGAAGACATAGAAGGAGACATTGGAATCAGAGTCTCTGCCATTCGCTACAGCCGGAGGCGAGGTTAGAATCAAGACCCAAAAAGAGAAAAAGAAGAAAAAGCAAATGTAGGTGGGCACTGAGCAAAGCAGCCAAGTAAAGCGTGGAGACCCGCGAAAGGGCTTGGGAAGGGGGCCGGGCTTCTCGCCTCCTTACCAGTAATATATCCGATCGAGTTCTCCACGACCCTGATGTCGCACTTCTCAAACCAAGACCTAGCCCTCTGCCCGAACACAAAGTCTGTTGCGCCCTGAATCAGGCTCTTGGAGTACAGCTGCTTTCCCTCGTTGCTGAGTAGCGTGTCCTGGAACCCTTTCATGGCACATCCATAATACCCGCTGTCCGCATACGCGCTCACCGCCACAGCCTGGCTGCCCTTGCCGTAGCTATTCTCGACGTCTACGTTGTAGAGCCGGAAGCCGGCGGCCTTCACCCGGAGCGTCGCAGTCCCGTCGTTGTTGCCGCCCGTGCTCGCCTGACTGGCGCTGTGGATTAACTTCACCTTGTTCGACCCGTACGAGGTGTCATCCTCCGTATATCCGTAGATGCTCAGCCGCGCCTTCCGTGCCGTCACCAGCACTTGTTCCATATACGTTCCCGGTCGAATGAAGATGCACTGCGCCGCCGTGGCCGATGTAGACAGGGCGTTCACGGCCGCCTGGACTGTCGCGTATGTACCAGAACCGCCCTCCTTGCTAACAACGAGGCAGCCCGATGGCGGCGAAGTGCGCGCTGCAGCAAGCGCGCTGGCTGCGAGGCATGCGAAAGCCAGGAGTCTCATATCTGCGTCCTTTGTTGGTAAGCAGCTGATCTCAGTTTTCTGTTTGTCTTGTTCCCAGCAAAGGCCCGCAGCGTGATGAAACTGTGGTTGCGCGCAGGCTTTGAAACTCAAGCTCAACGCGAAAGAGATCCCCTGCTTTTGTATTCCGCGCGTTGTCTACCTCGGCCTTCGCCTCTCTTCTTTTCTTCGCCGTTTCTCAACCCAAAAAGAGCGACTTTCATCGAAGCTGAACTCCCTTCCCCACTTCCCCGGGTTCCAGGATGAGGAGGCCGATTCGATTTCTTCCCGGAGGCATATCTGCAGGCTATTCCGCCCTCTCTTTCGTCAAAATTTCAGTGCAACTGGGCCCCTCCCGGCAGCGTGCTTGAGAGGGATCCGCCCCAATCAATATAATTATTGATTATCTTCCGCTTCGTTTCCTCGCTGCTGTGGGTAAATACGGGAAAATTCCATCAATAGAATCGGCCCTCGGGCATCGGATGAAACACACCCTTCCTCGGGCTTTTGCCCTTTATTAGCTAACGAGGCGAGCTCCTCAGTTTTTATTTATTTATCGCCTCGGCCCTGCTTGACGGCCTCTCCATCACCGTCAATCAAAAGAACGCATTCTGAACACACACGAATGAAGACATCTCCAAGGGGAGAAACGGGCCTATCCATGCTGGGACTCGTGGAATCCCGGGTCGAATGGGTTTACACTACAGAGATCACACTTCCTACTCGGGTGCGTATAGCGCATAGTACTCTCTCAAGTACGACGTTGGGTAGAATGTACAAAGAAGTGTATTGTTTCACGTTGTGAATACTATAAATACAAGAGAAGGTAAACAGAAGATTTCTTCTTCCTAAACATCATTGGTTGTCAGGTTGAGAGAAGGAGTGCTCTACATCAAGAAAAGCAACTCCGGGATGCAAGTCACCCCATATTGATCAAGCCTGCCGTCCAGCTCCGTGGTCCTCACAGCAGCCCATCCAATGGCTGGCTGGCTGCTCTTTCACGAATGCTGCCTATTTAGTGGTGGGATCGGCGGCGGCGACGGCGGCTGCAAGGCCTGCGGGTAGGCGTGGCCGGGGCAGGGCCTCCGTCTCGGCAGGGACCTCGACGGGCTCCTCGGCGGGCTCCTCGGCGTTGTTTCCGGGGACAGGAATGGTGGGGGTGGCAGTAGCCGAAGGAGCAGGCTCGGTGGGAGTGGAGCCGTTGTCGCTGCCGCTGTCGCTGCCATCGTCGCTACCGTTATCGCCATTTCCGGAGTCGTCTCCGCCGGAGCCGGAGCCGGGAGCGGGAGCACCGGAGCCCTGGTCGAGGATGGGAGAAACACCCTGGATCATAGCTGGGCCGGGAATGGGGTAGCTGTCGAAAGGCTGGTAGATGTTGAAGTCCTCATAGTCGGTATACAAGGAGCTAGCGACAACACCCTCGGGGTCGTGCTGCCGTTACCCTCAATCACGAGGTTGATGCACTGGGGGTAGTGCTGGGGCTCGCCAAGAGAGTGAAGGGCGATGATCTCGTGGCGGAGGACATACTCTCCAGGGGTGACGAAGTCGGGAATCTGAACCTGCCACTTGACACCGTTGTTGAGCAACAGGTCAGCACCCCAGACACCGTTGTCGCCAGTGCCAGGAGTGACATTGCCGACTTCGGAGATCTTGAACCAGCTAAGCTCGGCCTTGTCGGCCGAAGAGCAGCCGGCCGAACCACAGGCCGCGAGGTAGTCAAGACGGGACCGTGGTGGGAAACCGGCCAAGTGTCCCAGGCGAGAGTGAGGACATCACCGGCCTGAACGGTGACGGAGAGGGCAGCGGGAGTGGCACCGCGGTGGCAGGCCATCTCGGCATTGGCGTGGCTCTCCTTGGAGATGAAGCCGTTGTCCTGGACGGTAGTGGTCCAACCAACGACGTCGGGGAAGTTGTTACCATAACCCATTCCGGAGGAAGGGTCCCAACCCTGGTGCTCGACGCCATCGGAGGTGATGACGTGAGTGACGTGGCCGTGAGCGGCGACGGTGGCGGCGCTCAGGAGAGCAGCGGCAGCAGCGGTGATGCTAAGAGAAGGCATTTTGTCTGTTGGTAAAGATGGAAGATGGGGGTTCTGTTCCGTAGGGTAAGTTGAGTGTCAGATCAAGGTCGGGGTAAGCCTTCCAGTAAAAAAGATTGTGCAGTGGTGTTTTTTGGAGTTTTTTTGGTGTAAGCCGTCTGGCGGGTGAAGTTGTCCGATTGCAACGAGTGGAAGATGACGCTCAGTCAATGAGTAAAAAGAATGTAAGTTGGAATGAAAGAATGGAAATGCTTTCTGAGAAGCTTGGAAGAAAGGAGTGAATTCGCTTTGATCTGAGTGCTACGGTTGAGCCTGGAAGAGAAAAAGAGAAGAAAGAAGCTCCCCAAAGAAGAGGAGATCTCGCATCGTTTATACTCCTCCTCGACGCCCACCGCCACGGCGGTTCAAGATGGAAAAACCCAAGATGGCATCACCACGAGTGCTTGGCAAGGAGCAGGATCGCACCTGAGTGGGGTCATCTCATCTTCCTTTGCCCTGGGCGCAGAGATAGCCCAGCTCCTCTCATCGCCAACGGCCGTGCCATGGATTCCAGATCATCGGAAGCGCCCAGCTCCCCTGGTCCCTGCTCCTTGGGTGCCTGCCCCTCTTTCCACCCCCTGCACCCAGGCAAACGCTGATGGGTTGTTGCTTGGTCCAACTGCATCGCGAAGATTGGTGAAGTGGGAATCGTGGGAAGGGGGCAGGGGGCGGGGAAGTCTTTTGCTGTGGGGAACTGCGTCTATGCTGAAACAGACAGGGGAGAGAGATTTGGTCTTCACAGGTTGTGATCTTGAAGTTGGAGAAAGAAGAGGGGCAACTTCCGCAGGCATGTGGAATTCTTTCCATTCTTTGCCACAAACCACCAAGAAAATCAATCTTAAAAGTCCACCAGGATGAGTTGCTACCACTCCGGCGACACAGCGGATCCGCCGCAAGAATCCTCTTCCAGTCCTATTATCCATTTGCTATGCTGTGTTGATAACCGGGTATTGCATGTCAGGAGAGGACGTAGACGGGGAAATAACTAGACAATTAACATTCTGCATGAAGAGATGGCAACACAGCCCTCCTCTCCCACCCATCAAAAGAGGGCAATGGTCCTAGGAGGGAGGAGGGGGACAAGGGTCATTCAAGCAACAGGGATGGGATGTGCCAACAGATCGACTGAGGAGGTCGATCAACTATTATGCCAGGGAAGGGAGTCGGGACTTGCAACGGCCAAAAGTAGCTTGAGAGCGGACCACGAAGATCGTCTCTAGCATTTGTGCTATCACGATTCAAGCCATTGCGACTGCACTCTGATGGTTTCTTCTTCCTTGTAATACTTAACCATGTGGGAATAGAGGCCGACTAGGCCCTGTGTTTTGTTTTGTTTTTTTCTTGTTTTTTTCTTGTTTTTTTCTTGTTTTTTTCTTGTTTTTTTCTTGGTTTTTTTTTTTTTTTTTTTCCTTTGGCTTGGCGTTGGTTCCCATTCCCAATTTCCTTACCCCTATAGTCTTAAACTGTATATTTGAGGAGTGCACCACGCAGCCTACTCACCATCCTTCTGATACCCAAGACTTTTCTAGCGCCTCAGTCTTCAGTCGGGGTGGAAGTGGGATCAGTGATGAAGGGGTTGCGCTAAGCATGGATTACGATTCGGAATGTGCCGTGAGTTCTTGAACAAAAGAAGGAAGCATGGATGTTACACCACAGCCGCATCAGTGTCCAATGGGAGGTGGGGTTCTGGAACGAAATGAGAAGGGCAACTTGAGCCCGCAGGAGAGTGGGGGAGTGAAGGATTCAAAGTCGGCTCTGTGGGCCTTGGTCAGCGGTTGCTGACACTGATGCCATAATCTTGGGCATTTTTTTGTTTGGAGACAGGATCAAATGATGGTCTTGCCAAGAATATTGAGGAGGAGCCCGTACGGCCAGGCGAACGAGCCCCTAATACAAAATTCTGCAGAGAAAGGATCATCAACTGATGAGAGCGGATGGAGGATGGAGAAGGTTTAAGATGGAAAGGCCATCCGTGAATCAACCTTGACGCTCTACTGTTCTGCCATTCTGCCATCCCATCGATTCGGCATAATGGATCCACACAGCTGATGTTGAGGGGGTCGGAAGGGATAGATGGATCGTTCATCTCCATTCCTTGGCCGAACATCTCAGATCTTTTAACCGAGCGGGAACTTTTTCAAGGAGCGGACGGCCTGGGCCAAGGGAGAGCCTTTGAAGATTGTTGGTTGCTCAGATCCGTCCCGAGTCTGGATCTCGAGATGGAGGTCGGTGCTGCTGATGTGTTCTACTTCGTATGTTCGGTAGCCCTTCTCGCCTGGTCCCTTGCATTAAATGTATGTGATGTTGGCATTGAAGTTCTCCTTCAGCTTTTAACTCGTGCATTGCCAGTTGCCGTCATGCAGTAGTGGGCGGGCGGGGATGACGCAAAACGAAAGCCGTTATGCGGGTGCACGGCACTGAAAGGTCGCACCTGGTTTGCCTCAATGGCTGGCCATATCTCGGGGTGTCGGACAGGATCTGCTCACTGCTTGGATGCATTGACAGGTGGACGAGATCGACGTGATCACTCAATCAATCGATGCCTAAGCTCGAATAGTTCATCTTTCCCCGCAATTCACTCTTTATCGTTGTTGAGTGCATCCTTTATTCCCGAGCGTTCGGGGAGAAAGAGAGGGAAAAAAGAAAGAAAGAAAACGGAAATGGGAACCAATTCCCGAGATCAGTGTTTTCCACTGGTATTCTGGGTGCGACGGTGTGATTGCAGACGGATAGGGCTACCCAATGCACCAAGCACGCACGCTCACACCATCATCCATATCGTCCATAACTTCATTGGCATTTGATCGATCGGTAGATGGCGGCCTATGCTGGACCGGAGACACTTCAGTTGGCGTTCCAGTCCTTCGTCTCTCCATATCAATTGGCTCGCGTGCATATTGCTAGAGGAGGATGGGCATCAAAGTGGGGGTTCTTGGTTCTTGGAAGCTGCCATGGAAGGTTCTATTCTATCAGGCCTTTGCCAAGTCGTGGCTGCCCCTCTAAGACACGGTGGGTTCCGTGCTCGAGCTTGGGTTGAACTATGCCAAAGCAGGTGTAGTAGACACGAGGGTTTTTCTTTTGAAGACATTGTTGACTAGCATCAGCTCGAGGTGTCGCGCTTGAGGGGTAAACTGAAGGAAAAAAGGAAGGGGGCAAACAGGGCCACAGCAAGGAGAGTATGTGACTATGAGTGATAACCGAGCCGCACCCTTTCTGTTCCTTCTTCTTTCATCCTTGCCGCTAGATATCTGGAGCTGGAACGGGGCGGGTTGGGCAAAGGCTTCGAGGGGAGGAAAAGAAACATTCAGCACCGAATGCCCTGTACCATATCTGGGAAGAGGTCCGCCCGCTCCCGCTCGTCCTCCTTACGTTCCTCTCTTATTATGATTTGGACGAGGGGATGATTGATAGCATATCCTTTGATACTTTCATTTCCTCAAAAGGGTGGGCAGAAACAGCCTCTATCTCTTTTAGGGGTTAGCGAAGGAGGGGATGAGGTTCACGGTACTTTTGGGGTTGGGCGGGAGCTATCCTGGCAACTGGATGGGTGGGATACGATGGTGTATGTGTATACCAGGGGAGGCCGCAAGGAGCAGCCGAGGGCTGATTATGTCGATTGGAGTGTTATGCTGGTGATACATCTACTTGTACATGGATCAAATGGATCTATGGATCCATTGGTGATGGCCTTGCCGGGGCAATCATTTCTTACTCTGGAAGCGATCAATCGAGTACCACAAGTGCAGAAAACGGACGCTTGTCCCTTGGTCCCTCCTCCCCCTCCAATGAAAGAGGGAGTGAGCAAACAATAATAATACCCAACTCCAGATTGGAGTACGTTTAGTTCACGGGTCTGCGATGAGGAATGTGACGAATTTCCGAGGTACGGGGTACTTTAGACCAGAACCGCTGACGGCCGTAGTCGCCATCACGGAGCGGAGTGTACTTTGTAACTTGTAAAACACCAGACCTGTCATACTTGTACTTCAATGTTGTCGTGTGGCAAGTATGGATCACTTGTATGTACATTATATTGTGGGCTTGTGGGCATCAAAATCAACGGCGTCAAGGGCGTCCCCCACACCCAGACTTGCTAGACCCAGTTTCTGGACTGCAGCCAAGGAGATTGAGTTCAATCAACCAAGTATTTTAGTGTGTTATCATCCATGTTGCATCAATCATCCAACTGCCCTTCGGGCCTGGTCGCTCAGGGGTTTTCCTTCCCGTTCAGCGCTAGTCCAATTACAGCGGCCAGCGTCCTGTGTCATGTAAATTAGGCAGCGGTGTGAAACAGTAGCCAAGGTTGCATTCGATGCTCCCTCCCATCTCGACCGAGTCTTCAATCTTCCCTTTTGATTCTCCTTTCCCTTTGTGCGACTCGACATCATACTTGTACAGTTGGCGCAACCTGGTGCGCTGAAAAGGGCCGGCCAGAAGGGTAATATCCACTCCGTCGCTGCATTCGCTGATGTCCCATGTCCCGGCTACCGAAGATTCCCACTTGTTCTAAAAATGTATGCAATTAAAAACCTAAGAATAGGTAGATCAGATCACCCAGTGCGGTGCACAGATGGTAGATTAGTCTTGTTTGGCCCAGTTCTGTCGTGTCATCGGCAATGACAATGCAATGACCCCTCGTCAGCCATAGTATTAAAGTGATGATGGTGAGCACCAGTTTCAATGTTTCTTTTCCAAATATTTGCCGGTATATCGCTGCCCAACAATCGGGGACCGTTTCCCACGTCACTTCCCAAAAATAAAAATAAAATAAAATAAAATAAAAAATAAAAATCACTAGAGAGGGAAGGACCATCTCGAGCGAGGTGTCATGAGGACGGTTCAAGTCCGAGGCATCACGCCCCTGTCTCTGATGTCTCCTGCGACAGCCCCCGAGGGTTTGCTTTTCGCCATTGTGTGGCCACATCCCACCTCCGTCACGTTTGTCTCCTTGACAGCTCGAGGCCGTCCCGCTTTGCGGCGCCACGAGAAAGGGCTAGTATGATTAGCGTCGATGGGGGCCTAGCTGGGAGACCTCTCATTGATCAAGACGGAGAGCGAAACCAAGACGGGAAGGGAGAGAGAAAAAAACAGAAGGCGAAAAAGCCCAACAGGTGACAGTTCCGTCCATCGTACGTGTACTCGCAGCACGCGCTCCTTTGTTGGACTACCAGTGCCGATGCAGGGTGTTGTTCGTACAGGTAGACCGTACTCTACTCCTCTACTCTTTGATGGCGGCAGGGAAGGGAAGGGTACACGTACTTGTAATATAATTTGATCAATATACTTCAATCCATCTTTGTCACAGTCGAGTAATACAGCTGTGTTCCAGGAGTGGTGGTACTGCAATTCCAGGTGTGACGGAAGCCCTTACTGTATCTGGAAATCTCGAAGCCAAGCCTCGCCAGTCCAGTCGTTACCGAGTATTGTTGTTCTCGACAGCCAGAGGTTGACCAAGGGAAAAGGGGGTGACGGAGGAGGGAGGGATGGGGAGGGGAGGGGCGTGTGGATGAGGATCGATGAGATCAATGAACCGTGAGGGTGAACATTGAAGAGGATCTAATGTAGTGATGGATGTAGTGTACACTACACCCACAGCCCAGCCCAGCCCGTCCAACAGAGCAAGTGGACGCATTTGCTCCATCCATTGATACATCCATTGATCCAGAGATACATGTCCTGGCTTTTCATGGGATGGGAGGGATGGTATCCCCTTTCCATCCGTATTATTCGATGGCCTGGCCACACCACGCACACGCTTGATTGATCCATCTCCCCTCAATCCCATTCAACGGTTGCATGTGCTGTCAAGAACAGTACAGTGGGTAAGTCACCCCTGAAATCTAATCAAACGGAAAACATCACCCATCATCTCCAAACCCCTCCTCCTTCCTCAGCCTAATCCTTCCTCTTCTCTCGATGCGAGAGAGACTTTTTCCTCACTTTCACTTACTTCACCAACATCCTCGACTTCTTTCTGTGCCGAACCAACCGCCCAGTAACTGCCCTATTTTTTTTTCGCACCTGCGTTTCCTTGTTGTTTTATTGTTTCCTGTCTATTGTCCTCTCGTGCCCTCGTCTCGAACGTCCTTTTGACATCAAAAGCTCCGGAGCTTGGGAGAAATTTGGGCCAAAGTACGGAGACCAACAAAAGGAGAAAGACGGGAAGAAAAGGAAGTAGGAAAAGAAGAGGAAGAAAAAAGAGAAGAAAAAAGAAGGTCAAGTTCAAGACAGACTTTCGGCGCTCGTGCCCTGGCTTCCCCATCTCTCTCGTTCTGTCTTCTTCTCCATCTTCATTTTATACCTCGCCTTCTTCAAGGGAGGGTTTGGGATACCATCTTGGATCGACACGTCCGCGACGAACGTGTAAAGCTGCTGCTGGAGAGCACCCAAGAACGTCCAGCTCTCGAAGCCCTTGGTCTGATCACAAGTCTCCTGGGCCCCATCAACCATCTTAACGTCCCCCCGCCTGCGCCCCTCTTCTCCACTCTAATAGACGGAGCCAAGGAGAGAGACTGAAGATAGAGAGTACACACTTGGAACACAACGGTGGACATTTGAAAGCAACCTCGGCGATAGCAACGTCGCCATCTGGCAACACTGGAGCAGCCTGTGCGCTACAAACTCGAGCGGAGCCCGTTGACCAGCTTTATACTCGCAACGCAGCCGTCTATTTTGGATCGTCCTCTGCGAGACTCTAGTCGAGATCGCGTGGCTCATCCCCGCCCATCCGCCCATCCGCCCATCCTCGGACACAACTAAGGTTGACAGTCTTCTCTACAACATGTCGTCGAATCTAAGTCCGGGCGCGACGAGACGTGTCACGATTGACAGCTTGCTGCTTCAGTTCCTCGACGCACATGTGATAAATCCCCACGCTGCTGTTAGTTACTACACTAACCCAAACAACATTCCCAAACCCCATAATCCTCCCAACTCCTATCCCCATTATGGTTCCGCCAGCACCGACAGCTCCTCGGGCCTTCTACCGGCCGTCCGGCCTCCCCTCGCAACCGCGGACGTGAATAGGCCAGTCATTACACCTTCGGTAAGTGCACCTGGGCGTCTTGCTCGTTATCTTGGCTGCTGTTTTAGTGCCGCAAAGGCTTGATTCCTTCCCTCCGTCCCTCCCCCAAGGCGTGCCTGTGCTACGATGACTTTCTGAGTCCTTGCCGTCTCAATGCCGTCTCGTCAGCCGTTTGTTCCTTCGTAGTCTTGTCCTTTGCTTCTTCGCCCTGGTTGTCTTTATCCTCCCTCCACTCGTCCTCGCGCCCCCTTTCTCTCCTGTTCCTCGTGCTCTAGCCTATGGCATGCATAGTTCCCAAGTCTTAACTCTTCCACCCTTGTTGGTCATCGGTGTTTAGGCTTCGACAGCCCCCGCGAGTGAGCGAAAACGCAAAGGCGGGCCATCTACCCCGGAGGAATCGGAGGCCGCGTCGAAAAAGGCTCGGAAGTCGGCTTTCTCAGCAACGGGACCCTTTTACCTCGATGTCTCGTCGGTGAGCTTACAGGGCGAGGCGTCACATTCGGTGCCCGTATACGACATGTGCGACACGGTACGCCGCCGGATTCGGGCGGCCCTCCGACGGGATGGAGTAACGCAGGCAGCGTTTTTACGAGCGATCGCCGCAACATATAGCGACGGACGCAAGATTCAAAATAAGCAACTCAACGACTTCCTTTCGAAAAAGGCCCGTTGTCGGGGAATAGAAGCTGCATTTACTACGCTGCCTACGTATTCTTCGAAAAGGTGCGCATCCGAGACAACAAAGAGAAGGACAAGGACCGGCTCGCGGTTGAGAAGCAGTGGCCCGGTGGTGTGGACACGGTCAGGGACTGCACGTATGTGTGGTCTCGTGCAGATGCAGTGCATATCGGCAAGTACGGCGGTGTCCACAGCGTGCATTACGGGAGGGTGACCTTGACCGTGACCGGCCCTCGGGCTCGACAGCCAGCGACCCGACTCTGGTCCAAGATCAATCTTTTTTCTTTTATTTCACGACCTTACCAGTTCGAGTCCTTCCGTCGTCCAAAGCCCCACCGAATGTCCTGGCGGCAGTGAGGATCTGGGAAGGGGCAGAAGGGAAAAGCGACAAAAAAGAAATCCGAATTCGACAAGCCGGCCTATTGCGAAAACAGGACCCTGGGGGTTCATGGAGTATTAGATGAATCCTCTGGAGGATACGATATGGCAGGTCTAAAGAGAACTTGGAGCAGCCACTTGGCCACACACTCTGTTTTTGGGCCTTTTTCCCTCCCTTTCCCCTGCTTCTTCTTTTTCTTCTTCTTCTTTGGTCTCCCATGCCCCCCTTTTTCAACAGATCTATTTCTTTTTTTTTTTTTTTCCTTTTGGTTTATTAGTTTGAGCGAAAACGTTTGGCATATACACATGATGGGAGCCGCAAGGCCGGGGAGAGTACTTTTCTATGGGAGGTGGCAAGAAAAGATGAACGTCCAAAAAACATATAAAGAACATATTTGATGATGACAGGCCCATGGCTACTTGGAAACGTTTTTGAAAGTTCTAGTCGAGAGAGAGAAAAAAAAAAAAGAAGCCCCAAGCTCCGTTTCCTTTCTTCCACGTTCGATGGTGTGACCTATTTAGTTTCCTTTCCTCCCAGTTGACCCTTCTTTGGAATGTCGGAATAGTCCGGCTAGCCCGATTTCTAAGTTTTTCCCTCCTTGTGATCACTTTCCGCTTTGGGCCCCAACATCACGAGATTGGTTTGCCACCGAGCCCGGGGCGGATGACCTGGGGGATCGAAGCCGTACATCTATGGATGTAGTAGGGAATTGATCCAAATGATTTACACTAGGGTCCATACATGTATGAAGGGGAGCCCAGCATCGTACAGACAATACATACTGCATACAACCTTTGAATCTTGAATCATCTCTCACCCCCGTCTTTGATTTCTTCCTCAATTTTGTTGACAAATGGTAATCTGAATTCCAGCCCGAAAAGGAACCTCCAAACATTCAAATTCCAATTCAAATTGTCCCTTGCCCAGGCGAATCGGCTTGCACTCAACTAGACAGCAAGGGTTGTCGAATAGGAGGTCATAGCTCCAACAAGACCCCCGGAAATCGAAATGACGATGTCCACTTTCATTTGACACGGCTTGCGATTCAACAATCTCCTCCATCTTTTTTTCGGTTTGCCAAGGCAGCCAGGGGGCGAAAAGAACAAAGCAGAAAAAAAAACACATTCAGTATTCATCATTTCTCCTTTCTTTTTCACTTTGCTCGTCTCGGGATCTTTCCAACCTCTGCTGGTTTGTTTTTGAGACCAGGTTGAGTGAACTAGCTGTAAGAAGGGATCTAGAGTCGTAGCACCGGAGTGTTTAGCTTCACGACACCACTCCCCAGCGCAGCAAGACAGTAGTACAACGGCGAATTTTTCCTGCATTGTTGCTGCGTCTCCACGCTTGTACACTACATACGTACCTATACTCTCCCAGGGCCGCCTTGAAGAACATCCACCAGCTCCAAAGCCCCCTTCCTCACGCTTCTCGCACACCCCGCGGAGTTGAGACCATCCGCTTTTCTCTCCCCCAACAAGCACCATCGGAAAGGATGACCAACTCCACCCATCTTACGGCTCCTCAGCCGGATCCCCGGCTCTCCACATGCTCAACCCCCAAGGCGTCGACAGACGTCTACTACGTTGGCCCTAGACCTAACACCGGGGCCGAAGAAGCCGACGCCGGCAAACCCCACCATGGCCCCGATCCTTCCGCCGATATGGAGGCCGGCGTCGGAGCCGGGAACCAGCCCGGCCGTGACGCCGGCTCGCGATTACAGCCGACGACACGGGTTAGCGCCGGACAGCTGTTTTACCTGCTCGGGTTCAACGGCATCGGTTCTTTTATTGTATCCGGAGGTGTAAATTTTGGCATTGCTTGTGGTAAGTGCTTTCGTTCTTTCTTTTTTTCTCTTGTTCCTTTTTCTCTACGCGCATTCCAGCAGCATGCGACATCTTACACCTTCATCATCTACTCGCCTTGATTTGTCTTGTAGTCTCTTTCCTTCTCAACTAACACTTTTGTTTCTTTTTAGCAATGTACCTGACGACTTCCGACCCCATCACTTTGTTTAGCTTCCCAAACACCTTGGCAGGTGACGCCGCCCTCACCCTCGTCATCCAACCCATCGTGACCTGGTTCATCGAATCCCTCATGGTCAACATTGACCTCCGCAACTCCAAAGTCACTCCGCTTGCCCTCCCTCTGGCCCCCTCATCCCGCCTCCGCGTCTTTTTCGGTCTACCCCTGACGGAGCATCAGCCCGTTCCCCGGCGCGTTAGCTTCATCTCTCAGCTCCTCCGCATCTTCTTCCTCTTCATCCTGCCCTCCTTTATTCTGTTCTGGCCCATCTCCATCGGCATCCTAACTGCGATAGGCGATCGCCAGGGTAAAGATTGGGTGTTTGAGGGCAAGTGGGCCCCAATGATCTTCAAGCTGGTACTTGGAGCGCTGCAAGGAATGATTGTTACTCCCATCATGGCTGCATTTTGGGTTGTTAGAGAGGGCCACATGGTTCTTGAGGGAGAGGCGGAAGAGTAAACCAATAGGTGGATCACAGGAAACAGTCAATTTTCTTTGGCTGTGCAGACTCACCTTTGGTTGCATTACGACTAGGCTCCTATTCTGGCAAAGGGAGATTTTGGATTTGAGCGTCACGACGGCATTGCATTTGCACGTAAACTTTGCATCAACATACCCAACAGTCCTCTTCGGAACAATTTCTGAAGAAAGATTCCATATAATATAATATATAATGTGCTACGAGATCGATTGTTTTTTCTTCTGCCAAATAATGAAGGCTATGACCGTGAGAGACCTACATGTAGTCATCTAAGATCCTCGCTTGCTGTCATGTTCGAGCGTAACTATGCGTTGGATGATGGCTTCGACCCTTCGTGCCAGATAATCTTACCAACGACTTTTGTAGAGGTTTCGTCGACGAAGCACAGATAGGGAACGAATGAAGATTACAAGTATTGGGAGAGAGATGAATGATGAATTTGTACGGTAAAATATGAGAAAGAATATGCAAGATGCAACATTGGACAGTTTTGCGCCCTTTCAGAAAAATAAATATCTACAGAAGAATAGAGCTATGTACCTGATGATGAGAAGGAAGTGGCACCAGGACAATCAGATGTCCTCCCCGAAAGCGGCGTTCCAACGGTTCCGACGGTTCCGACCATTGCTTACAAGCACTGCATGGGGGAGTCAAGGTTAGCGGCACGATCTCGCGAGCTAGGCAATGGATCCATCATAAATCACGTACCTGGGAGTAGTAGTCGTTGACCTTCTGGCAGGTATAAGGGGCCGCGCACTGGTGGCTCCCGTTCCAGGTGAGGCCGGCGCACTGGGCATACCGAGCCTGCTCGCCGACGGGAGCGAGGGCCAAGATCTTGTCGGCGGCGTGCTCGGACGCGATGACGATGGAGGCGGACGGGTTGGCGGTGACCATGCCAGGAAGATGGAGCCGTCCACGACGAAGAGGTTGTCCGTGCCCCAGACGCGGGTGTTAGTGTCGATGACGGCGGAGCCGTTGCTACGGCCGTCGTCGGTGCCGAGCTTGCAGCTGCCGATCCAGTGGTTGGCGCGCCTGTTGGAGGTCGAGACGACCATCTGCGTCGCGTTAGAAAAAGGAAAACAAGAAACAAAAACAAAAAAGAATAGTGCAGATGCATGACAAGGGACAGGGACAGGCGCTTACATCGGTGACGTATTTGCGTGCAGTCACGCCGGGAGGGGGTAGGTCCAAGTCAGGTTGGCCACGTTGGCGAGGGCAGCCTGGAGGTTCTCGATGCCCTTGATCACGGCCTCGACGTCGTTGGAGTCTTGGAGGTAGGGCACGGTGGTGACGGCCGTGTTGAGGTTGCGAGCAATGGTCATGCGGCCTCGGGACTTGGCGCCGCGGCCGAGGTACTGGCTCATCGTGATGGCCTCTGTGCGCGGGGAGAAAAAGAAAAAGAAAACTTAGCGGCTGCGTTGGACGAGCGTGGTTTTGGGGGTTTAGTGGGATCTGCTACTTACTGCCGTTGGGGGTCTCGAAAGTACCCTCGACGCGCGCGGTCCATTGGAGCTGGCGCGTGATGCCGTCGTTGCCACGGATCTGGTCGAAGAAGCTGTTCGAGTCTTGGTTAGGATGGGTTTAGAGGCAATGATTTACTATTGATGGGTACTTACACAGGGCCAATGTTAGGCGCGGCCTGGGCGAGGATACCAGTTCGCTTGTCTGCAAGAAAAATGAATATTAGTGGCGCGTCCAACTGACGAGGAGTTGGCCGGGATTTTGTGAACATACTCAAGTACGAATCCTTGTCGGCAACAATGGGCGCGTCCCAAGCCTCGTAGAAGTCGTAGAACTCTACGCTAGGGTGGGTGATGACAGTGTCGGTCTGGCGATTGTTAGAAGAGGGCTCAGTGATTCGATTTGCAAGGGCTATTGAAACATTGATATGTGTACGAAAAGAACTTACGTTGGTGTGATCCTCCAAGTTGTAGCCGACAGGGAGCTTGATCCATTGGTCCTCGGCGACCATGGTCGGTCCATCGGCAGAGGTCTTGACAACCTCAAGCTGGTCGAGAGGACCGATGCCACCTGAGAGACGTTAATATACACGGCTTTTTCTAAAGTACATTCATAAGGAAACGGGTGGTTTACTCACTTCGCATCAGGATCTTGGCGCTTCCAAAGGTACCGGCGGAAAGGATGACTCGGCCAGTAACCGGAGTCAAGGAAACCTTGCCAACATAACCGCCGTTGAGGAAGGGCTCCACCTCAAGAGCGGTGACGTGGCCACCGGTTCGGACAACGCGGGTGACGGCGGTGCCGGTCCAAAGCTTAAAGTTGCTGCGCTGGCTCGCGGAGACGAGATAGGTGGCAAGAGGGCCTCCACGTTCGCCGTTAGAGTACATGTAGGGAGTGTGGGTAAACGTCCTGTTCTTCTTGTCGGGCTCGGCGTTGGCGGACACCTCGGTCCACCCGGACTTGCGGAGGCCGGAAGCGACGACCTCGAAGCCTTGCTGAAGGTACAGTTTCCCATCCATGGAAGGGGTCGTGGTGCCGGGAATCTTGGAGAAGACGCGGTTGGTAGCAGCAGACACGTCCGTGGATTTCCAGCCGGTGGGGAAGTTGTAGTCCCAATCCTGGGAATGGGGCTTCCACCAGAGACCGGCGTTGACGGCCGTTCCTCCGCCGAGGACGCAGCCCGCCATCTGGTCCATGTCGTTGCAGGCGATGCCGGCAGAGTCGTGCCAGATCTGGTTGCAGAGACCGGGCACGTCGAACCGGGTGAGGCTCGTTCCCTCGAGCCAATCGGGCTTCATGGTGCCGCCCCATCGGCCGGTGGAAGGGGACCCTTTTCGATGAGAAGGACCTTCTTTCCCGCGGCGCTGAGCCGATCGGCGAGGGGAGACCGCCGGCGCCGCCACCGACGATGACGTAGTCGTACGAGGTGCCCGTGGGAACGGGAACGCCGGTCTTGCTGGGCACGCTGGTGGCGGTGGAGGAAGGGACGGAATCGGTGTTGGTGGGGTACCGCCATCGCCGCAGTCTCCCGTCACGGTCTTGGTGGCGAGGGCGGCCCAGGCCGAGTAGGACGGGTTCGCGATGGCGCTATCGGGGATGGCGGGGAAGATGTTTTGGGTGTCGTGCTGCTCGATGCCGATCTTGCTGGGGCAGGACGGGTTGGTGGGGGACTTGTAGGCCTGGGCCCAGCCGAGGAGCATGAAGCCGCTGCTGGTGCTGATGCCGCCGGTCTCGCCGTCCTGGTCCCAGGACAGGCAGTTTTCGCAGCGGAAGATGACGGAGTAGTTGGTGGCGTTGACGCTGGAGGAGATTTGGGTGAGCTTGGCGTTGCCGGTGTAGGATCCGGGGTGTCGAAGCCGCTGGCCCACAAGAAGCGGGTGAGGACCTCGTTGCCGGAGGGCCAGGCCATGAGCAGGAGTTTGGAGGGCATGGTGCCTCCGAGGGAGATGCCGCACCAGCCGGTTCCTACGCCATTTGAGGACGAGCAGGTCTATTGTACGCATTGGTTAGATCTCAACGAGACAAAAAGGAAGAAGAAGAAGAAGAAGAAGAAGAAGATGACGACGACGATAAAGCCTGGCCCTAGTGTCGGGAAGGTGTAGGGAGACGTCAACTTGGGGCTGGTTAGACAAGAATACGTACAAGTATGCCAATGAACTCCTTGGCATCTGTGGTGAGGGCGTTAGAGGGCAAAGCCATTCCGATGGTCATTCCTCCCTTGGTTTGAGTCGTCGTCGCCGACCAGGCATCGAACACGATGCCGGTTCCCGGGTCGGTAATGACCGTGGCCAAGGGGCCTTGTCCGTGACACTCCTGCCATACTGTATACAGCACACGCCCAAATGGTTAGTTGATGGCTTTGGATAAGACTTCTCAAGAGCGCCGTGTTTGCTTTTGCTTACATGAGGCAGCAGCGACGAGAGTCGTTACGATACGGCGAGAGAAGTGCATGGCTTTTTCCGCAAGTGACGAGCGACTTACACGACAACGAGTGAAGCAAGTCCCGGCGGTGGCCAAAAGAAGCGACGGCATTCCTCCCTATAAAGACATGTAAAGAAACGGGTCGGAGCGATGCTGTCCCGCGCAGCGCATGGCAGGCAGAGCCATAGCCATGCCATGCCCGAACGTGACGTCGAGAAACAAACCCAGAATCCCTCCCCCGTCAAAGTGCCTTGTCATGGGATAATCACAATGCTTCTGGTAGGAGGAAATACTCAGTCCAGATTCTCCACACGTAGCGCCGAGGTGGGATTGCCCCCAGCGTTGCATCGGGACGCGGGACCAAGATCCCCTAGCTAATCTTGTCAGGAACAAAACCCCTCAGAGTGCTCCCGTCCAAAAATTCCTGGCGCTGGGAGAACCACACATTGCTGTTCGTATAATACAACCTATTATCTTGACGGATACAATTGAATTGTTCCCTTCCCCTCTCCCCGCCCCGAGGGAGTATTCGTCGGGGCTACTTTGGGGGCCAGCTTCGCTTTTGGGGTGCCTAGAGACTCGTTGACGTGAATTGATGTCAAGGGATCTGATGGAGAGGCTGATGAGCAACTCCAGTGTAGGAGGCTCAAGGAGTTGTCTAATTTAGACTTGAGACGGAAGCGTGGAGATGTCTGGAAGCTCGATATTAATTTACAGAAATTGCCGTCAAGGAATACCTGGGTTTCTCTCATGCGTGGTGCCCTCTATGCAGGGCGTAAACGTCCTTGGGCCGGAATTGGCCCAATTGAAGCCAAGAAAAGGGGGCGATCATCACTCTCATCCCAAGATTGGGGGTCCACGCTCGAGAGGGGGAGAGGAGGAGAGGATGAAGTGGATGGATCAACAGATGGATCCATTTGATGGACCTTTGGTTCTTTCTTTTTTTTTTTCTCTTTGCTTGGCTCGCTGCGCTGGAACTGGAACTGGAACTGGAACTAGAACTAGTCTGGGAGCATGGATCCGTGATTTCCTGCTTCTCTTCGGGCCTTGTGCCGAAGACGCTCGGGGAAATAGATTGATATTTGTGGGGAAATTCAAGCCCTCAGGACCAAGGTTACCTCGATGACCACGCGTTCCAAGCTTTGCGACTGGCGGCTCCGGATTCCAAGCGAAATGATCCGGCCGCAAACCGCCCTAAACAAAAAGGTCTTGGCTCAAGAGAGATGTATGCCTGGCGGTGATGGATTCTCCGATGCCCTCACTTCACAGTTTGCGCCCGCGACCCCGGCGTCCACACCATCCTTGGCGGCGTGCATGGCCCCCCAACGCTGATCTCGACGCGGGAAAAGGAACAAGGAGGAAGTAAGGAGAACAAGGCGTCTGCCAAAAGGAAATCGACTAAAAGAAAGAGGGGTGGCCGGATTAATACGTTCCTTGACCACGCGGGGTGCGTCTTGTGGCGCCGGGAGGAGAGGGACAGAAGTGCCGCCACGTTTGATTTGAGGTTTATTATCACCGCAATCCCCCAGACTTCCATGGTTTTGTTCAACTTTTCCCCGCGACGAAACCCCATGACTGCCGCGGTCGTCGTTGGGGTGCCGTCGAGCTGTCAAGCCAACCCACCGTGTCCCGCCGTTGAACGTGCTTATGAATTCTTTCGTAACATTGGACGCCTGTCTGTTCTTACCCTGACCCAAGGGAAAGGACGGTCGAGGAGGTATCGCGACGATGGGATTGTGCAAACTTTGGCATCCATCCGTGGATGGATCAACGTATTAGTGAAGAGCGTGGGAGGTGCCTCAGATACATGCGGCGAGTGGGTCAAGGATCCTCATCAATTCCTCTTGTCCCCAAAATCTCACGTAGAACTTTCGAATGTTGCAGCGACCGGGGCTTGCCCCATGTCCCATGTCGTCCCCGACCTTTAGCTCAGCGGAGGCCGGCAACTTTAACCGCTTTGGCTTCTCTTGCCACTGCATCCTCCACTCGCTGGCTTGCTAATCCAATACATCGTGAGCTTATTTCCTAGCCCTTTGCGCCACGCTAGGACGGAATGGACGACAGCGAGAGAACTCGCCAATCCCCATTTTCAAGTTTTCGTTGTTATTACTCACGAGGACAAGAGAAAGAGGGGCAAAACCAAAATAGAGGAAAGGAAAGAAGGAGGAAATGAATATGATAAATGATGGGCAAAGAAATTTCCCTCACTTCCTAATTTGGTCCATCTCCCAATGAGTTTATACGATATATCAAAATATGCAGTAGCCTTTGTACATCCTTCTCGCAAAACCTCGCTCACCATGCCTCGTAGAAAGGTCTAGGGCGGAGAGCTAGTCGTCGTCGTCGTCGGAGTCCGACATCAAGCCACCAACCGCGCCCAAAAAGTCGCCCTGGCCCTCCGCCTTGAGCAGCGCCTCGATATCGACCCGCCCTCCCGTAATGTACCGTTCACTGACGCCCGTATTGACCTTTCTCGCCAGCAAGTCCCTGAGCTGAGCCTTCAACATGCCAAGCTCCGCTCTCGTCAGCTGCGCGGCTTCCCTCTCCTTTTGCTTCTTTCCGCTGCCCTTGCCCCCCAGTTCTTGACCTGCTCCAGCTCGTCGCTGTCGTACTCCACCCCCAGCTCCTCCGCTGCAGATTTCACCCAATTGTCCTCCTTCTTGTCCTTGTCCTTTGCAATGGTGGCATCCGCAATCGTCTTGGCTAACGTGAGGCGTGGCTTTAGTTTTGACACCACCCGCCTGTCGATATCAATCGTCCTGATGATGTACTTTTGGCGCACCGCCTTCTCTTGATGAACCTTGGCTACCAGTCTCCTGATGGGCGTAACCTCGTCCGGAGAACACAGTAGGATACTGACGCCCGAGTTTTCACCACGCGCAGTGCGGCCAGATCGATGGACATACGCATCCGCCGCGCGGGGTACATGGTAGTGGATCACTTGGTCGACGTTGGGAATATCGAGACCACGAGCCGCCACATCGGTGGCGAGTAAAATGGTCGCCTCTTTGGTGGTGGGGTTGGAAAACCTCTCAATCGCCCGTAAGCGAGCCTTTTGAATCATTTGGGAATGAAGAGGGTGCACTTTGAGGTTCAGGTGCTGGAGCATGGGCGCTAACCGCCGTACCGCGCCGATGGAGTTGGTGAAAACAAGCGTCCGCCGGCAGGGGTTCAGCATCAAAACTGCGTAGAGAAACAAGTCCTAAGAGGAGAGAGAGATGGTTAGCCATAGAGTCATGTAATGTATACGAGATCAAGTAAAGGGGCTCACCTTTTCGAGGGGTCCGCATTCAACGAGTCCCTCCTTCAACTTTTCCGCCATCTGGGAAACCGGGTTAACGTCGATGAACTTGGGCTTTTCTTCGCGAAAATTAAGCTTCTTCAGGAGGTATTCCATGGACTCTCCTTGGTCCAAGAGGTTATATTTCGCCTTGCCCGCAAGTTTTTGCTGCAGGGATTTGTTAAACGTCGCGGAAAACACCAGCGTTTGCCTGGGACCCAATTCCTCGCTATCGCTGTCCTCATCCCCCTCGTCGAAGCCGAATTCTTCGCGATCCAGTGCATTCAGAATCTCCTCGGCTTCCTTGAAATGTCCCTCTGACAGCAGTCGATCCGCCTCGTCAATCACCAAAAACCGGATCCCCTTGAACGCCTGGAGCAGCGGGATATCTGTGCTGATCACTTCCCAGAGTCGACCCGGCGTCGCGACAATTATGTCCGCCTTGGCGATCTGTCTCTGTTGTTTTAGTACGGAGAGGCCACCTGTAACCGAGCATACGTAGGGGGACCGTGGTAGCCCTTTGCATAGGGCTTTGATGTGGTCAACGAGCTGGTGGGCAAGCTCGCGAGTAGGGGAGAGGACTAGTGCAAGGGGCGTCTTGATGTCGTCTGCTTCCTTGTCCTCTTCCGTCTTTCCCTTGGCGTTATCCTGCAGCCACTGCTCGACGATCGGAATGGCGAAAGCAAGCGTCTTTCCTGAACCTGTAGAAGCTTTGCCAATGACGTCGTGCCCGGCGAGAACCTCCGGGATGGCTTGCGCTTGAATAGCTGTGGGTTTCGAGAATTTGAGTTGCCTGAGCGAATGAAGAAGGGCCGGGGACAGATTCAGCGAATTCCAGTCTGCCGGGCTGTTGTCGGTAGCTGGAGAAGACTCCTCGTTTTCGCCATCCTCACTCATCCGCCCGGCCTCGTCCTCCTCCGCCTCCTCTTGCTCCTCCTCCTCTTCCTCCTCTACCTTCTCCTCCACCTTCTCCTCCACCTTCCCCTCTCCCCTTCTTCGTTTAGTTCGTCTTCAGCTCCACTTTCTTGATTATTTTCTTCTCCGTCCGCTTCGGGCGTGTCTGGCTGGTCCGTCACTGTTGGCCCTTCCTCGGTGGGGGAGGATCCTCGAAGCCCTCGAATTCCTCACCATCGGTTTCTTCTGTTGCGGCGACCGGCACGGTTTCGGGTACGAAAAACTGCATGTCCTCTCCATTCTTCACAATATCGACCCCTTCCAACATCTCAAGTCCCATGATTCCGTCAACATCTTGCTGCCAGGGCAGGGAACCTGCGTCTAGTTTGCGAAAACCAGGCTTCGGCCCGGAAGCCCTTGGCGTTCTTGTTGGCTTTTTTGTTGGTTTTTTGTTGGCTTTCCACCCTTCTTTGGTCGTTTCGCGGGACCCTTCCGGTCGCCCTTCCCTCCTTGAAGCTTTCTCTTTTAGAACTGGGCTCCATGGCAATTGTCGCTGGCTGTTGCGCTGGTCGGGTAAGATAGCTTGACAAGACGATTGCCCCACCAGGACGAAAAAAATTCCCAAAATTTTGGACTTGCGTCGGCGTCGACTTCACCGACGCCCGATCGCTTACTCAGCCCGCATTCCAAGGTCTCACTTTAAAGTCATCTCAGGCATGGCGACCATCGATCAACGCGCCTCGAATGTGCCATCAATTTGATAGAGAGATGTCTTTGATTTTTCGCGACAAGGGTTTATAAATCGCATGTTTCAGAGATCTATTCAGCGATTCGAGTCCAATTCCTTATCTGCGACCTCAATTGGCCTCAGGTTGGGACCTAGCCCTTGGTTGAGGGCGTTGCTGAAGAGCCCAGCTGTTAACAACTGGTTTAGAGCTGTCTGCAGCCACTTTGCCCAGCTCCACGACAAGAGCGAGGTTTGTCGCAAGTGCACCTCAATTTCGCGACCTAAAACGCGGCGAGCTGCAACGCTTGAGTAGTCGCAAACACGCGCCTTTTCTCGACCTCCATCACCCTATCCGCACCCTGAAGCCCATGCAATAATCTTAAAATGCATATCATAAAGCCATCTTGGCTGAGCCATAGCGGTGAGTTTTTCATTCTGCCTCCAATCTTCCCCGCCAGGGCGCCGGATTGGGAGAACGCTCTCGCTCGCGCTCCTCCCCAAACTTTTCGCTTGTTCGATACGATCTCGAACACAGCTTGCTAATCATGCTATTTTTGGGCGTACTCTAGGCGAACAAAAAGACTTCGAGGTATACAGCTGTCATGTTTCCCCCGATGGCAAGAGATTGGCCACTGCCGGTGGCGATGGCCATGTGCGGATATGGTCGACCGAGTCCATCTACAGCGCCGACGACCCCGATTACAAAAACCACGACAGCTCTGCCACATGAGCCATCACCTAGGCACAATTCATTCCGTCAGGTTCTCCCCTAATGGTCGATACCTTGCTTCCGGTGCCGACGACAAGATAATATGCGTCTACTACCTGGACAAAGGTCCCCCGACGACAACTTTTGGTACGCCCGAACCCCCTGAGAAGCAAGCTGCGCTCACCCACCCCTCTCGATACATCTTCTTAACCTCTTAACTGTATAGGGTCGAATGAGCCGCCTCCGGTCGAAAACTGGAAAACGCATAAGCGACTAATCGGACACGAAAATGACGTGCAAGATCTTGCCTGGTCCTACGACTCTTCGATCCTCGTTTCGGTTGGACTCGATTCCAAAATCGTTGTCTGGTCTGGCCACACCTTCGAGAAGCTGAAGACGATCCTCTCGCACCAGAGCCATGTTAAAGGCATCACATTCGATCCGGCAAATAAGTACTTCGCGACGACGAGTGACGACCGAACCCTAAAGATCTTCCGGTTTACCCCTCCTGCGCCGAATGCGACTCAGCACGACATGGTGAACAATTTCGTGCTAGAAACAACCATAAACGTCCCGTTTAAAAGCTCGCCCCTAACAACATACTTCCGAAGATGCTCATGGTCCCCCGATGGAAATCACGTCGCCGCCTCCAACGCGGTTAACGGCCCGGTCAGCTCTGTCGCCATCATCGAACGCACAAGATGGGATAGCGAGATCAACCTCATCGGCCACGAGGCGCCAACAGAAGTCTGCCTCTTCTCGCCGCGCCTTTTCCACACTCAAAACCCGGCGGACTCTGATGGACAAGGAGGCGCTCTTGTCACGGTTATCGCATCTGCCGGCCAGGATAAGACTCTCTGTATCTGGAACACCAACACCTCGCGGCCTGTAGTCATTTTCCAGGATATCACGGCAAAGTCCGTGGCCGACCTCGCCTGGGCTCCCGATGGCCAAACTATCTTTGCGGTGAGTCTCGATGGTAGCATCATTGCCGCGAAGTTTGCGCCGGGCGAGCTTGGCTGGCCAGCCACCGTGGAAGAAAATGACAAGGCTCTGCAAAAGTATGGTGGCTCGCGTAAAGGCATGGGTATCGCGGAGGACGTCGACGGCCTGAAATTAGAAGGGCACAGCAAGGCGGGAGAATCGCGGGCTGCTGAATCCCGTATGGGTGCCCTGATGGGCGATCTCCAACCAGCCGCGAATGACCAGTCGGCCAAAACTAATGGGACGAAATCAACCTCAAGTAAAGCGACTCCCGTAACGAATGGCCAATCAGAAACGGACAAAGAAAAGGAAAAGGAGAAGGAGAAGGAGAAGGAGAAGACGGAAAAGGAGACAGAGAAGGACAAAGAGAAAGCAGCCGAGGAGACGGCAGCAGATAAGACGGCGGAACGAGTCAAAGAACTCAAGTCGAGGGTGACGATTGGAAAGGACGGCAAAAAGAGAGTTGCGCCCTTGTTGGTCTCTTCCTCCGGAACGGGTCAGTCCTCGCTGCCCCAGACCCAACTCGTCGGCTCTACGGCGACCAAGGCGGCTCAGAATGAGGCTCCACAAACAATTATAGATATAGCAAGGCCTTTTGAGGGACTCCCAAGGGCGGCATAGCGACGCTGCTACTAGGGAACAAGCGCAAGGGCTCCCCAGTTGAGTCAGACGACGCTGATGAGCAGGTCGTCAAGAAGCCCGCGGCCGGCCCAGTGCCAATTCTTGCGGATGGCGCTGATGGGGTTGAGCCGGCAGCTCTGACGGCGGCCAACTCAGGGCTCATCCCAACGCCAGAGTATCTCCGGCCCGCGGTTCTCAATCCATCAATCGCCTTCTCAAAACTGAGACTTGGTGTCCCAAATGTTCGCACCCACATCTTACGACCGCTCGAAAAGGGAGTTCTTCTCTCGGAAAGCACCTTGGAAGAAGCGTCCAAAATTCCCGAGAATATCATCTTTGAAGCGCGCAACCCAGCCCTCGTCAAAGATCCGGCAAGGATCTCGGCTTCGAAGCGGGGATCTTTAATTTGGCAAGACTTTCTCCCGCGAGCCGTACTTCTCATCACTGGAAATCGAAACTTTTGGGCTGCGGCCTGCGAGGACGGGAGCTTGTTCATCTGGACGCCGGCAGGCAGAAGGCTTTTGGTGCTATCATCGTTGAATCGCAACCGGTTATCCTCGAATGCCGCGACCACTGGCTCTTATGTGTCACCGCTATCGGACTTTGCCATGTATGGGATATTCGAACCCAATCGTCGCCGCATCCCCCAGTCTCGCTTGGGCCAGTTTTAGAGCTCGCGTGTACCTCGCTCAACGTGCATGCTCCTCGCCAGGACCGGGCATCACGGCAGCAACCCTGAACTCGACTGGCCATGTCGTTGTAACACTAACAAACGGCGACGGATATTTTTACGCGAGAGACATGTACACTTGGCAGCGCTTGAGCGAGGCTTGGTGGGCTGTTGGATCTCAATACTGGAACAGCACCGACTCATCCATTAGCGCTCTTCAATCTACCGCAGTAGGCCCCATTACGCCAAAGCCCAAAGATGGCAGCACGGCCAATGCATCGGCCGGGATCCTCCCGTTCCTCGAGAGACATACCACGAACGAATTCTTACTTCGCGGCCGTGCATACAACTTGCAACGCATCGTCAAGATGGTCCTCGCTAAGGATGGCTACGAGGGGTTCGAGTCCAGCGTCAGTATAGCGCATCTCGAGAACAGGATCGCCGGAGCCCTCCAGCTCGGCGCGCAGGATGAGTTCCGGCTCTATCTCTTCATGTACGCCAAGAGAATCGGAGCTGAAGGGTTAAGAGAAAAGGTAGAGGAGCTTCTCAACTCGCTTCTAGGCGGTGTGCTCCGGGAGAAGGCTCCAAGAGGCGGCGCCAAGGAGGACGGCAAGGGCTGGTTCAGCGCAGAGGGCGATATCTGTGGCTGGGACCGAAAAGAGCTCCTCAAGGGGGTCGTCATGATTCTTGGTAAGCTTTCTTGTGCCTTTGTGCCCCCTCGTCTTCACCTTGTAGTCCACGTCACAACGAGCTAACACGCGTCCTTCTAGGCAAATTCCGAGAGCTACAGAGACTTACGGTGCAGTATGCCCGCGCCCTAGACATCACATTAGAGGAAGATGATGAGATGTCGGTGGATGGCGAATCCTAGAGACTAAGCGAAGAGACAACGAAAGAAGCGAGCAGGGGTTGGCATGGGCTGTGTATCTCTATATATTGTATTGTGTAAGACTAGACATTCCTGGACGGTATTGAGCGGCGGATTACGGTTTTTTTCTCCTTTTATCGATTCTACTAAGCGGTCGACGGGTGTCTATCTTACGCCCAGTTTGAAGCGAGAATGAGAAGGATGTAGCGGCTATCAGCCCTGACTTTACTATAGCCCTCGAGATGAAATGAAGACAAGCGTGGCATATCATGTGAGAGTGGCATAAAGCCTGGGCCTTACCTTGTGATGATTTTGGGAAGGCGGATCCGAGTTGTTCAATCGCAGCTTCCCTCTGCTCTCCTCTTACTAGCTGGCGAGGATCTATCTACTTCTATGAGAATCTTCTTCGTCTCCTAGCTAACTAGTTGCTAGGTTATCTTTTTCATCTCTCGAGAAGAATTTTCACTTGCCCTTTCTCTCCTCATCAACGCCAATTACCTGAATTCACTTTCTTACCCGAATTCACTTTCGTGCTGATAGATACTACATCAGACACACACTCCTAGAAGCAACCTCGAAATCTGCCAAGAGCTCTACGATTTTTCAACCGGAAAAGGCCCTCCGACATTGTTTCGGTCCCGTTCCGTCGTTCCGACTAGGTCCACCACCTCGCCGGGTTGGATCTTGACCAGAGTGAAAGATCGAGTTCAAAGACGCCGAGTAGCCTTCTCAAGACAAGTCCTATTTCGTTCTTTTCTACCCCCAGTCCTCCCACTCTGTTGGCTGGGGTTTTCTAGTCAATCAACGGCTAGCACCACTTCCGGCACCACGTCGATATCCCCATTCTACCAGAGCCCACCAGGACCCTCAAGGAGGCATCCTACCGTTAAGCACATCCACTTGCCCCATTACATCAAGCTTCCCCGAAGTATAATCTTACTATGACGGATCAGGATGAAGACACTCATCCGTACCAACTCCCGAGATGGGTGCTCCTCCTTCTCCTTCCCGTGGAATACATCCTGATACCTTTTGGCATGGCTAATTTCAAAGTGCTTGAGTATATTCTGCGCTTCCTTTTGTGGTACAGATCCCTGGTTCTTCACACTGGCGGGAAATTGTGGAAGCCTTTCAGCGGTATCATGTGTATCATTCGGCCTATATACAAACTAGCTCGCAGGATATATAAGCAATATCCTGATATAGTCTGCTTTTTCGGGATGATAGCCGTTTTGAACATCCATGCTCCGGGGCGGTCGTATCCTGGCCAAAAGTCTATCGTTTCGTTAGAAGTGAGCTGGTGGTGCAAAAACAGCAGCTTCTTACCCATGAGCTGTACCTTCATAACCTAACCAGTTATGTCAAACCCGCACCCCGGCCAGTCATCCTGATCGCCATGGAGAGCCACGAGGCAGATTCTACCATCTTGACAATGGCCCAGGTACAGGCCGCTTTGTCTGGGAAATTCTCCTACGATTGGATCTTTTTCAGCAGCGAGGAGCCCGGCGACGATTTCAAAGAAACCACTTCGACTTTGGCCGGCGAGGCTACCGCCTTCTACGAGTACCTACCCAAGGATCACCCCATCTTCGCGGCTCAACCTTACGGTCCTTTGGACATGTCCGAAGATGACAGCCGAGCCTATGCCCCTTCTGCTGCATTGCTAGGTCTCGCTGATAAGGGAAATTGCTGGATTACAGCTGGTTCTGGAAGCTAACTCCGGGGTGAGGACCTTTTCCCCTTTGCAATGAGAGCCGAAGCGGCATGAGCAAAGTCACGTAACGAGTGGGATGTGCTAACCTGGCCTGTGTAATTCTCCCTAGGCACCTGTTCCGTCAAGCTTGGATTTTGACATCTTCAAGGCACTCGATGATCATGGAATGGTTTATGGATACAGTCAACCCAACAGCCTTGCCCCGCCAGTTACAAGCAACACGGCCCTCTACCATCCGTACCTTAATGATCACTTCGGTGTCGGAAGCGTCTCGTGGACCGCGGAAGAAATCCCTGCCAACGGCTTGGATTCTATTGATGGTAATATTGATGGCGCGTCGCTCACCTCAAACCAGAAAATAGTAAGGCGGAAGGCGATTGGCTCGACGGGTACACTCCAAGCGGATGCGCTTGAGCTCACCGACGGGAATGAGCATGATGAGCATGATGAGCGGTTGCTCTCACCATCTCGCATTATACAAGCTCTCTCGGCCCCCGGATCCAACTATGAAATCGGTTGGTTAGGTGCATTTCGTCAGGACGACTACAAGGGAATCACTTGGACCATCGATCGCATGCATTCCGGTATGGCCAACGGCGGGTATATCCTGCTCGTTTCTCCTTTTGCCTTTGTCTTCTTCCTTCCCTTTCTCCACTTCCCCCTCGATAACTAGTAATTTCATAAACTAACGGAAAGCCTTCGGGGCGAAGATGATGCGAGCAAGGCCCTCGCTGCCCTTGATTCGCCTCCAGCAAACGTCGATGGCGAAGACCAACTCCAAGTTTATCCAAGTGAGATGGCAGCCCAAACACAGCCTTCGGGCCCCAGTGGCGGGCACGGAAACCTCAAATCTTCTGGGGCCTTCCTCTTCTTAGGTGACGAATCGCTAGAGATATCTGCTGTGCACAGGAAATAGGAGACCTCCGCCGCCGTATTCTCCGACTTTTTAGTCACGACCGGGCGTACATCGCTTCTCGACGACAAAGAAGACACGGTCGCGCTATGGCCCCATGGGCTTTTCATCCACATTTTTGAAGACGGCCCAGTCGAAGTCCCTCTCGGAATGGCAGCTTACATGTATGGCTAGTTAGACCGAAAGGTGTGGTATGAAAAAGATGGCATGAGAAGCCTCCCTCCACTCGAACGAGGACGATTTAAGTCAGCTTCCTGAGCTCTGAACCATGCCCCCTCCACCATGTCTTCTTGACACTGGGCGACGGGGTGCTTGCACGTTTGCGCTGACTTCCTAGTTGCATGCTTCGATCGATGACTTTTCGACAAATGTTCACCAAACCGACAGATATAAGCACCGTGCCGCAAGAATGAAAGTCGCGGTAGGATAGGGAGCAGCATGCCACCTACGCTTACCTACGCTCCATCGAAGCTTTGCTCAACTTGTTTGGAGGGGTCTTGATTGCTCTCGTCTTGGCTCTTACCTTTTTTCTAATTTCTTTTTTTTCTTCGTCTTTCTTTCTTTCCTCTTTCTCTGGCACGGGACTGGTTTCTTTTCAAATCTTCCACCTGCCGTCGGGAGTTTGTCGTCTAGTCCCGCTAGATAGAAAAAGGGCTCTAATACGGGATCTACAAAAGCCCAGTAGGAGTCCCAAGCAACCTGGTAGATAGTCTTCAATACAAACTACCTATAAAAAGGCTGATGGACGGGCGATACAAGGTTTTTGGTATGTAAGTTTCAAGCCTCTCGCTTATCCGCTGGCTGGAAACTAGTCCACATTAGCAAACGGCAAGGCCACGGATATATGCTTAAAGACGTGACAGTAAGAGCCGGGTCCGGCCTACTCGACTGGGTTCGCAGATCCCGCGTCAACTGAACGGCTCACGGCGCGAGAGTGGGCCCATTAAAGTTTCTCTGGCTGTTGGAGCCCAAACATCGAGGCTGCTCAACACTGAAGATTGGCCAGCGTAAGCTTTATCCCAAATAGCGCCAAGACGAGCTAATCGCGTCGTTGCGGCGCGGCGTTGTCTGAGGTCTCGCCGCATCCACACCCATCAGGATAGAAGACGAATTAAGCGAGTGGTCACGAGTACGATCCACGTTGCACGAATAGAAATGGGAAGGTCGTTCTCTCGGTATGGCCCGCCCACCGCTGCTTCTGCCACCAGTGCGCCATGCATGCTTTGTTGGCGAACTCATCGGCTTCGAGCCTCAACTCCAAGGCGGCAACATTGGTAGTGGCTCTTTTATCCCCTTGAACCTCCTCTTTTACTTTTTTCTTCTCGTCTGGCTAGTTGTGACGCATTTTTGCCAGCTTTTTGAGGTTTCTGAGACGCTTGTATTGCTTGAGGTTGGGGATTGCGGGGGAATGGCGGTGATAAAGGGCCAGCCCAACCTTGGTGCAGCTCCCAGCTTGTCAGGTGGTGCTTGTGACATCATAATGTTCTTGACTCTAATCCCTGGCCTGACTTGATCTTCTCCCTTTTGTTCATTTGTTGGGTTGAAGCAAACGGTTCTCCACGTTATGTCCCAATTGAAAAAGGAAAAACAAAAAAGAAAAGTAACTGTGAAGAGAAACCATCCAACTCTTCCTCTCCCGAAATATATTTCAACTGTCACGCAGCCATCGATCGATATTAGACCCCGAACCCGAGCGAGAGGCAGAAGAGGAAGACAATACGACGCTGCGAGTCCGGCCAAGCTCTTTTCGGTGCACTTCCCAAATCAGACACCAGCAGCTCTTTCCCCACACTCCGTCCCATTTTCTGAGCTTGCAAGCACATTCGCGACAGTCACGCGGTGTGTCCTCTGCTTGCGCTGCACACCCTTGCTCTTGCTTGCAGGACCCCAGGCATCCCGTGCCCCATCCACCCCATCCAACCCATCTGATAATACCCAGTTTCTGCAGACACCAAAGTGGTGGCTGTGTGTCTGTGTATGAAAGTCATTGAGCTCTTGGCCCTCCAGTCCTTTCCTGGCAGAGCTGAGCTGGCCGACCAACAATTCAAGCTCTGACTGAGCGAGTGTGCTTCCCAGCTGAAACTTTTTTGCCTACCTTTTCTAACAGGGGCAGCTAATCCCTGCACATTTGCCAACACCGTGAAGCGGGTGCAAAACCATCCCTTTTCCAAAAATCGTTAGTTTTGTCCCAGCTCCTCTCCTAATTTCATTTCTTTTGTGCCCTCGCTTCGCGTCGAACCTGGATTGTCTCGACGCCCATTTCGAATCGAGCTCATTAGGATGGCTGATTAGACAAAAGTAACGCGATCCTCGACTCAGATTCTCCCCAAACAGCGCCGTGACTCTTGGCCCCCTTTCGAGCAAAGAGAAAAAAATTGGAAAGTTGCACCTCGACGACTGGGGCAATATTTTCCACAGTTTCGCCGAGCTTTCTCGACATCGAACCCAACTGCCTCATCGCTGGTCGCATGACAAGCGAGCTTCACCAGTCGTCCTGAGTTGAGTGACGGACGAGGACACGCCGTGGAGCTCCCTTCACGGGAACCCTTGACCTCGGATCTTGGCGACCGGAGCCGGCTCATCAACAACCCTACACTTGGCGGGACGATCACGATACCACAATGGCCCCCAACAGTCGTCCAGCCGATCGTCCGGCACCTTCTTTGGGGTGTCGACGAAGTCGTTATCTTTGCTCACTGTACGAACAAGCTCCTCCTTTGGTGCGGGAAGTCCGTCTCGGGCTATATCGTGATTCCTTGGGCTAACTCTCTGCACGGCGCACAGCTCACCTTCCAACACTCGGCGTTGATTTTGGTAAGAACCCCCAAGACGGAGCAATCGACATGGCCTTGCTGGATTTGACGTTATTGATTACGCTCTAACGACGATTGGTTGTGTCAGATCATGCACTACTCTCGAATCATGGCGCCCGCGGGGACCAACGGTACTTCCCGTCAACTGCCGTCTTCTTAAACGAGATCATTAAGCTCGCCATATCCCTTACCTTTTCGATATATGAGGTGTCCCGCACCCTCGCCCCTCCACTCCCGCCACCGTCATCTTTCAGCAAATCTATAACTCGGTCTTCCGAGGCGATGGCTGGAAAATGGCCCTTCCCGCGGCGCTCTTCACGCTGCAAAACTCGCTGCATTACGTTGCAGTGAGTAACCTGACGCTGTGCATTTCCAGGTTTTGTACCAAGTTGAGGTAGGTCATATGCGGCGGCATTGCGCGGCTGTACCTCGGAATCGCTCTAGTAGCAACAAGACTAAACTGTATGGTCTCTCTCGCAGATTCTCGCGACTGCCATCTTCACCGTCACACTTCTTCGCCGACCGATCGGCATGAAGCGCTGGCTCGCCCTGATTCTACTTACCATGGGCGTTGCGATCGCCTCGCTCCCCCAATCCGGCACACCTCTCGATGACAAGCTACTCTTCCACGACAGCTCGGATCACTATTACCCCCGCTCAGCCCACGAGCTAGGCCAGGCTGCTAACGGCGCTGGAGAGGCCAACCACCATCTCTCGAAGCGCTCGGCCACATACGAGGGGATTCAGGACGACGAATTCGTCGATACGATGGTCGCGAGCCTCAACTATTCCCTCGGCGTCACCGCCGTTCTGGTCGCGGCAACGGCCTCGGCACTTACGGGCGTCTATTTTGAAAAGGTCCTGAAGGACTCTCCTACCCCTGCCTCCATATGGACCCGCAATGTGCAACTTTCCTTTTACTCGCTCTTCCCAGCTTTCTTCGTGGGCATCGTGTATAAGGACGGCGCCGATATTGCCCACCACGGCTTCTTCGACGGCTACAACTGGGTTGTGTGGACTGCCATTGTATTCCACGCCGTTAACGGCATTTTGACTTCCTTGGTCATCAACTATGCCGACAACATTGCCAAGACCTTCTCGACTAGCTTCAGTATCCTCATTAGCATTGTCTTTAGTCTTCAGTTCTTCGACTTGACCCTTACGCGTTCGGTATGTCCTCACCAGCTAAGAGACCCCCATCCCCTCCTTAATTATCTTTCTTCTGACCACCATGTTTCTATAGCTCTTCGTTGGCACCGGCCTCGTCCTTGTAGCCACCTATCTCTATTCCACGTCTGGTCCTTCCCGTGGTTATCGATCCTCTCGCCCTACTCCGATCCACGTCGCCACCCTGGAGAAAACCACAATCGACCGCCTCAACACCCCTCGCGCAACCCCCGATCCTTCCCTCATCCCATCAGGGCCATTTGCGGCGCCCCCAACGTCATCGCGCGCTACACTTGATCCCCTCGATGCCGCTAAAGCTATCGGCCTCACCACGTCGAGGCCTTCCTCTCCCATGTTCCCAAGGCCGTCACCTCGCAAGGACCGCGATGAGTAAGCTAAATGATACCACTTTAAGAGGGCCTCGCATGCTTCGCGAAACATGAAGATGGCCTTGCTTGATTGAGGTTTAGTGGATGTCCTGGGTGCTCGGCGATCTAGGCCTGGCTGAAGCAGCCGCTTAACGGCAGAGTTGCAACGCTGCATGGCAAGTGATTCCAGGCGCCCTGATTTACTAGGCAACGTTTGTATGAACGATGAAAGGGCCGGATGAAGGCAGGAGGGGGAAAGGCTAAAAGAAACCTCTCCACGGAAGACCTATACCCCGAGATCATATTTTTTTAGAGTGAGAGAAACGGTCTGCTGTGGACGTAATCGCAAGACCTGCTGCATGGGCGCCGTGACATAAGAGGGAGGAAAACATTATACCTTGTTAGATCTATCTCGATTTCTATACATAATTCCAAGGGGTTTTCTCCTCTTTGTTAAAGCTCAAAGGACATAGCTACCATTCTATGAACATCCTGATGGTTTGTTTCGAGCTCCAGAGTCATGGCCACTGGCGCGAGTCGTGCCAAATCGGCGTCGACGGTTCGATCAATGTTAATATAGCCATTGAAAAAAACCATCTTGGTGCCTCGCAATGTCTATATAATACCATGGCGCCCGGCACCTCCATCCATCGTGCTGTGTTCAAAGTCGTGGAATTTTAGGATATTTCCTTGGTTCTTTTTAAATCATCTCCTCGACCTCATTATAATCCACATTTTGACGACTACCTGTCCCATACCTGCCTCTCTTGAACATTACTTGGGAATAGGGACATGAGATAACGACATTTTCTCATCCTCCTCCAATTTTTTTTTAAAAAGACTAAACAGGCAAAAAGCAAATGAATTAACAGCAAAAGATGGCACAATTCGGTGCGGTTCCTTGGAAGGATTACATAATGATCTCGTTGGAGACGTCCTGAAGGGGGTAGATGTTAGTGAAAAGGTTCGATGAGATGGAAAACGGAAACAACTTCTTACCCTCTTTAGCTCCTTGTAGGGCAGGCAGACGCAGTTCTGGACACGGATCTCGTCGCCGACAGCGCAGTCCTTGCCGAGGATGGTGATGCTCTGGACCTTGACACCGTTCTTGACGATGCTGGTAGTGTGGCTGTTGGCAGCAATGGGAGTACCTTCGACACGGGCCCAGGCACCAACGCGCGAGCCCCAACCAATGATGGAATGGAGGACGCAAGCGTCGTGCTTGATCTCGGAGTCCTCGAGAACGATAGACTCCTTGACACGGGCACCGGCGCCGACGTGGACGCGGGGACCGACGGAAACGTTGGGACCGAGCTTGGCGGTGGGGTCAATGGTGGCGGTGGGGTGGATGAAGACGGGGGATGATGTTGGTGGAGCGGGGCGCAAGCTCCTTGGAGCCGGCGTGAAGAGCCTGCTGGAGATAGAGGGCATTGGCGGGGACGGCGGAACCAGCAGTCTTGATCTGGCGCCAGAAGTCCTTGGTCTCGTAGACGAAGAACTGCTTGTTGTCGGCAAGATCGCTAAGGATGTCCTGCTCAAGACGAATGACCTCGTTCTTGTTCTCTACGTCATCGTCGAGGATCATGCTGCTCTCGAGGTTGTCGGAGCTGGGATAGGAGACCAGACGGGAGGGGCGGTCAGTTCGGCGCTTAATGGCATTCCTAATGCTAGGGAAGATTGCCTCTGTGCTAAACAAGTAGACACCGCAGTTGATGAGGTTGCTGATATGGCTCTCGGGCTTCTCGACGTAGTGAAGCACGCGGCGGGTGTGGGCGTCGGAGACGATGCAGCCAAAGTTGCTGGCGGCCTCGTTGGAGACCTTGGTGCCGAGAATGACGGCCTCGGCATCCTTCTCGACGAAGAGCTTCAGCATGTCGACAAGGGGAATGAGCAGCACACATCGGCATTGAGCACGAAGAGGCGCTCAGGACGACCCTTGAGGATGGCATCCCTGAAATGGTAGAGACCACCAGCAGTGCCGAGGGCCTCGTATTCACGGAGGTACTTGATAGAGAGGCCGGGGAACTCGCTCGAGGCTTCCTTGATGAAGTTCTGGAAGATCTGCTCCTCGTAATAACCAATGATGTAGACCTCCTGAAGGTGCTTGGTGGTGAGCTTGCTGAGGGCAGAGACACAGTGCCAGATGATGGGGTGGCCCGCAACCTCGAAGAGGGGCTTGGGGACGTCGAGACTGAGAGGCCGGAATCGAGTTCCGCGCGAAGGGCCGCCAACCTAGATGCGAGAGGGAACGGTGAGATTAGTAGCTGATAGCATTTTCTGACATGACGAAAAGCAAGGACGATGCACCCCGCCCAAGCGAAAGAAATAAAAAATTGTAGAAAAAGAAAAGGATGGATAGAAAACAGAAGAGCAGCAGGACTGGGCTCGGCAAGCAAGAAAGCAAAAGCGGTGCTGAAAAGGCTGATACAATCCAGCAGAGGATTGCTGATTCGTATCTACTCTAGGCAAAGGTGCTCCTCAAGCGAGGCGGGGAGTTGGTGAAGCTCCGGGTATGCAGAGCTCGGGCCAAAAATAGCGGTGGGGGATCGCCTTACCAGAATTACGGCCTTGGTGGCGGGCTGCTCCTTGCCTCGGTGGGGAACCTGGAGAGACATTGCACTGGGATTTGGCTGGGGGAGGATGATAAAAGTGAGAGTTAGGGAGAGATGTGACGAGAAGGCGAGGGGGAAAAAGGGGGGCGGACAGGATATGAAATATCGAAAAGAGTTGGGCAGTCGTGGCTTTGGAATTATTATATGGTGACGATGCCTCGCCGTAGTTGTCCCAACACGGAAGTTTCCTGGTTACTCGTCAGGGGTCGCGGGGCTCATTTCCTGTAGTGGGCGCGGGAAGGGACACTTGTCTTCCAGCTGGCCCCGGCTGCGGCCATTATCTTTGCGAGCTGCGCCCACGCTGCCAAAGGCGGGTCCCGCCATCATCTCTGAGCTCAGCTCGCCAACATTTGAACCATTGATTCTCAATGGACCCCAACAAGCCTGGCGTGAGCTGACTTATTGGCCTACTAGTCTTGAAAATGCTATCACCTATAAGACCTCAAGTGTGTATTAATTCTCGTCGACGGAGGAGGAAGCCCATGCATATCGAGACCGGGGATATCTATAAAAATAAAACTGCAAACTGACAACGTGGGTGTTAATCTCCTTTACGAGGCCATCTTGGCCATCTGACCAAGTCCATGGACGGCGAGATCAATTTATTGACAAGGGTTTTCTGGTTAGTCCAGCTCGTGAAGACGCTACGGGTGGATGGCGTCCTCAGCCAATTGCTCCCTTTGATCCACCAGTGTGGGCCTGTCCGGAGCTTGGTTGTGGTGAAAGCGGAGCTGCTGTTGAAAATGCCGTTCAATGTTGCCAAATTCCCCTTGAAATTTTGGTCACATGAGAAGGCAGGAAGTCGTAGCAGGATGAATCCCCTGACAGCTAGCCAGGTCTGGGGTTTTTTTCTTGTCACGATGATGATATTTATCCCGGCGCACTTTGCTTCACTCTTTGTGGGTGTCTGTCACCGTTCGCATCAAGAAGCCTTCGCCAACTGTCCACGATAAGAACATTGATTTTGGCCGCAGAACCACTTGAAATCCAGTCCTTGGCCACTGCTCCCTCGCGTGCACAAGAGCTCTTGCCAACGATCTTGCAGCCCCTTTAATAGCCCCATCACCAATGATAAACTCCCTGCAGCTAGAAACATATTCACTATATGGTGGCATATCGGAAGCTGTTGCCTTAGTAGCCCATTGATAACCTACATCGATTGATCTTGATTCTCCAGCCAGTACCTAGGTCTTAAGGTCTGAATAGATTCAGGATGGCCAGTATCAAGATCCTAGTCGGCGATGGCTCGCATGTGGATGTCCTTCACCACCGTTCTCTCCACCAAGACGGTAGCCAATCAAATCCAAGAATTTGTCCCAGCTCCCTCGCCATCACCTCGCGAATTTTCCCCGTCACTTCCATGCACCAGCCCAGCTCCGCGTTTTGTTAGCAGGGTTGGCGAAGTAACTTTCAGCAGCATTTGATTTCTCAATTTTTCTACCTCCCGGGGCAAAATTTGGGGATTCGGCGCCAGTTGGAATAATTCAATATTTTGATTTTGGTAATGATAGAAAATTCGGGATTCTTGCCCCTTGGGTGGCCAGATATGGTGGTTTCGAGAGTGAGGCGAATGTAGCTTTTCCCACGCTGCTACCAAAAATGTGTCGTGTTGGAGCTTCAACTTGGACTTGTCGTCCCAGCCCACCTATATGAGAAGGAGCTGTCCAACTCCTTTGACCCTTCGCTCTTTCTCGCGATTCAACTTGTTTTTCCGTGATATTTCTCTTTTATCTTTCTATTTCATTCCTTTCTGGTTCATTCTGATATCTGCTTAGAAGGCCGGATTCCCCAGGCCATCCCCCTTCTATTTAGTTCCCCTACTTCCTCCCTCCCCTCCCCTTCCCCCAATTCACAACATGGCTCGTATCAAGCAGGAGCCTGCGCCAACAGTATATTTCGAGGAGATGGGTGATAATTCGTTCCGTACCAGAGAGTCTACGGTCCAGGCGAGCATGTATTCTGCCTATCGCGACGAGAGGGGGATGCTCGTAAGTACCGCCCCACGCCCCCGGCCTAAATAGAGCCAAAGGTGTAAACTAACACGATCCTCTAGCCACCCCATCTGAGAGAAGATTTGATGAGCCTCCACTAGTCTTGCAAGTCAACGATGTTAGAATGGCTCGTCCTCACAAACCCCTGTCAACCCGACGTCAGATACCATTCCTTTCATGAACGGGTCATTTGAGCGTATTGCAAAGAATCTTCAATACCTCAACGACACCCTTGGTGATCTTCACTCACTTGGAATTCAGCATGACATTCAACTGCCCGAGCTTGTCCTTGTCGGGGATCAGTCTGCAGGCAAATCAAGCCTCATGTCAGGCCTCGCTGGCATTAACCTGCCTCGCAGCGGCGGCGTGTGCACACGCTGCGTCACACATATTCGAGTTTCCCGCCACCACACCTGGCAGTGTCGCGTATCTTTGCGGCGCAAGTATGCCTTCTGTCCTCCCGCAGACGGCATCATATCGTTGCATAGCGTCACTCCCGATGACCGGTTTCCTCCTTGGAAACCCGTACACGAGACCGTGCTTGACTTCAAGACCCTTGACTGCCCTGACGAGATCGAAAATACGCTACGATGGGCGCAGGTGGCCATCCTCAATCCTAACAAGCCGCACAAGGATTATATTCCCGGCTCCGGTCACGCCACCATTGGAGAGGACGCGTTCGAAAAGGCTGCCGAACACACAGAGGCCAAATTCTCACCCAATGTCATTTCACTGGAGATTAGGCATCCAGACTTTGCAGATCTCTCCTTCTATGACCTCCCCGGCGTCTTCGTCCGGCCTGGTCACCCAGACGAGAACTACTTGGTCCAGGTAGTCAAGAATCTCGCTGAGACGTACATCAACCATAAGGAGGCCATCATTATCTGGGCTATCCCTATGAATCTTGACCCGATGAACTCAACAATGTCGAAAATCATTGAGGACTGCGATGCACTAGACCGGACAATTGGTGTAATGACAAAAGCAGACCTATTGCCTAGAGATGAGGGCACACTCCGTCAGTGGTGCGCCATCCTCCAGGGACAAAGCCATTCAACTGGCCATGGTTACTATGTGACTTCCGTCGTCCCGACGAAAGCCTTGATGAGCAGAATCGTTGGGAGGATGTTTTCTTTGATGACTCGTCCCAGTGGCCGAGTGAGTTCCGACAGTATCGCAACCGATGTGGCTTGAAGCAGCTTCACTTTGACCTCTCTGATAAACTAGGGGCTGCTTTCGCAAGGAGGTACGTAGGACCGTGACGATATCCCGACGATGGTGGCTCCAGTGTACTAACCCTCGCTCTCGCTATAGCCTTCCAACCATCAAAACAAAGATTGCCAGCAAACTTATACGCGCAAGACATGAACTCGCCTCACTACCCGAGCTTCCAGCGAATGTGGAGCTTGAAGTGCGAACAAGTCTGATGAATTTTCGTGACAGGGTGCTCTCAGGACTTAAAGGTAACCAGTTCTCATCGAATTACCAGTACCTGGCAGAGTCCTTTCGTAACTGTCTCATTGCGATGAAGCCCAAAATCAACGTTAAGGACGATAACGAGGTAATCGAAATTCCGGATGATGAGGACGTACAGGGCAACCCAGCAGGGCAGCCTAAGCGGAAAGCGACAGACATGCCTCCGCCTATGCCGTCTACGCCGTCGAAACGCCAGCGAACGGCCAACGCCTCGCCCGTAAAGCGTGAGGAACTTGGCCCGGCCTCGGCATCGGGACCGGGCGGACGTTCTGGGTCTGCGACGCCAAGTCTGGGCGCGGCTCCCACCGAAACGCCGAGCCCATTTGCAGAGTTTGGGCCCTATAAATCAAGGAAACTCCGGGATATCAGCGAGTCTATCACTCGACACACGCGACCTGGTCAGCCAGGTTTGGTTGCTGGAGCCGTCTATGAAGAGCTTTGCCAGCAAGCCGTAAGACCATGGGAGGAACCTGTTCGCAAGTTCCTCCAACTTGTAATGAAGCAGGTCGAATCAGTCATCAAGGGGCTCTTCATCAAGCATTTTCTCAACTACAGAAACGATTGATATACAAGAGGGCGAAGGAGACCATGCTCAAGTTCCTCGCCGACGCCAAGCAAGAGACGGAAGCCTACCTCATGAAGACGCTCGAAATCCATACAAGGCAGCTATTCACCCTCAACGTCGAGGAATTCAAGCGCTACAGACGCGCCGAAGAGAATGTCTTGCGCCGCCACCGACACTACATCCGGTGGCAGACCGCGACCGGGGAGGTACCGCCCAAAGCGTTCTCGCCCCTAGAATCCCTTTCAGCTCAGGAACGTGAGCAAGATGAAAAAGAGGCGAACTGTACAGCTCGAGAGGATGGGCAAGGACCCCTTTGAAACAGAAGTGGATGTCTTTGCCTACGTACGGGGCTATTATAGGCTCGCCTCCGCTCGACTGACTGATACTGTCGCCCTTATTCTTCACTCCGACATGATTCCTACCATTGAGAAGAGGTTGACAGCAGATCTGCACCTCGAAAGGGAGCTCGGCGTTTTCCCGAGCGGCAATGGCGAGATTTACGACACTCTGATGTCGGAGGATGAGGCTACTGCGAGGATGCGAGAGAAGGTGCGCGCCGACGTTAAGAAATTCGAGCGAGCCCTCGAGTCCATCTCTCAGTTGGAGGCGCGCAGTGGACTATATGGCCGAAATGGAGAGCCAGACTCTGACCATAATATCGCCTAACTGTTTCCTGCACTCGCCCAGGCTCTCGGAAGCTACCAAATGTATGCATCCGCCGCTCACAGCTCCCGACGAATCACCACGCACGCAGGGGACCTGACTGCCCCTACTTTATTCTGGCTTTGGACTTGATACTCATCGGGTCTCTTGACCTATTCGTCTTCGTTTTGATTGTTTTAGTTTGGCCGCGATAGACCCCCGGATGAGGTCAGCTTGTACAGATAGAGAGAGAGAGAGAGAAGGAAGTGAACGGCTTTGTGCCACACGAATGGCCAAGTGACTGTTAGGTTGATTGCATTTTCCCACTGCGGATACCAGCGACAGTGGTTTTTCTTTGCCATAGCCACGGGCCGCACTACCCTAGAATAGGCTTCTGGGTTGAATTTTTTGCTTGTTGATCGAATGAAGGCGAGGAAAAGGTGGGATAAGGGCCGGGTTTCTCGGAAGTGAGTAACGGTGATAACACGGATCACAACGAGATAGCACGGAAAGAGTTCAAAAAATTATTAGGCCGAATCACACACCACGTTAATGTAAATGACACTCAGGACCTGCAGCTTTTGGTTTACGCAATCATGTCGGCGCCATTGAAGCCTATATTGGACCCGTCGCGGCTCTTAATTGGGGGTGCCAGGATGCTCCCACATTCTCGGATCGGATTCCTCAACATGGACGAGCGCCATGGGTAAGACGTGTACATACGCGCAGCCATCCTTGGAATTTTCTAGCACACCCTTTCCCTTCACTTCTTTTTTGTTTCTTGTTTTCTGGTTCGAGGCTGTAGGTCATGTACATTTGTTGGTTTGAAGTCTTTTGAATTTAGAGGTTAGGAGACCCGCGTTTCAAGAAAAAGATGGCCTCAATTCACGACACAGCAACACTGCAGGAACCAACTAAGAAGCCCAGAGACCGCCTAGAAACGAGAATCACGCCATATCTCAGACGCTGTTGGAGGTGGACTTGGGGCTTATAAAGGGTGTAGATAGCTATTGTCAGCCCTGCCTTGATGTGGTTGCTCTCAGCGAGGATACATGAGCAAGTGCTCGTGCATGCGTGCGTACGTGTGTGTGTGTGTGTGTATATATGTGTGTATATATGGATGTGTGTATATATGGATGTGTGTATGTGTGTGTGTGTGTGTGTGTGTGTGTGTGTGTGTGTGTGTGCATGTGTGTGCGTACGTGTATATGTGTGCGTGTGTTGGTAGGAGCGGGTTCTCCTCTTGGCCATTGTATCTGTGTGCTCTTTCCCGAAATCCCTCGTGGCAAGTTATATCTTGGCTACGTCCCATATTTTCTCTACTCGTCTTGGCTATAGTGGTCTTTCATTTGGAGCCGCAGCCGATCCCGGTGGGACCTGCGCCTGCAGATACGACCCTCACCCGGATTGCGATGTGGGGTGGCGTTGGCGTTGGCAGAGCACGCCCAACGCCGATAGCTCTACGGGAATTGAATCGGCACGCACCAAAGTGGTCGTGTAACAGAGTACGTTGGCGGAATAGAGGCCTTGGCACAGGTGAGAGGGAGGGCTAGGAAATGAAGAGTGCCGAAGGAGGGGACGCCGAACGTATGCGAACGACCCCCAGATCATCTTGGCACAAAAAAAAAAAAAGAACAAAAAGAAGAAGGAAAAGAAGGGACGATAAAATGCAGACATATAGAGAGGGGATAAGGGTAGAAGACGCCACAAAAAGAAGAGTGAAGCAAGACGAGAAAGTAGACCAGGACAAGCAGGCGAAGTGGCACACGGAAATAGATTTCCAGCCTTCCTCCTCCTCTTTTTCTCAGCGACCGAAGCGGCTGGTGAATAGGACGGCAAAGAAAGTGTAGGAAGTGAGGGATCGAGGCCCAACCCAGACCGAATGGGGCTCGTCTACTATGCAGTATTATTCCGCTGTCTTTCTTCTCCGTTCACGCTCCTCTCCCCTCTTCCCTCCGTTCTCTGTGCCCGCGCTTACTGTCGTGGAAGCAGCGGAATAGAGGCGGGATGCGGGGGCCAGCCCCATGGGGGAAGCAAAACAGGAACGGACCGGAAGTAGGAACTGTACATGCGGAGATTAGACTGGCAAGAGAAGAGAATTCTTTTGCTCGTCTTCTCTCCTCTTTCGAGAGCCAGTGACAGAAAAGGCGGGACCGTGAACCCGTCAGTCGTCTCCTTCCCCTTTGCTCTTCAGATTGAATTCACTTCCCCCAATTTGAGAGTACATGAGGTTCATCTACGTATCCGGGGCCGAATCTCTTAGTGATCGACTATATCCTCATCTATTTTGTGTGTTCGACTCGATGGCGTTCCTTAGTTTCGCTTTTCATCCCAAGGATACACACTCGTTACCAGGTTGCACACTTAGACCACCTCAGTCGGAAACCATGGCTAGATAGGTGATAGCATCAGACTCCCCAACTCCACAGGGAGGGTATTACCCAACGCGTCAGAGCGAGGCCGGCGTCCTTTCCCGTTTTTTGAGACTTTGTAGGCCCGAAAGAAGATGCGGACGGCGAACCATGCCGATGCCCTCTGCCCCACGCACCCCTCTGCCCCTCTTTGACGCCGGTATCTCCTCGGACTTGAAATCACCCTCAAGTGCTCTTCGCGTCTGCCAAACAAACGGCTGCGGCGTGCTGGATCGGCGGGCCTATAAATATGAAAGAGAGTGTATGCTGCAACAGCGGCTAAATTTGCCACAATCTCCATAGGGTCGGAAAATCTGGCGAATCACTCAGCTCAGAATTAGGCGAAAGATCTGAAACGGCTCGCTCCAAGGCTCATGGAAAGGAATTGGACCCTGGCGAGAACTAAAGGGGAAGGGATAGGAGAGAATGGGAGAGAAAAAAAAAAACTGTCTTGAAAGTAAAATGAGACGGAAATTAGAGAGACTACTCTCTCTTTCTTGGTACCCTTTTGTGTGACAAGAGAAGCACATTGCTATAAAACCGGCGGGGATGAGGGGCCGTATTATCGGATACTTGAGTGGCCGATCAACGTGCGTGGTGGGCCGCATTCGGCGCCGCTTGACATCGGCTGCGGTTGCTATCACGCCGCCCAACTTTCACCGTGGTCGAGACTCAAGACGAGAAATCCTGTCCTAGCTTTGAGGGCCGCAGAAGGAATCGTGTTTCGGCTTCCTCTTAGGGCGAGCCAATAGACGATAGTAGGCACGTATGATTTACCTTGTCATGCATTGCTTACCACCTGTCATGAGAGTATCGTCCGTTGCACGGCCGAACTGACACTCTCATTGTCGATCGACGTCTAAAAATGCCGAGGAAGAAACTCCTTGATCGACAGCAACGGCTGGCCAAGAGTCAGAAACCCCATTTTTGCACAGCGGATTTGCTTCTACGCGGGGTTTGGGCCGGGCGGGGATTGGACGTCCTGCTCCGGTATTCCTGCCTTGCGGGTCTGATCGCCACGCAGGAAATCCGGGACGCTTGCAGCATCATTTCGCACAAACAACTAAGAAGAGCTTGGGGCGTGTGTATGAGAGCAAGATCCTTCTGTGCAAGAGGGGAGGTTGACGGCCTATTCGCTTGAGCCCTTCGCTCGGCCAAATATTGTAGAACATCGTGCCGAAGCTAACCCTGCTGTTGTCGCGTTGTTGTGTTGTCGTCTGTATGCCTTCGCTTTGCAATCGGTACGCTGGCGACTAGATTGGAATTCGGTTGGGCTGTCAGCTCTTCCTCAATGAAGCCTTTGTGGGGACGGCGTCAGGCGTATTCATCGTCGGCGCCGATTTTGTAGTACGAACAGGCGTCCAAAACCCCGCGCCATGTGCATCTCTCTTCGCTCTTTGCTGCCCCTCGACTCTGCTACATTTCACACGAGCCGAGGGCGTTGCCTCATATCGCGCGGCGATATTCTTGAAGAATAGGATCATCCCATGACTTCTCGATCGCCCTTGAGCTCCCCACTTTTGGTTTCATACGAGTGCCAGGAAGTTGTCGCCCTCCCTCGCGAAGTGGGAGATAAAACGCATGAAATTCAGGCCGATGGTAAACCTTGAGTGGATTTCAACAATCCGGAAGATTAGTGGGCCCAAACAGTCTTCGTCGCAAGTGTTTTGTGCGTGATGGCCGGGGAACTGGCCGGTGGCGATCTTCGACTGCACGCTTCCCCTCGTGGTATACACCTACATACCCCGATGAGACGAGGAGGGGCATGCCCACATGGCGAAGGTCGCCTCTTTACCAAAGAGAGAATCACGCAGTCGCGCCCATAGGCCGCTCCATTGGCGATCTTGTCCCCGTTTTTGAGGCGAAAACCGTTCACCAAGCACTTCCGATGCGCCCAAGGTGAACAGGCGGAGTGGATTCCGCATGGAAACTCTTCTCTGCCGGAGCATTTCGCCAGAGTGATTCATCGGTTCAATTTCGAGACTTGAGCCCGGCCTTTGCCTCACTCAAAATCAGAAGATTTTTCTTCTCCTTGGGGGAGGAGCGGGCGGGGCTGAATTGAACATTGAACATTGGGCCGTTCCTACCGCTCGAGACGGCCCGGTGAGCGAGGCAAAAAAGAAAGGAAATGGCAAAACCCCTGTATCCGCACGCACGATGAATTAGGCCAGATCCTCCATCAACAACAGACGATAGGTCCCCTATTTACGCGAATATCAAGGGTTGCAGGAATGGAAGATGCTGATTTCGCTTTGAAGCAGCTCAGAGGTCTCCATTTCGGCATCGCGGACAGTCTGATCCGGGGACCCATTGTCAGTGGGACCAACACCCCCCTCGTAACTGGGAACTGGGACGCAGCGTCGCAACCGTCCTGTGTGCCTCCAAGGGCCCCGGCTGCTGGATGCCTCCAAGGCGACTGACGGAATATGCAAGGGTCTTGTTTATTGGAAATTCGCAAATGCGAAGGGAAATATCAACCAGAGTTCTCTCAGTGAAGGGCTAGTGATCGGGCTTATCCTGAATTAAGATGTATCTCTCATCCACTGGACGCTCTGTGTGAATATATCAAAACCAAGAAGTCGGAAGTCCTTATAAAACTATCTCGGGCGTGGA